ATAACGATATTACAACACAAAAAATTCCAGAAGTTTTACTCAAATAGTGACCACGAATCCTTGTTTGTTATCACAGTACAAGGTGTATACAATTTATTCACAATAGTCGATTATTAGTTGTAAGATATGAAGCTAGCACAGTCTGATGATATCAATTTATTTAAAAGTTAGTGCTCTCAAATCAAAGACAGATATTATTGATTTAAAAGCAAAATGCAGAAAAATAAGAATATTTTCAATGAAAAACCTTTGTGTTTTGTACTTAAGTCAGTCGCAATGTAATAGTTGAACTTGTTTCTAAAGAAAGAGCTTTCCCTGCTTGGTGCTGCACCAAACAGACAAAACTTGAAGGCAGTATTTTTCTCAAGTGGGCGTCTATCGCACCCACCGAGTCCTGTGTTACCTATCTGCCTTCGGATTGCCCGAGCTACCCCTATTAAAATCCTCAGGGCAATCACTTTTCCCAAAAACGATTTGGATTTCAATCCACACAAACCAGTTACAAACTCCTTTTCAATTTAGACCAGTGTCGCGAATATCCGAGTTTAGACCTGTTTTGTTTCGGCCTGGTCTTTTATAAACGGCAAGTTACCAGTGCAGTCACTGGTTCCTAGCCCTTCTCTTAATAGCCTAGTAGCTTTCACTACTTTCTTCTCTTTTGTCTACTTAAGTCTTAACAAAACAGTACCCCTCCGGATTGCCAAAATAGTACCCCTCCGGATTGGCAATATTGAGACCCTTCCGGATTGGCAAAATTGGGACCTTTCCGGATTGGCAAAATTGGGACCCTTCCAGATTGGCAAAAATAAGACCCCTCCGGATTGGCAAAATTGGGAACCTTCCGGATTGGCAAAATTGGGACCCTTCCGGGATGGTAAAATTGGGACCCTTCCGGATTGGCAAAAATAAGATCCCCCGGATTGGCAAAATTGGGACCGTTCCGGATTGGCAAAATTGGGACCTTTCCGGGTTGGCAAAATTGGGACCCTTTCGGATTGGGACCCCTCCGGGTTTATAAAAATAGCTTTTCAGAGTTTCTTAAAGTTTTCATCCAATACCCTTCCGGATACGATCTCCGATGCTATTATGCTGTTGGAACTTACTAGGAAGGATGTATTTTCTTTCCCAAGACCCTTCCGGATTGAAGTTAAGCCTCTTATTTGACAATTCACCTTAACTGTGAAGGGTCTTATCAATAGCCTAGTTTCGACTCGACTATGGTTTTCAGGTTTCCTTAGCCTTCACTTTTTGTCTAGAACAGCGTAAAATTGCCTTATTCAACCGTTGCTACCCTTTGGTAGGGGTGTAAGGGCTTTCTTTAAAAAAAAATTAAAACGTGAAGGGTCTACCCTCCCGAATTAGTGAGTTTGCTAAAAACAATCTTAAAAAATTTTCTCTCTTATTTTTTTGAACAATTGATGTTCCTATGAGTAAGCTCTCCTAATTTCTGTTCTAATAATACTAAGATCAACTCGATCTGTTGTTCTAAAGTTATTAACCAAAACTTCTTTTTTCTAAAATCAAAAATTTTCTTTCTTATAGGCTCCGCCTAACTGTTTTCGCAATTCTGTTCTTTTCGACCTGAAAATTTTTGATACGAGCTCAAAAGGCCTATACTCTTCTAGTTCAATGCAAAAAACCCGATCTAAAACGTTCCAGCTGAAAAAATTTGCCAAGACAACGCTATTTGGACCCTTCTGGATTGATGAATCCACTAAATCAAACAAGTTAAGTTCGATTTCACTGTAACCCGGAAGGTTATCGGCAAGCGAGTTTTAAAACCTATCGATTCACTAAAAAACGTTGTCCGAACAACAATTTTTACTGTCCTAATTCAAAAATTTCAAAAGTTTTTCTTATTTTGTAGCATTTCGTTTTTTCAAAAATCATGAAAATTAGGTTTTTGAAACCCAATTAGTTCCAACCACTTCCGAACTAAACTTAACCGGTTCTACCTATTATACTTGTACAATCAAAATGTAACTCACTAATTTAGCGCTTTTTTCCGTTTCAAAAAGGATCGATATCTCAAAAATCGCGATTTGTGGGGGGGGGGGTCAAAATATCGCTATTTTGACCCTAAAAACCGGTCTGCTTATTGGAGTTTTCACTGAAAATCCATATAGGAGTATGATTATCGGCTGTATAAATAGTAGAACTAGTATTATTATGCGCCTCCGGGTTTGTTCAATATCCGAATTAAGGTGCCTAACTCGGAAATTCGCAGTTCGGTGAAGGGTCACTACAGTGCAGTCAATGTCGAGCCCCCCACAGAGTAATATCTTACTTTTTGTACCAAAACGGTTAACAAAACTTGTTAACGATACCCAACAGTCGATTGTTGTTGTCCTTGAGCCCCTTCTTGTCGCTCCTTGAACTGCTTGCCGGATCAGTCTTCTTCTCTAATCCAGAGACCCTTCCGGATTGAGCGCAAATTAGCATTACCGTGCTTAAATACTCAAATAAACCTACAGTACAAGCACCACAAACGGGCCACAAAATTAGTCGTAACAATCTTGACTGATATAAAAGTCTGCAACAACAATATATCTAACATCAACAAACGGGAGGGTCGGATCACACCTCGTCTGGGGGGATGATTTCAACTGATTTTATATTTTTTATTCACAGTTTTTGGTTTTTCCGGTTAATTTTTCTGTTTTTTGTTGTTTTTTAGGTACTATACTACTTTTTGTTTGGTTTTCTGTACATCTTTAAGTGTTTTTGATCACGTACCAGTCAGGAAATGACGGGACAGCGAATCCCCCCACCCTTACTGGTTCTTGGATTTTTGGTCTTAACCAGGTTAAAAAGCTATTCACGGGAATCCGGAAGGCTTCCGCGTTCCAAACTACCCTTCCGGCCCGGTGGTTAGGGCGTTGTTTTGAGCATCTGCTCGGTGCGGAGTGCTCGTTAATGTTTCTGCCGGTCAGGGTGTTAAAAAAGAATAACATAACACCCAGGAGCGCCATAAAAACGTCTATGTAACATTCTCCCGGAAATACATATCGACAGAAAATTAAGCTAGATTCTAAAACGACTGGCTAGCGTCTAAACACAGCTCTACATATTTTTCACCGTCTCTGCTGAAGCCAGTTCTTTTGGTGGTCTTTCTGACATCGGGTCGACAAAACGTTACTGCTTTCAGACTTCGACCAGAACGCTCAAATTAACTTAATTATAAGCGAAAGTAGTGGGCTCATGGCTGAGTCTCAGTATCCCCAGACTACGAGGTCACTCCTAAAAACAGGGCTACTACTAGTTAATATATTACTAATGTTTTTGTTCAGTAGATAAAAATCATCATCTCCATCGAAGATGGATCAACCCTTTCCCTCACTCATAGCTTCTCATTCTCTGAAAATGAATCTGGATGTTAATTCAATTCAACTCAGGAAATGACCAGGAAGCTAAATCTTATTTTAAACAGTTTGAGTCTTGGGCCCGAAACCCCTCCGTATTCTGGAATCCGGGGAAATAGCACTCCTATTTCTTTCCGAAAGGCTGGACACGCCGTCCCAACACCCTTCCTTTTTCTCGGGTTCTACGTTGTAACGATTGTAGCAGCACAATCGTTACAACTCGGAATGGTTCTTGACAATCTCCAATTACATTTTCAATCTGTTGTCGTTTTCTCGTAGTTGTTTCCACTGCAACTTTTGTTGTTCTGTTTCGCCGTTTCAGTGTATGCGAAATATAAAAAGGTTATGTGTCGTTTACGTCCAAATCGAAATTTTAAAAATTAGCATGTCAGTTAAAACTAACCCTTCCTGATTTGTCTAATCGTTCAAATACCGCTGCTAATCTTTTAAAACCATCAATCTTCCTGGATAGATGTTCCTTTTCTGATCGATGAAAATTCGATTGCGAAACCGCATTTTCGTACATTCTGGTCGAATGTTACAACGGTGAAAAACGAGTAGAATTTAGGTAAGTCCAGTCGTCAATAGGTTTTTTTCTGCGCTCCGTCGTTGTGTAGTATTTGGGCGAATGTTACACTGGTTTTTAGCTGTCTTGGAGGTGCTTCTCCGTTAACGAGTAAAATTATTTCGCAGTTGTCCTATCTCATCTCCCTAAAAAGAAGTTACAGTCAATCGGATGCTACTAACTTGGTAAGAACAAAAATATTGTTTTCACTAATGAGAAGTGCGGTTCTCTGCCTCCGCGGAACGCGTAAGCAGAAACTTATTTCGACTACTGACTTCGACTTTAACTCAACACTCTTCAACTTACTGATGAACAATTCCATTTATTCCATTTACTACACTCAAGGTATAATTAGTAGCAAAAAGTTCGGACAGACAGAATTAATTAAAATGAGCAATCAGTGCTTTTCGATGCTTTTTTACATGCAAAATCTGAAGCCGAACAACCTTGAATTTTTTGTCAGACCAAATTCAAATTGAGAGATTGTCGATTATCCGATGATTATGCTAGCCTAATTTTTAAATACTGCTTTGAGCATCCAGATTTAACTATAAAACATTTCGGCGCTTCGGATACAATTGCCCGCCTTGGTTATAGGTTTTGAGCGAAACTCGGATCTACTTAACAATCCCCTTATTGTATCTACTAAAGAATCTCGACCCCTGTAAGTAAAAACAGTAATTTCGCACAAGAGCATTGTATGTAAACTCGAATTTTGCTGCATTCTGATTGGTAGAAAATTCGCTGCAAGTAATCTACTGAACAATCCCCCCTTTCTTGAAGGGGGGATTGTTAAGTAGATCCAAGTTCTCAGAAATACATTGTGGGGGGAAACTGGAATAGAGCTGACTTCGGTTACCATGGTAATTTTCTGACCTGATTCATTAAAAAATAATTAGATTTTTATGGTAAGTGATAATGTTGGCGCATTGATCAGAAACAGCGGTTGCTGCCGTAATCTTTTTTGGTAAAATTTTTCAACCAGAAGTTACCCGGTGAATGAAGTGAGCGATATATTTGCTTGCTTTTTGATAATATCACGAGTGACGTGCTTTTGTTTAGTGTAAGGAGGAGTATAAAATATCAATATGTCGATGTTTCAGAATGTATGTGTTCACTGCGCTCACAATATCAGCATTCTTTGCTGTGCTGATAATGGTTCCTCAACCTTACATGGATGAAATTTTTCATGTTCCACAAGCTATGCATTATTTAGACGGAAATTTTTCTACATACGATCCCAAAATTACAACTCCACCCGGATTGTATTTTTCAAGCCTTTTATGTGCTGTGTTACCACCTTTCAATCCGGTAATGCTACGTGGAGTGAATATTGTATTTGGTTTAATGACTTATCACTGCCTTCGAAATTTTTTCCAAAGTGATTTTCAAGCTTCAATTGGGTCTATGCTTCCATTTATGTGGTTTTTCAATCACCTGTTTTATACCGACAGCGGTGCAACTTTTTTCAGTTTATTTGCTGTTTATAATTCTTTGCATTCTAATAACTTCAAGAGCGGGTTGATGTGTATCCCTGGCTTGCTATTCCGACAAACTAATTTAATATGGACCTTCTACGCAGCTTCAATTATTGTAGTGTCATCTCTAAAGAAGTTCAGTTTCTCCTCTGATGAATCCTTAAAACCATTTTTTGAACCAGCAAGTTCTTTTCTCGAAGAATTAAGTTTTAGAAGCTTCTTAAGTGTCGGTAAAAATTTACTGAAAACTTGCTTATGTTTTCAGTTTATTAAGAACGTCATAGTAAATTGTAGCTTACATTTATTGTGTCTAATAGCATTCATGACTTTCGTTTTTTGGAATGGATCCGTTGCACTCGGGGATAAAGAAAATCACGCTGTAACTGTGCATCTTGCTCAGATTCCTTATTTTTTCCTTTTTGTTTTCTTATTTTCGCCTTTCAGATTTTTACCAACTTATCATCAGTTGACGAAGTTGCTCAACCGCAAAATGTTAGTTGCTTTTTCCCTATTGCTACCCCTAGTTTATTGGTGTGTTCATTATCATGCTGACCCTCATCCTTTTTTGTTGGCAGATAATAGACATTTTACATTCTATCTATGGAAAAAGTTACTGAATAGAAATCAGGAGACTAAACTTGCATTGGTTCCATGCTACTCAGCATGTGTGATTTTGGTAGTTCGGAAACTAGCAAAAACTTTGAACATAATTCAGCTCATTTGTCTTCTGGCTTCAATATTTATCGTGTTATCAGCCACGCCTCTTTTTGAGTTTCGATATTTCATCGTGCCGTCTTTATTGGTGTATGTATCATGCAAACCAGAACCCTCTCTTGAAAAGATGCAATCTTTTTTTGATTTAACATTATACGCAGTCGTCAACGGATTAACGATGTACTTATTTTTGTATTGCCCGTTTAAGTGGCCAAGCGAGCCTGGAAAGCTTCAGCGATTTATGTGGTAGCGGTCTTGTTTATTTATTTGCTGTTTTGAGTTTGCTGAAAGAAATCTTGAAAAACCTTGTTTTGAAAAGCCCTTAAAGTCATTAAGGTAACGATAGAAATGCTACAATCGATCATTTGTGCGAACGAAACTTGAAGGCGATATACTGAAAGTTATTTATTACTAATTAAGCCTTAAGTAAACCCTGTTTTGTTTTTCAGAGGTCATGTTACTGTAGCCTAACTACAACCGAACCAAGACAGTATTCATTGGCGCCTAAAGTGACGTTGAACTATGAGTTCTACATTTTTATACATTCGAGGGACATCTTTTCTGCTTTATTTTTAATCTGACATTCCTCCCCCACCCTTCTTCTCCCGGGAAGGGGGAAGAAAAGAGAGGAATCGCTGTATGATGGTGTCAAGGTGGGTAATTTCCAGTTAAATCAAACGAATTATGCATTAAACTTTTTCTGTTCTTGTCCTTTATGGACAGTTTGCATTCCAATCAATGCTTTTTATCTGCACGATTAGCTAGGGTTTTGATATGACCTGATACTAATTTTTTTAAAACCATTAGAGATTTTTTATAAATTGAATGAATTGTATTTTGAATGAATTCCTTTTTTTGACATTAGCAAAACATTCTTTGTAGCTTTTGGTTGTTTTTCTTGGTTTGTCTTGGAATCGAGATCCAGACTTTTCTCCCGTAAACAACTTTTCTTAAAAATTTTTAACGAGATTTTTTTGCAATCTTAATAACTTATATGTGCCTTTGCGCTTGGCCTAGAGGTAACGCCGACGCCTTTGCACGCTAAGGTAAAATTTGATTGTCGGACTTTGGTTTATCTGCTCAAGTTTTGTCGGTTTACTTGCCACATCACGGATTTTTCTTGTGCTGTTAGCAAGTATCATGGTTGTTCCAAGTGTTGTTCATTGTAGGTTCAGGGGGTCTTTTTATACTGCCATTTTTCTTCGGCCTAACTGTTGTCTGCTCAAAGATTGTCGGCTTTGTTTCTCTGTTTTCGCTTCGTAAGTTTTGCTCAGTTGCTAATTAAACACTCAAATGTGTTGCTTGGTCTGCTGGCATGGACTTTCTGTTTGATAAAACAGGTTTTACGAAAATATGTGGGATTGGGTTTTCTATATTTTTTTCTGGAAAGTTTTTTCTTTTTTTGTCAGAATTCAAGTTTTTCTCTAACTATTCTTCAAGTTTTCGACAAAAGTGTATCAATAGAAAATTGCCTACTCACCTGCGTCTCCCCTAATATATATTTTTTTACTGTACCCCTCTGTCTACAGATTTCGGAAAAGTCGGTGGGGGAAAATTTGACAGATATTTTAGATTTTTTTTGTGCTCAAAAGAATACCATCCCAGATCTGAGATTGAGGGTTCAATGGAGATAACGGTTAGTGAGGAGCTCCCATGCATTAGCGGGCACTGACATTTTTAACACAATAATTTATCGCTCTCAGATAAGTCAAATTTAAGGTTTTTCGAACTTATTGAATTTTCTCTAATATATTTGGCCGCCCATATCCTTGTTTCAGTCCAAGCTTGCATACGCGTCAAGATTCAAATGACTTAAAAAGTTATGGCCCTCGGAAAAGTTAAAATTTTCACTTTTCTCTATTGTACTCACAAATTTCAGTTTCTGGGTTCCACCGAAATGACCGGCTGCGTGAATCTCTGCTGCCGTAGTAGATACGACCAAATGTTCTTACACGAAAGCAACGATTCTCGGAAAGGTCCTATTTTTGATTTGATGACCGTTTTTTTCCGATCTTTTTCGATAACTATCCTGTCAATCTGGTATTAACGGTTAAATTGAAAGAACATGTTGTTAAAAGCCTAACTCTATAAAAAGCTAAGCGCATTTTCTTTCAGAAAAAAGTGTTTGCCTTCAGAAAAGTCAAGGTTTGATTCAATGTTTGACTGTTTTTTTGGGAAACTTTTTGACTTTTCTCGAAAACTAGCCTGCCAATTCTCAGTTTAGGGAATCTTCTTTGCTGAAGCTGCATCGTTATAGTTTGAGCTGAAAAAATATTATGATTTTCGGAAAGTGAAGTTTAAGCACGTTTGACCGTTTTTAGAAACTTTTTGACTTCTCTAAAAATTACCTTTTCAAATCTGAGATGACGGGTTCAATCGAAAAAAGCGGCTGCGATATTTTTTTTTACTACAGAAGAGGCGACGCCTTAAATTTTTGCAAGGGAAATGTTTCGTCCTTGCAAAAATTCCAGGATCTCAAAATTTGTTCTCTTCTCACTTATTTTTGAAACAACAAAGGTTTTGGGCAAAGTCTTGATTTTGAAATTACCCAATTCATACCGCATTAGTAAAACAAATTTGAAAATTATCAAGCATGTACCTCCAGCTTAAACTGGGCGCCTCTAGTCAATTTTTAGCGAGACATGTGAAGTTTTGATTCATATAGTTGTTTTTTCAATATTCTTCATTTTCTACATCTCAAGTTTTTTTGTTGTGTTGCAATTGATGCGAAGCTCCGCTTCGCCTTCGTGCAATTTATATCAGAACCCAATTTTTTAAGATTCAATTTCAAGATCCCCTTTTCTGATTTGATGATGATTGCAACAGTGCTCCTAAATGTAATCCCTAAGACATTGGACTGATCCAGAATAGTCTTAAGTACGCAGATCAGAGTGAAAGATTGTATCGAATGCTTGTTCTAACTAAAGTGTAATACCAGAAGCTTTTGTGACAACGAGTAAAGCCAATCAGTATCTGTATCAAGACATCAATAGCGCGTCTATTTAAGAATCAGAATGCCGGGAGTGGAAAAGGGAGATTAATGTTAAGTTTGGAAGTTAAATAAGAAAATTGTGAAATGGATTTTTGTCTATGAGAATTTCTAAGAAGCAATATATAGATGGCAAGTTTGCTCCGTCCTTTTTACTTGATTTTGAATATTTTTTTTTGTCAAAAAATGGTTATTATGTGTTAATGAACAAAATTGTTTTTTTTTTTGGAAAAGAAAGACGTTTTTTTTTGTGGACTAAAAAACATTATCAAACAGTAATAAAGGCTTTTTTAGGCGAACGTCTTTTCTAACATAATCCATCGAATGATTTTGAGTTCTCACTTTATAGTGAGCAAACATTTCCAACTCTACTGTCACGCTTGGTCTAGCTAGCGGTAACGTCTATGCCTAGGACTACAAATGTTCCACCAGGAATTCGAGCAGGACTAGTTTCTTTTCGCGATCTCAAAAAAGAGAATATTCCGTTGGGAAAAACAGTTGTCAGCCTCTCGTTTGCTTGATTACTTTCTTTCCGCTTTGTCACAACTAAAATTGCAATCGGGGTTCTGGGTCTAGACCCACAGAAGTGATCTTGGGTATCAAGCTGAAAAAGATTGTGTCGGCTAAAATTTTATCCATATTTTTTGGCGCTCTTACTGGGGTTTTATTTCAGTTAGTTCTTGATAGTTTTTTGAATATATTTTTTCTAATTTTCAAGAATAAATATTGTTCATGGGCTTCTGGTTTTTACATGCTGAAATTTTCTATTAAAATTTTTTGCATTAAATTTTAAATTTTTTGGATGCATTGTGTTCTGAATGTGCGTGGAATTAGCTTAAGTCAGTTGGGATTGTTTCATTTTCCAGCAGTTGAATTTGAAATCAATGTGCAGCCTTTTGTTTGAATATGTCAAAAATAATCTTTTCAGAAAAAAACTAAGTTTTCAGAAACTTGTTCTTTCAATTTTGGCTCGACTGTTTTGGCTACGAATGTATGTGGACTGTCTCACGAGATTCAAGACTGTGGTTCTTTCTGGCTGATTTCTTTTTTACCATTGGTGGTACCTTGGTTCATAATGAATTCAAGTTTTGTAGTGTTTCTTGCACACTTAGCTTGGTGGTAGCGAATACGCTTGGAACGGCAAAGGTACTGGGCTCAAATCTGACCAGGACTAGTTTTTTATCAAGCGGTAATTGCTCTGGTTCAAAAAAGTTTCTGCCTATTATTTTCTGATTGTGTTGTCGGCTTAGTTGCCACATCTACGAATCGTTTATTATAGTTGTAAAATTTTTTAACTGCAGTTGTTTTTAGCATTTTAATAATCGGGCTGAATCGAAATTTGCTTTTCACCATGGTTGTAATTTTACCAGCTCGATTTTTAAAATTTCATCGGCTCTATAAATTTCGGCCTAATTAATATCGACTGTGGCTTCGTTCAGCTCGAAAAAAGTTAAAGCCCGAAAAAATATTGCGTCGTTAAGCCAGCAAAAAGATTTTGTGCGCGTATGAGCTCTGAGGGGAAAAGGGACTTGGCATTTTTTTTGTAAGTTAGGATTTTTTCTGAATTACTTTTCTGCATGAAGGGTTTCTGCTTAGATTTTTCAGCTTTGTTACCGCCTGGTGATTATAAATTCAAATCTAATCAACCATCCGGCGCATCTGGCTGGCATAGAGGTAAAACAATTGCTTGAGACTTCAAAGATTTGCGGTTCGAAGCCCGCCAGGTCCTTTTTTTGCCAGGTTTTTTTTCGGATTATCGTCCGTCTGTTTATTCTTGTCGGCTTAGTTCAGCTTTAGTGCGAATTGCTGTAACTCCATGCTTGAGACAAGAAAGCCCGGGAGTTCGATTCCATATGAGACTTTTTTTTTGCTTGCAAATAGAGAAGTTTGGCTAATTTAGATGGTCTGTCTGCTTATTTTTGTCTGCTTAGTTCCACAGAAGGGACTGTTTTTTTTCTGAAAACTTGGGTTCTGTATAGCATTCCCAAAGCTCGTTATAGCCTTTCTAATGGTGCCGGCAGTTGTGTTCCGGATATTATGGGCTTTTGTAGCAAGTCCTTCAGTTCTAGTTTCTTACTTTTGCTTCAAAGTTTTGTCTTTTAAATGTCAGAAACATTGAATAGAGGTGAAACACGAAAGTTAACTGGCGCCAAGAAGAACCTTGAAAAACTGAAATAAAATGACAGCTTTGGACAAGGAAAAATCAATCAAAAATAACAAGGAGAAAAACAAAGACTAGATGCATGAAATAAGTCGACGAAACTTTTTTTCTTCTGTTGATGTTTTTTTTTTCAATGTCTGTATCCAGAATTGAAAACAGTTCCTTCAACGATTTTTCAGTTTGTCGTAAAAACTTCCACTTTTTCAAACACTTCTGGGTCTATCTTGCTGTTTTGTAAGTTTTTTATTGAACGGTCTTATAAAAGCGAAAAGAAAGATCTAAGTTTTTCAGCCTTTGTTACGCAAGTGAAGCCTAACGTTCTAAGTTAACAGCCATTTTCAACTGTCTATAGCTTATCTTTTGAGCGCTTACTCTTAAACTCCAAGTTCCGGACATTTATTTGCTAGAACAAAAGTGGATACTGAGACTACAGTTCGCCCGTTAAAAAACTTTAAGACCCATATTCAATTGAAATCTTCTAATTGGTCATTTTTTGAAGTGAGTGATAGATAATCAATTATAACAATCATTGAGAAACAAAGTATGCGGACCATAGAAAAACTTCATTTGTATCTATAGACTTTTGATGAGAACTTGAAGCTTTCCATCTTGCATCGAAGAAAAGTAAGGAGTTGATTTTATGCTATTTTTGTATATTGTTTGCTTTCATCTGCTAATTGGAACGTTTACTTGCGGAGAAAATCTCAAAACGACTCTTTCCGAATAGATTGCTATAGTGAAATGGTGACAACGAATGTAAATTTTTCGCTTATACGATTTATCTGCTTTATTCAAATGTTTATTCTTTTTTTTACTGAAAAAAAAACTCTTTAAATTCGAAGAGGTGCAACTGGCAGTTGTGGACTTTAGGAGGTAGGGTATTGCGAGAACTCGGAAAATCAATTTGGTCGACCTAAAAATGTTTCAAACATTTCTTTGTGAAAATCCGCCTCTAATAACTATTGATCTGAGCCTGGCAAAAGGTCAAATGTAAAAGCCGAACAAGATAGTCGATTGGTAGAGATAATATCTTGCTTTGCGAACAGTGGGCAAACTTATTGGCTGATTCATTTTTAGTTGCTCAATCTTTATTGCAGGTGTATGGACTCATGTCTGTCGCTGTGTGGATGTGCTTCTTTCTTGATGGGCAGTGATGGATATAGATACCACAAACAGAGAGATGTCCTCAATGCCAATGCATACATCTCTCTTGACACGCAGTTTATGGGTGAGTCATCGAATCTATCCAATGAAATTTTAACTCGTCTTTAACTCCTTCCTATTAATGTTTTTCTTAATGGGCTCTGTACTTGTATGAATAAGTGCTCGCTTTCTAGATTGAGTAGATATATTTTTATTTGGAATTCATGAATATTCTTTTTGTTTTTGCGAATGTGGGAAAAAACGCCGTCGTCGTGATTCGAGTTGCAATGAAAAGTTTGTTATGCGGTTTTCAAGTAAAAATTTTAAATTTGATGGCGCTCAAATTTTACGGTTTTTTGTACAGTTTGTTGTTCGGTTTCTTTTAAGTTCAGTATCGAGTGCATTTGCTAAATGAAAAATTAATTACTCTATCCAAGAAAAAAACTCAAAATGGCGCTAAACAACGTGAGTGACTTAAAGATGTGAAAGAGGATTTTAGTTTTAAGAATTCCTAGCGGAATAATCATAATACGAATGAGAATTAGTTTTCAGGCAGATAAAATACAAAAGTCCAACATGGAGGAACTTTTTGTAAATTAAATATTGCATGTGGGACCATCATTGTATCTACAGCTCCATTTTCAGGCGTCTGTGAGCGGAAAATATAGGCATTATTTTCGACTATAATGTTGAGAACAATGTCTCGCCCTAATTACACTTGCAATAAGCAAGGGTAATGCAACCGGTATTCGAATTTTTCCGACAAATAACTTCGTTCTCAGAATGGTACCTTTCGAAGCAAGTTCGAAATTGTAAACAAATTTGCATCTTACTTATTTTGCGTATATTGCGCTAGAGCTTGCTTCGTAGGTCGTAGATGCACAATTTTTCTGCAAATATTTCATTTCTGTCTGCATAGTTACTGCTCACTATTTTTTTTCTGTTAATCCAATGCTGGCCGTTGTGTTCCGCCTCAGTTTGTCATCAAAGTGAGTTTCTTTTGAGACAAACATATTAAAATGTTTTTCATTTTTTTACGATTCGGTGGCTGTGTTGAAAATCAATTACCTAATTAAAAGTAATGTAATTTTTTACTCACGCGCAAAAATGGTTCTCAAAGTCCAAACGAAAAATATTTGTAACGTTAAAAAAGACAGATTTGAGATATGCATTTTAATTAAGTCTTCCTTGTCTCTCATTTAGACTATATACTTCAAAAACGTGGTTGATTTCATTAGACTTTAAAACAATTTGCGTTTTGTTAGCCAGATGAAAAAACCCGATGATAATATTAAAACAGTTCCGAGTTGAAAGCAGAGTTTTACGAATCTATTAGAGTTTTTCAATAGACCGTGATGAAAAATACCGTGATGAAAACATGTTTCTCGCAAACTGTATATTTTTGAAATAGAAGGTTAGTTGATAAGGTTTTAAATCTAAAATTACCGCGAATTTTGTTGATTTTCTTGTCTAACAAATATATATGATTTTTTATTCAAGATCACACCGGTAAACTTTTTCATAAACTTTTTCTACGCTCAAGAATGCGGATGATTATTTTTATTGAGGAACATTGAGCAAGTAAGCTTATTTTTGTACAATCAGTTTTCAGTTATATCCATAATAGTTTTGTTGAGTTGCATTTTTTGTTTTTCTACCATTTGCAGTATCATTGCAAATTAATACCCTTTCGTATTTTGGAAATTAGCAACTATATTATTATTAAAGGTTATATTCAAAAGCAGAACTAGAACTGAGCCCTTGGGAACACCAAAAGAAGTCTTTTCGGATTTTTATCAGCGGTCTCATCGCATCAATTGGTCTATCATTTCGATAGCCAAACTGTTCGTTCCTAAGTAAACTTAATCAATCTAAATAACTCAAAACTCGAATATAAATCAGTTTTTGTTACATTTTGTCAATAATCGGCAACAATGCAAATTGCATATCAACTCAAGTTTTCTCTCATTGCAAGTTTTTGATGAAAAAAGTGCAACACATAAGATTCTTGAATTTGAAAGAGCTTTTACCTGGCATAGTTGCCCTTGAAAATTCGAAATTTCCTTGATTTTTCAATTGTCTGTTGGCTATGGTTATAATTATGATTTGGTATTAAAGCAGAAGTTCAACCCTCCAGACTGCATTATCTACAGACACAGCAGGAGCTTTTTTTACCCTCAAAAGTAATTTCAATCAATTTGCTGTTGATATTGGTTTATGGAGTCTATCTATCTATTATCTATCATAAATTTAATCTATCAAATCATCTTGTTTTTTATGCTTTTTCAAAACTTTACGAGAAAACTTCACGCAGTTTGAAATAGCGAGGTACTCAACACTATAGCGAGGTTTTCTCAAGGTACTATCAGGATGTTTATTTGGACTCCAAGTAAAACAAACTGCTCAATGTCCTTTTTCTTAGAGATGGCGTTTTTGTCTTATCTGAAAACTTTCAAAACTGTTAAGTTTCAAAAAAAAATTACTTGTCAAATTTTCAATTGTCGACCCTTTTGTGGTGTGATGTCAGGTTGCTACTAGCTGATGCATATGTGGCCTCCCATCTTAATAGTTTTGCTAATTGACTTAAGAAAAAGGAGTGATATTTTAAAATTAATAACGCTAGATAATGAATTTTATTTATGAATTTTATGATTTGAAATTGTCTCAATTTTTAGTAAATATAGAATGTGCAGTTGTTTGCTTTCGGCCATTTCAGGGTTTTGTTTGTGAGTTAAAAGTACGAAAATCTGAAACTCAATAGTTTAAATTAAAAGTAATTGACCATTTCAGTTTTAAAAACATTTAAATTGAAATTATTTTTATCGTTCAAATTTTGAAATCAAAAGTGTTATTGTCGCGGTTGCATTCAAGTTGTTGGATTTTTATTAACTTTTTATGAGCAACTTTCACGTTCGCTAATATTTTTGAAGCACCGGAGGTGCGCTACACGCTAGTAAAATTAATTGTAGTCATCATAGTTTTCATGCTAACTGATGGCGATTTCTGTTGTAAGAGAAAATATTAGCAGATATCATTATTGTTTATTTTTTGGACAGGCGAGGAGGCGATAGTGCTCAAGTGTGGCAGTCGGCTGTGTGGGGAGGGGGGAGTGTTGCTGAATGTGCCCCTCCTTCAGAGCAAGTCTTACTTCGAGGTCAAAATACAACAGTCAGGTACACCACAACATGACACTAGACAACACTAACACATCCTCACTTAAGTCAGTTTCTTGACTTCGAAGAATTTGCATTGACTCATCTGAGCACAAAATCATTTTGTTTGATATTGCAATTGTGCATTTTTTTTTCAAGGTACCTTTTAGGTCCTCTTTTTCCTAGATCTGGAAAAAATTTGGTTCGAAGCTTTTATACATGACGTACAAATGCTTTGAAGCGATTATCTCTGAAGTCTGACGAGAAGATTTGAAGTTTCGATGCTGTGAATTGCAAATAAACATAACAGCGTGAACAGATTTTAAGCAAATGAACAGATTTTGAGTCATGTTTCTTTTATGAAAATTGTCATTTTTACGAAGGGGCGGGAAAATAGAAAAGAGAAGTAATTTTTTCCCAGATATAGAACAAAATAAAAGAGACAATTCACTTTGTGTGGTTGATCCTAGCCGTCTGCTGTGCTAATAGGCAATTGGGGAGTGGGTGTTGCAACGAGAGACGCAGACCTCAGCCATCCTCCTTTGGGTCGCGACTTCTTCTCTTGGGTAATGCGCAGCACGGGCGAGTTGTTCCACGACGACAAAGTAGTCTCAACCGCATCTCTCCCCAGTGCAGCCGATTCATCCAGGTAATTGCTACAGTCCCCTTTACAGACATCGATCTTGTTGCGTTTTGTTGTAGGATATATTAAGCAATGGGAAGGGGGGTTGCATCTAACCAATGTCGCGTTTGAGGCTGCTAAAAGACCGGCTTGCTAAAAGAGCCCCAGCATATGTGGTTGCAGACTATTTTGCTGTCAGGATTGTTTAAGAACTGGCGTAGGGTAAAATTAGATTAGTTGCTTTTTTTTAAATTTATTTATATGTGACCTGTATTGGTCTTTCGTTTTGCATTTTGTTTTTGAAATGAGAATTAAAATAGCCGGATTCACATTTCTTCGAGCGTGAACATTTTTTGTGCAAAATATGTGATTTTGTAAGGGCGAAAAAATATGCCTGTAGAATTTGAAGAGATCCTATTGGCGACTGAGTCTTACTGAGTCGATTTTATTCAAAACATTCGATCAGAAACGTATTCAGAACGTGTTTACTGGCATATGGATTGTGTCCATGCTGGATTTTTCCGTGTGGAATAAAATGGCTCGATGCTTCAAACTTATGCCGTGTAATTGTTTAATTTTGACATGTTTCTGATTTAGGTCCAGTCATAATCTGGTGGTGTGTAAGAGTGGCCGGACTGCGTGTGGAGTCCAAATGAGTGACTCATCTGTGAATCAAGAGAGACTGGGAAATGTGGCCAGCTTCGAAGACGGAGACATAATCGTAAGAACTGTTTTTTGATGAAGTTTAATAAGCCTTCACCATGCTGGTGAATTATCTAAACTCAAAAGGACCTAGACCAGGTGACTGATTGGTGTACGCTAAGCTCCACAGAGCTGAACCACGACAATTGCTGTTGAAGCCTAAAAAAGACATTTCAGCTTTCTACTTGAACTAAATCTACGATTGAACTGATTTACTTATTTAAAACCGCATTTTTACAAAAATCAATTGACTTCTATCTATAACTCGTGAAATAATTTACACTCTTTGCAAATCACTAGTTTTATTCAGTCGGATTGGTGATTTTTCATTTCCCAACTTTTGCTGCACAACATTTTTGGTGCAACGCGACTCACGAACGTACCAAAGATTAGAAACAAAGAGGAAAGTTAAAAATGTCATCACCTGCTAGTGACATGAGCAACGTGACGCTCACTCTTCCTGCTTTGAAGCGATCAAGAAGTGCTAACATCGGTGTCATTACCCGATCGGAAAATGCCGTCTCAGCAATCTTCGACAAAGAGGCATCTGCTCTAACTTACAAGGAAATTGGAACTCTCAAGGCCAATCTCACGATGTGCGAACGAAAGAAAAAGGAACTGGGAGAGCTTAATCAGCAAATTTCAAGTTTTCTAAACGATGATGAAGATGCACTTGAAGTTGAGTTGGAGGAAGCTGAGAAAATCTACCTTCAAGTAGATTGTTTGATGGAAATGATCACAACTATGTTAGATGACCGAGGAAAATGTTCAACTGAATCGGTCAAAGATGACGACAGCGCAAGCGGAACCGGATCCTACAAATCCACTTCCCAACGTGGTGCTGGTCGAAAACAAGATACTTGCCTGAAGTTGCCGAAACTGAATTCGCCAACATTTAGCGGAAGGTATGATCAATGGCTACCTTTCTTAGATTCCTTTGATGGAGCAGTTCACTCAAATGCATCGCTGTCTGATGTTCAGAAACTGCAATACCTAAAGGGTGCCCTCAAGGATGAACCGTTTCGTTTGCTATCCCACTTGCCTACTACAAACGCGAACTACTCAGTCGCAAGGGAACTTCTAAAGGATCGATATGCTGATGTCAAGATGATCTCACACGCTCACTTGGAAGCAATTTTTGAATTCACCCCAATGAAGCATGAGTCATCCGCTGCAATACGTCGCTTGATTAACACCTAAATGAAAACACGATGGCACTGACAGGACTTGGACTAAAAATTGATCAATGCGATTTGATCTGGGTTCACGTTTTGGCCAAGAAATTAGATTCTGAAACTAGAAGACAATGGGAACTTTCCTGCGCGGGAAGTGACATGCCAAAAATCAAGCAGATGAAGAAGTTCTTGGAGGAACGATCTCGCGCCCTAAAAGCTACGAAGGACCTCCAGTTACCTTCAATTCATAGAAAAAATCATCAAGGAAGTTCAGACCAATCTGGAAATTCTAAGAACGATGACAAGGTACAGACATACCACACGAACTCTGCTAAGACGATCAGCTGCCCATGCTGCAGTGGTGATCACCGCGTGTATCAATGCACAAAATTTCAGGAAATGTCAATTTCCAATAGAAGACAAGAAGCCAAATCAAAGCGATTATGCTTCAATTGCCTGTCCCTTGGACACCAAAATCATGAGTGCAAGTCGAAGTCAACGTGCCAAACCTGTCGAAAGGGTCATCACACGTTACTTCACATCCATACAGACCCAAACAAGCATACCGGACTTGAAAATAAGTTTACGGGTCATGGGGGTACTAGTACATGTGCCACTACCATACTGGGAACTGTACTAATTGAGGTGAAAACTGCAAATGGCGGTTATCACAATTGTCGAGCCTTACTGGACAGCGGATCTGAATGCAGTTTCGTTACAACCAGCTGTGCTAACCGACTCAAGCTACCAATCAAGAAATTGACTCTTCAACTAACTCGAGTTGGCGGAGGAGCAAAAACTGTGAAATCTGGTTCTGTCAATCTGGAAACAAAGGATTCTCAGAATCAATCTCTACATATTGAAGCCTTCACTCTTCAAAAACTTTCTGGCTACCTGCCCAGAAAACGGGTGAATATACCGAACAGTTTGGATATCACACGTCTTAAGCTCTCGGAGCCAGACTTTGACAAACCAAAGGAAATCGATATAATCCTAGGCTGTGATGTCTACAACGACATTGTTGGCTGCGAAAAGATTAAGCTTACAGACAAGCTTTATGCACGTGACACTCTATTTGGTTGGATGATTAGCGGCAGAACACCCGGTCCTCCAACAACCTTCTTCAAGTCATTTCATGTGTCTATTGACGATAGTCTAAGGAAATTTTGGGAATTAGAAGAAATTCCTGATTTCAAAAAGACAACAACACAAGAAGATCGATGTGAATCTCACTTTAAGGAAACAACCATACTACAAAATGGACGATTCACCGTGCAGCTGCCTTTCAAGCCCAATAGTCAACTTGGCGACAGTTTAGCACAAGCAAAACGCAGATTCAATTATCTCGAGCGACGACTGGAACAGAATCCAGAACTTAAAGATCGCTATACCGCATTCATAGACGAATTTCTCGATATGGGGAATATGGAGTACATACCGCCTGGAGAAATCGAAAAGCCAGTTGATAGCGTATATTATCTGCCACATCACTGCGTTTTCAAGGAAGATTCTACTACCACAAAGCTACGTGTAGTTTTCGACGGATCTGCAACAACATCAACCGGACAATCACTCAACGACACTTTGATGGTTGGTCCCACGGTACAAGACGACCTCTACTCGATAATCATGCGCTTCAGGTTCTACCCAATTGCTTTGTCAGCAGATATCGCAAAAATGTACCGAGTAGTTGCTCTAGAGGACAAATCGAAGGATTTCCATCGCATACTTTGGAGATCAAATAAATCGGATGAAATCAAGCATCTCAGGATGACACGTGTTACATATGGAATAGCTTCGTCAGCGTTTCACTCAACAAGATGCCTCAATGAAGTAGCAAATCAATCTAAGAACCCAATGATCAAAGAAAGTCTCAAAAATTGTTTCTATGTAGACGACTTTCTTGGTGGCGCTAATGATAAGCATGAAGCAGAAAGACTCATCTCTGATTTGTGCGAAGAGCTGAACTCTTATGAATTCCCTCTACGAAAATGGACTTCAAGCAATGCTAAAATAATTGAAGGATTGCCAGAACATCTCCGCGAAAAATCGGATGTGCTGGAACTTTTCTCTGACGAATACAAAATCAAGGCGCTAGGAGTCAGTTGGAAGCCCAATAAGGACATTTTTTGTTTTTCAACTGCCTTACCAGAGCTGAAACTGCTTACAAAGAGGACTATTCTGTCCACAATCTCAAAATTGTTTGATCCGATGGGATGGCTAGCTCCATTCATCATCAATTTCAAATGTCTCATGCAACAACTATGGGTCCAAGGTTTTGATTGGGATTCTGAAGTCGATCAGAAAACCAAGGAAAAATGGTACGAGCTCACCGGAACATTGCCTCAACTACTGAAACTACAGATACCAAGATCTATGAGCTCACATCCAATAAAGGAGGTTCAACTTCACGTATTCTGTGATGCTTCCGAAAAAGCATATGCAGCCGCAATCTATGCAAGAATTACCAATGATGATGGCAAGACTTTTGCATATCTACTGACCTCCAAAACAAAGGTTGCTCCGGTCAAAGCAATCTTTGTTCCCAAATTAGAGCTCTGCGATGCAAGTTTAGCTACCAAACTTCTTAAATCAGTTCATTCAATTTTGAGGAAAACAAATCTCAAGATAACTTCACACGCCTGGACTGATTCAACAATTGTCTTGCAATGGCTTGCTCAACTTCCAAGAACGTGGAACACTTTTGTTGCAAACAGAGTTTCACAAATACAAGAGACCCTACCCAGAAGTGATTGGAAACACGTGCCAACAGCAGTAAATCCAGCTGATTTAGCCTCTCGTGGTGTATTAGCTGACACATTAATATGTTCCTCACTCTGGTGGAATGGACCAGATTGGCTGACCAAAGATGAAAGGCACTGGCCCAACCTACAACCATCTCTAGTTGAAGCACCTGAAAAACGAACCGTCAAAGCCAAGACTAATGCAGAAAGTGAACAAATTCGAACTGTTCTCGCAAATCATGCTCAAAACGAAGAAATGACGGATGGAATTTTTCGTTTAAAGAACTACAGCACTTGGAACAAGACAGTACGCATCGCATGCTATGTACTATCATTTGTTCAACATCTTAAGCATAGAGTATCGACAAACTATCGGAAGCGGCTCAGATCTAAGCGGACATCTGATGTACAACTTGAAGAAGATTGTCTTAGTCCTAAAAATAGAATTATGGCAAAAATGCTAATTCTTCGTTTAGACCAAGAAATACACTTCAAATCAGAGCTAAATTGTCTAAAGGTGAAAGGGGAGCTGAGTAAAACATCGAAACTACTCAATCTTAGTCCGTTTTTCGACAAGGATTACGATCTACTAAGAGTTGGAGGCAGACTTTCACAATCGAACTACCCAACAGACAAGAAGTTTCCAATACTCGTTTCGAAAAAATCTGATTTAGTATCCCTACTTATACGCAAATATCATGAAGATACTCTTCATGGCGGGGGGCAATTAGTACTGAACACAATGAGAGAGGAAATTTGGATAATCGGAGGTCGTGATCTAGTTCGACAGTTCATTAGAAGATGCATGAGATGTGTCCGATTTAGTCAGCAACCTACTTCTCAATTCATGGCTGATCTTCCTACAGAAAGAATAACACCCGCTAAACCATTTGCTCAATGTGGAATAGACTTTGCTGGTCCCTTTGAAATTAAGGAAGCAGAGGTCTCAAAAATTTATGTTGCCGTCTTTGTTTGTCTCGCGACAAAAGCTATTCATTTGGAAATGGTTACTCGTCTAACCAAAGAAGCATGCATCCTTTCATTGAAACGATTTACTGCACGCCGTGGCAAACCTGAGAAGATCTTAAGTGACAATGGAAGCAATTTTATCGGGGCACGAAATGATCTGATCAAAATCAAGGAACTGCTCGACAAAAATGGAACGGACAAATCAGTTGTTAGTTTCGTCAATAGCCAAGGAACTGAATGGGTCACCATCCCTCCTCGTGCTCCTCACTTCGGAGGACTCTGGGAAGCAGCTGTAAAAAGTATGAAGAGACATATGCGAAAAGTTATAGGACTGCAACGTCTCAGTTTTGAAGAATTTCTTACAATTCTTAATCAAATTGAAGCTGTCTTAAATTCACGACCATTGTATCCAATGTGAAGTGATCCTAACGACCCAACTCCGCTGACACCCGCTCATTTTCTGATAGGGGAATCATTGCTAACTCTTCCCTCTGCGGACATCCAAGTTTCAACCAATGTACGATATCGACTATTACAGAATATGATCAAGGATTTCTGGAAAGTTTGGAAAAGGGATTATCTCATAACGCTACAAATACGGAAAAAATGGTTCACGGATGGCCCAGAATTTAAAGTTGGCAACCTAGTCCTACTTGCCGAAGACAATGAACGACCGCTAGAATAGAAAACTGGACGAATCATAGAAGTTTATCCTGGAAATGACTCAATTGTTCGAGTGGTAAAAGTGAAGACCACAACTGGTGAATACGTACGCCCAGTCGCGAAGCTGCGGAAGCTACCAGTATAGCAACCAAGTCATATCCAATGTGCAGTTCATTTAAAACAAGAACTTTATAGTGCTAAAAAATCGAAAAATATCAAAATGTGCAGTTTTCAAATTTTAAGAAGTAGTACCCCCATGACCCTTTTGAAAGTAGGAACCTAAATTACCCCCTATGCAATGCATTATGGTCTGAATCGTTCATATTGACCACTTTCATGTAAATTCCCAATGTTGTATGTTCATAAAAGTCGAAAATGATGTAAATTTTCATCAATTTTTGTGCTAAATCGTGCATTAAAATTCGTATGAGGTTGTACCCTCATGACCCAAAATAAAATTTTTGTCTGAAAACAGCTAGGATACGCCTACACTACTGTCTTGAATGTAACAATAGGCTCTCTGATCACGTCAACTGTTAAATTGTTATATTTGCCTTTAAATTATATTCAAAGATGTCGTATTGTAATGATTTACAACCATTAATTCGCATAAAATGTTTTTTCTAAGTACACAAACTTTCGCTCATGACTCGTACCGTTAATACTTCACTTGTATACTCCTTACTTATGGTGCAGTCACATTTAGTTCATTTATTGAATAACTGTTAACATATTTACCGTTGAACAGTCATTCGCTGTCATCTGGTCCTCTTCGCTTGTTGACCCTGCAGTGTTGCTGGCAGCGCTTCCACGCAGATGCTACCAAGGAAAGTCTAGTTTGCATCTCCGGATAGTACATACAGCAGACCCTCTCTTCGTCGCAGAGAGTCAGAACTGCATGGCACCACGCATATGGAAGATACAAACTTTTCCCCTCCTCAAGAACACCATAGTGGATCAGTTTCTTCTGCCGAGGACCAAGGTTCCTCAGATACTTAGCAGCATCAGTGAACCCCATCTCCGAATCATTGCTACCGGCCAGGCGCTCAAGTTCACCAGAGAGATTAACTTCAGATGTCATCAGCCACAACTTTCGGCCCCCCAGAAGACACAAAACAGCATCATCTTCCTCCTCCAAGTCTTGATGGAAAGTCCGGAAGGACGAGGACTCTACAAAAATACCTTGGAGAAGAGAAGAAAAGACCTGCTTTGGCCATCTGGTCTGACCTCCAGACATGACGCCAATAAGACCCTTAGCTGTCACACTAGGAGTCTCTCGACAGTTAACTCGAACCTCCCAGCCAGTGAACAATGACCCTTCTACGTTGAGGTCACTGATACGTTTAAGACCTCTAAGTTGCTTCTAAAACAAAACAAACAATTGATGCACACCCGCTATACTCTACTAGTATGATACAATGGAATAAATGCTACTCACAGTCTCAGCTTTCGGAAACCGCAGAACTGCCCTATCCACGATTGCAGCTTCCTTCCTTGAAGACTGGATCTCATCCAACGACTTTACAGGAATCGGAGTGAAACCCAGATCTCCTCTGGTCACTGCATCGAAGAAACCCTGCAGGTCCTCCCGGTCGACAGCGCCCCGCCTACTGGACCTTCGCACCTCGCCATGTGGAGGCAGACGTGGTGCTCTGCCCGACTCCGCCCTGCTCTTTCTCTCCTTTGTCTCGTGCACTGTGAATGGATAGTCGTACCCAGACATAACAACGATCTGAAAATTGAAGATACTTCAAGGGAGGCGGAATGTTGAAGCCTAAAAAAGACATTTCAGCTTTCTACTTGAACTAAATCTACGATTGAACTGATTTACTTATTTAAAACCGCATTTTTACAAAAATCAATTGACTTCTATCTATAACTCGTGAAATAATTCACACTCTTTGCAAATCACTAGTTTTATTCAGTCGGATTGGTGATTTTTCATTTCCCAACTTTTGCTGCACAACAATTGCTACTTAATTGCAGTCGCACGCCAATCGCAGAAGATATCTGAATTTATTATCAAATGAGCAAATGTTTCATTTTGGCGACACTGTTTTAAAGTTGTAAAATTTCTTATCGGCTAATTGGGTCTTGTTTATTGCTAGTATCTCAGAAGCAATTTCAGATTTTGTTCGCGATTGTTGGATTTACTCTATTTTTACTCATGCGCAATTTTATGAAAGTTCAAATAAAACTACCATTATTTAAGAAGTAATTAGGTAAAGTTCATTTCAGGTAGAATTTATTTCAAAAACATTTCCGGAAAAAATCTACGTAAATCTAAAAATCTACGTAAATCTAAGAAATCTAAAAATCTTGTAAATTTAAGAATTTTGAGTGTGATTTTGAGTAATTTTTTTAAAAAATATTTAAAGAGGTTTCGGCGGCTTACGTTATAGGTTTTGTCGATGATTATTGCGTTATTTTTAGGACAAATTAAATATTTATGCGATTGTGTTTCAGCACGGATGGGTCGTAAAAACTTTGGAAACTTCATGAAATTTTTTATGACGAAAGTTATCTATTTGGTGCTGAATCGCATTGGCAATTTGTTAGCATATGAAGCGGCTTTATTCGTGACTATTTTTTGTCGGTTGTTAAGCTTGAGTGGCTGAGACGATAGTGCGCGATGCTCAAAATATCTTAATTGCAGTAGGTCGCAGGTTCGAATCCTACTTTTCCGAGTTTTTGCTAATTCGAGGCTTATTTCTACTTTTTTTATTTAACTTGATAGAGCTGCTTTTTGGTCGTGTTCTCGCAAGTGTTTGCGAAGCGCATCTTCGAATCTGTATAAAAGGAAGGCAAACTCCACTATTGAACATCAAAAGTGTAAAGTTCACGACAAACGTGAACGATATGTTTTTCTTCTAAAAAGTTTTTTATTAGTTATATGGAAACTATGCAAAGAAGTTTATGGTGACCCAAAATTTTCTGAAGGAAGTGCAGTTGTGTAAATTCCTAAGATTTCTGGATTTTTGTATATAAGGAATTTTAGAACTAAGTTAAATATTTTTCTCTTCATCCTTTTCTTATCCAAATCAATTAATGGAGTATTATGATAATCAATTATCTCCAGCGTCTCAGGCAATGCATTCCGAACAGACTAGAGACTTGTATTACAAATGAATCAAAAATCTAAGTATTTCTCTGCTTGCTGATTTTTGAAAAGGAATTTAAAAAACTCACTTGCTATAAATAATTCGTTTTTGTTGCAATATTTCGCAGTTTTTTATGAAAGTATAAATTTGTAGAAGTTTGGGGATATATTTGTATTGCAAGTGGTTCGGTCGAAGCACAGCTTCGTTTCGGTGTGAGACAATTGATACCTACGAAGCAGGGGCGGATCGAGGATTTTCACGAGGGAGGTGCGGATTTTGAAAAAACAGGCCAAAAAGGCTTTTTAGGCACTTTTTGGAAAAATTTGACGGCGCGCGCTCCCCCCTCAGAATTAGTATATATTGGCGCCAAAGGCGCCTTAAGAAAAATTTTAGGGTCGGTCGGCAAAAAATAGATTTCTTAAAAAGTACCAAAGGGTGGACCCGTTGGGTCGGCAGGGGGTCGAATCCCTGTGGGGAGGGGGTGTCCGCTCCCCCTCCCCCTAAATCCGCCCCTGCTACGAAGGCTGTTGGTCAGTGAAATACAGCGGATTGCATGAAAGCATCTTCTTTTGAGAATGCACGTGCTTAATTCTTTCTGTTATTGAATTTATTGATCGGATTTTTGAGGTCGTTTATTTTTGTAAAAAGTTGTTCTTGATTGTCTGCTTCGTTGATTTTTTTTAAATTATTTTAAAGTTGAATTATTCAAATCTAGAAATCATCAGTTGCGCTTTTTTTTTCTTAGTTCAGCATGTCTTGACTTTAAAAATATGATCTTTATATGAAGATTCAGGAAAGTATTGTGTTAATTCGATTTGAGTCACTGTTGTTTTTTTTTGTTACAGGGAGTGGCGTTTGACCACGTATCTCTGCAGTTCTACCTGGGAGGAATCAAGCTAGAAGGAGCCTCCTTCCTCAACATCAAGGGCCAAGTCTACCCGCTACTATATGGTAAAAACTGCTTTCTCTTTTTTTGAGGTTTTTTATTACACTTGCGAAGCAAAGTTATAGTACGAACTTTCTTTTTTTTTCCAACCCAAGTCGCAAATATTGTTGCGACTTCTGATGCGTTTAATTCGCAAATTTTGTTGCGACCTAAAGCAACAATATATGCTGCATCGAGTTCGCTGCATCAAATTGGCATGACAGCTTATTTGTTGCATCTCTACAGCTTATTGATATTATTTGCTTTGAATTTCGAATAGTTATAAGTTTGCAGAGTTGATGCATTTTTGATTCATCAAGTGAGCCGAAAAACTATTTTCTTCAAACAGCTTAACAATAATAAATTTTTGATTTCAGAAATTTTTAACTTAGTATATCTCCCAGTTTTTTCAAATGCATAATTTATACATAATGGGGCATTATGATTTGCAATTTAATATATGCAAAATTGTATCTTGTTGTATTTGGTGCTACTTTTGCTGCATCGAATTGGCAATTTATTAGGATATGTAGCTGCATTATTTGTGGCTAGTTTTTCGGGATTTTAAGCATCTGTGTCCGAATGGTTAGTGCGCGACACTCAAATTTGCTAGGTCGCAGATTTTTGCTAATTCGAGTTTTTGCTAAGCCTCGAGTTTTTGCAAATTTATTTCTACTTTTTCTTATGTCACTTGATAGAGTTGCTTTTTGCTCGTGTTTTCGCTTCTGTGTAACTTAAATTTACACATGCAGGCTTGCGAGAATTTTTTAAATTGTATGAAGTATATCTTTGAACTTAACTCGTAAATGAAAGTTCTAATTTTGTTGGCACTTATATTGCATAATAAATGTATAATGTATTCTCCAACTAATCAGTGGCTAGTGTTGCGTTTCTGTAAGCGCCGGTCTGTAAAGGGAAATCGATTAGAGTTCTTGGATGCTCGAGAACAGGGGTTCGACTCTGGCGGAGGTCATTTGTTTTTGAAACCTTTCAATATTTTTTTATTTTCATGCCTTTTCTCTTTTTTGATTTTTAAAAACGAGTTGGCTTTTTGCTTGCTTTTGCGTTGCTTTTGATCTTTTGCTGTTTCACTCTTAATTTCTTGTAAGTGAAATTCAATTTCTTTCGATAAACGGAAAGTAATTTACGCACTTCAGTTACGGCGCGAAAAAACGTCAACGACTTTTGAAAGTAGAAGTTAATTTTTAGATTTCCCAGCTGAATAAAAAACTCACTCATTCATCCAATTTTCGCTATTTGGTTTGTTTAATCAAAGGCGTGACAATTATAAATTATTCTTGAAATTCAAAGAGCTTTAAAGCTATCTATTTTTTCAATTTTGAAAATTAACTTTTTTCAGTTTCCTTGCGTTATAGACAATTTTCCAACTGTCTGTCAGCTATGGTCAGTTTTATTATTGCGGTATCAACTTACTGTGCTAGTTGCACTGCAACCGGCCATCATTTTTTCTAATCGCGCTCATTTTGCGTTATTAAGTTCTGTTTTGTAAGCGTGTTAATAAAAATGCGACTTAATCAAATAGAATGACTTTGAACCTGTTTTGAATTAAGCTAGATGCCATTCCTTCTGATTACAACTGCTATGAATTTTCTTGTTGTCCTGGCTTTTAATTTTTGACGATCGAAATAATTGTTTTAAACAAAAAATTTTCATCCCCATTCAAGATAAGATGCCGACTCCTTGAGTTCAATTTGAAAAAGAAATTTTCTTTCGATGTTATAGCCTGATAAAACCAATTTTCTTTTTTTTTAAAAAGAAGATGAAACTCGAATTATTCAAGCGTTGCCAATTATCCAGAACGAACTACATTTTTTTCAAATTGAGTTGAGGCAGGCTGGCAGGTTAATTGGTCGTTTTAATTTGGTACGATGGTCTTTCTAGTTTTGTATGGATTTTCTATTTTTTTTTAACCAAAAACTATTCGAAACTTTTTAACGGGCAGTTGGAACACTCAGAACTTCGCTCTGATATACGAGCAGTCTTGTTTTCTATTAAACACGTTCAAGTCAATCCTTCTCCAACTTTGGGCCTTTAGTTGAAATTAGTTGTCACGGTAAATGGCTTGAATAGCAAATTTAAATTGAGGTAAATTTAAACTAATAAATTAAAACATTGAAGTTTGACTTTGAAATTTCTTTTTGCTGTTTTAGTGAGTGAAGATGCAATATTGGATATAAGGATACAGGACTTCGTCTTCAGACCTCCTAAAGGATTCAGCCAAATACTGCGAGAGAAAACAATCTTATGATAGAGAGAAAATAGCGGAAAGAGTGAAACTTTCTTGATTATAGACTTGCAAAAAAGCTTTGACGAATGATATCAGGAAAACATCCATCTATAGAAAACACATTTAGAAAGCAGAGGATTTATGGGTGGGCGCCGCCCCTTCCGCAGGAAATCCCCCTTTGGTACTTTTTTGAGACCCCTTCGGTACTATTTTGGCTGGCTGACCCTAAAGTTTCTCTAAAGGCGCTTTTGGCGACAATATATACTAATTTTGAAAGAGGACCGTGCGCTGAGACACGTGATTTTTTATTCAAGGATGTTTTCTAGCAGCAAACTTGTCTATTACTCGTAGCAGTTTTCATCAGTAATAAAAGCAGCTATTTTTTCCATTGTTTTGATATTATATTCCTTTCGATGTATTTTATGTGAATGTATATACATGTCTTGATATTCGTGATGAAAGTTGTAAAACTATTTTATTCAGTAGTTTAGATGAATTAGAGATCCTTTGTTTTCCTCTTTTTAAGTACTTGGATATAAAAACAGAGATTAGAAACTAATCATTGTCATCAATAGATTTTTCAGTTTAATTTAATTTCAGCAATAGGTCTTTTTCGCATATAACAACTAAGTTTTAAATTATGGAACATTTTAAAAGTGCTCTCGGCAATATGCTTTATTTGTAATTCGTGGCCCCCAGGGTGTCTCAAGATAGCTTTAATTATTAAAACAGCCAACCAGCCTGCCTCCCTCATCTCTCAAACTTTCCTCGCCTTCTCTTCAAAACAAAATTTTGGGCCCATTTTAGGGTGACGAGATATTGAAAACGATCGCTTTTTTCGAGACAATTTTATCGGATTTTTTACTAATAAGACTTCGTCCACCAAAGATTGATTGCTCTTGACATTCGGCAGCTCATGAATTAATCGAAAAGTAAAATTGTGAAATTTGTAATGGACCAAAAAAAGTTCGTGCGTCGGCTTTTGGAGAAAATGTTATCAATCCAGATCTTTTTTGGTGACATTTAAGGTATTTTGTGCCAGCAATGTTTGTATTACCACTTGCGAAAGTAAGTGTCTTTAATCGGGAGTAAGTATTTTTTCCCGTAAACCACTTAAACACGTTTGATAAGGGGAATAATTGAATAGTCAGACTATTGTTTGTCGACTCAACTTGTGTCTGCTCAAAGATTGTCGGCCTTATTTTCTTCTGTCGCTAATTTAATTAGCAAATGTCTGGCATATTTGCCTAAAATGAACTTCCACTGAGATTTACCAAAGTTTGAATTTTGGTAGACCTAGTTTTTTTCGACTAGTTTGTGTTGTATCGCAAGTGATGCGCAGCTCCACTTCCCCAATGTGTATAATAAGAGTCCTCTTTTGCTATAAAAAACAATTATTGCGTTGTAAAATTCTGAAGCCAATGTATGTATAAAAATTTTGAGTGTAGGTTAAAATTTACTTATAAATTATATTTTTTGATTAAGAGTCAATGAACGTTGGAAAGACTCCTGTATAGGTCTTGATTTTTTTTTTTTCAATAAAAAATTCTAAAATTTGTTCACGCTCAGATTTGTTTTTTTTGCAGTTTGACTTTTGATTTATATACCCTTGCTATAAGCAAGGGTTTTGCAAACTAGTTATTGACTTTTTCACGTAAATAACTGTGTTACAGAATGGTCAATGAGTAATATGCCGTTTCTATTTTCCGTTCAATGTTTTACTACCTGTTTCAGATAGTTTCAGAGAAAATCTTGGTTTTTTTGACGGAGGTAATTTTTTCCAAAACTTTACTTAATATTGTTTGAGTGACATGCCGTGTTTGTCGAATTTTGTTTGGTGACGATAATTACGCTTGAATCACTTTTTTTGTTCTTTCAAAATCGAAAAGTCCGAAGTTAATTTGCGCATGCGGTGAAAAGTTTACGTACTTGCCTACAAAGACAAAGGCCCTTGGTTCAAATCCGGGACTTTTTTTGTTAACGGCAACTCCAGGATTTTTCGTTAACGGCAACAAAACCAGGACTTTTTTTGTTAACGGTAAAAGATAACGGCAACTCTTAATGTCTGCTGGTTCTTAGTCGGCTTAGTTAGTTGCGGCAGCATCAAGTTTGCTACCAACTAAAATTGTTTTCTCTAAAAATTTCGATTGTTGTCTGTGCGTTTGGTGCAGCGCTAACAAAAATGCTTGGGACGACAAATTCCGGAAGTTTAATTCTAGCCGAGACCTGTTTTTCGTAGAAACTGAAATTTTTTGGCCTAATTTTGACTTTTGTGTCTGCTTATACTTATCGGTTCAGAAGTAAAGGGTTTGTCTTTTTTCTAGCATTTTAAATTTCTTTGATAAGTTTCAAATGGTGCAAGTTTTTTTGTGTCAGGATATTTTTGTCCTTCTTTCAATTTTTTAAACTTTTTTGACGTAATAGTTTTTAAAATTTTTTTAAATAAAAGTTTTTTAATTTTTGACGATATTATCATTTTTAATTTTTTTAAAAACTTTTTTGACGGTTATGTTTTTTACGCTTGTGGTTAGCCAGCGTTATCAAATCAGATTTTAGACATTTTTTTTGGGTTAAAAGTCAGAAGTTGATTTTTTTGTTCACGGCAAAAGATAACGGCAACTCTTAATGTCTGCTTGACATGTTTAGCAGAGTTACTTGAATCATTTGGTATCTCGGCTGATAATGAATTCAAGTTTCTAAGAGTCTCCGGTGCACTTTGTTTGGAGGTAACGAGTACGCCTGGGGCGTCAAAAGTCATGGGTTCAAATCCAGGCACGACCTGTTTTTTTTTTTCAAACCGGAATTATTCCGTTTAAAAAAATTGCTGCTATTTATTTGTCTGTTTTGTATTGTCGGACTAAATGCCACATCTCAGAATTTGTTGCTGGATGTACTCTTCATTGTAGTTGCTTTTCATGTTTTTTTATTTCTGCAATTTGTACTTTTTTTCGTTTTTTTTTTGCTCAGAAATTTTTTTTGGCATAAGCGATTGCGGCTGATGTTTTGTAGGCTTACTAGTTTAATTTTGAGATGTTGGAGGGAGCTATATTTTGTTAGTTCTCCTGCGGATTGCAAAAAACGTTAGAAAAATTACGATAGATTTGATACTTCAAAGTTTTTCAACAACAACAATTTTATTTTCGCTCGAAAATTTTTTCTAATTTTCCTTTAACACCATCGATTGTGTTTATGGGCGCGTACTTTCCGCAAAAAGAATTCATCCAGACAATTTTTTTAGTTTTGTTTTCTTCGAAAATGTTAATGTTTTCTGTGGACTTAGTGGCTCTCATTTCTTTTCCTGTCTGCTAGCTTGCAATGTGTTTTTGTAGTATAACAAGTTACGCGAACCTCCGCTTCGCCTCTGTGTTTAGTTGTCTTTCTATTTACCCGTAATCATAGTCATTGTCTTTTGTATTGTATGTAGTGCAAAGCTATACGAAATTGTTTCACCTCTTTGTTTTAAGTTCAGTTCATTTTCAGTTAAAAAAATTCTTGTATAGAAGTCTTGAATAAAAAATTCATGTATTGAACCAGTTTTTTCATTGAAAGCGAAAAAATCAAAAAATATTGTCATTTATAGAAAATGTCCAACAGAAAATAATTCTTTAATTTTAAAGAGCTCAAAAGGGCATAATTTTTTTTCATGGAAATAGAAACTCTTTTTTTTTTAGAATTTCTTTGCTCGCATTCATTTTTTTTTTCCAACTTTCTGTTGTCTGTTGGTTGTGTTTTTGAATAGCATAGGCTGTATCCGGATAACTAAGAATCAGTAAATGAGGCTCATTCTTGCAGCACAGGCCTAGTCAAGGTTAGCCTTGGTTGTTAATGCTCTTTCCTATTTTTTGGAATCTGCTTGCCCTTTTTGCTGCTTTCTTGCTTAGTGCAGCTCCTCTTTATGCAAAAATATTTGAACGAAAAAAGGTAACGCGGATTTGATCTAGATTTCAATTGACTTATTTTTGACTGTATTATCTTTATTAAATCAAAAGTTATTTATCTGAGTTTTCAGGGCATAAGCGTAAAGAGTTTTCAGGGCATAATGTTTTAGCTTGTTAACACTGATTTTTTTTCAATCACTTTTAGCAGACCCGTAGAAAGCTCTAAAAGTTTGCAGGGGCCAGCAAGTATAATCAAGTGTAAGAGAACGAAGTAAATTTTACCTATATAGGTTGTAGTTTTCTTCTTTTTTTTTCTTCAAAAAAAAGTTTTGTAGTTTGTTCTCGCTCAAATTTATTATTCTTTTAAGTTCACTTCATTTCCTTATTTGAATGTAGGCAAAATCAGTAGCTCTTGTTTTCAGTTTCTCAAATCATTTTTATTGCTTAGATATCTACACTTTAAGGATATTATAATTAAAACAGACTCGGGTTCAGTTGCCCGAAATAATTTGCAATGTAAAATTGCTAACCCAACATTAATAAGATTTTCATGGATAATCCCGTGCTATTCCATAGATAAATAAGTTACAAATTAATTTAAATAATTGAAAAATCATGGGTAGTTCATAGCTAATTCATCGCTAAAATTCATCGCTAAACCAGCGATAAATCAGTACTAATATTTGCTATAACGAAGAAAAGTTTAAAAATTTATCGCTAATTCATCGCTAAAAATTTCGGATTTTCTAGTTATGAATCATTGCTATTTCAGAGCTGAATTTTGTTTTTTGGGTAAACAACCATCGATGGTGATCACTGTTTTTTTTTACTAATTTAACTTATATCAACTAAATCAATTTTGCTTTCATTGGTCAAAGTGAAATTAGTAATCGGAGAGGATTTCCTATATATGTTCCCATTGAAAATTTCTTAGAGTTTCTAGAGTTCCCATTAAAAATTAGCGATAAAAAAATACAAAAAAACAGTGATTGCCATCGAATGTTTAGCGCTAATTGTTTACCCAAAAAGCAAATTTCAGCTCTGATATAGCAATGATTCAAAACTGGAAAATCCGAAAATTTTAGCGATGAATTAGCGATGAATTTTTAAGCTTTTCTTCGTTATAGCAAACATTAGAACTGATTTATTGCTCGTTTAGCGATGAATTTTAGCGATGAATTAGCTATGATAGCTATGAACTAACCAGGGGCAGATCTAGGATGTTCTCGAGGGGGAGGGGTGGATTTTCAAAAACAATTTCGAAAACTTTGTCGACCTTTTTTTAGGTCGACCAAATGGATTTTCTGAGCCCTCCCAAAGCACTAAAAGACCCTGTTTTGATCAAAATTTTTCCGCCGCAGGCAAAACTTTGATAAAAACAGGCCAAAAGATGCGTTTTAGGCAATTTTTGGAAGAGTTTTACCGAAAAATCGCGTTTTTTCGGTGTGCTCCCCCCTCAAAATTAGTATATGTTAGCGCCCAAGGCGCCTTTAGAAAAATTTTAGGGTCCATCACCAAAAATGGATATCTCAAATTAATACAAAGAAGGACCCTTTGGTTCGGCAGGGGGTCGAATCCTTGAACATATTCCAAAATGTAAATGGGTTCCACTTACAAAACTTCCGTGGATTCCGCGTACAAATACCTGTAACTTAAAATTTGTCGGAACATTTGTTGTGTCGCGGATTCCGCAACAAGCGAACATAGCTAGTTTTTCTGGATTCCGCAACTGAAAGTGGATTCCGCAAAATGTAAGTGGAATCCGCAAATGTAAGTGGAATCCACAAAATTTGTAAGCGGATTCAGCAAACTGTAAGTGAGTTTTGAATTTTGTTTGTTAGTGAACTTGCATAAGAACAACTAAATCCTAGAGCTGGAATTTTTATCTATAGCAATGCGGAATTTGAAAGCAAGGACTTGACTATTGTCAGCGGAATCCACGAACAAATCTTAAATCATTGCTTAAATAAATCAGTGGATGTCACCTTTTAGCATTTGGGATACTTATCCCAGCAAAATATTTTTGGTATCACAGTTTTGGAAACACAACGCCGTATAATTTCAATAATAAGAATCATTAAGTTCAGAGCGTTTGGAAATAAAACACACAGCCTATCGCCTAATTATGTGAGTATTCGGGATTCCATCTACCCCAAATACTGATAACTAGAACCCGATTTTAGTTATTTTAAACTATGAAGACAGTAATTGGAAACACAATCTCGGAATAAAATCAAAATTTGGTTTTATAGTGGGTTCAGAGTACTTAATTTCAAATTATCAGTGATCAAGATGAGATGGTTAGTTAAAAGTTAAAATGATAAGTATTTGAGATGAGATGCTTGGTTAAGTTCGTCAGTATTTGAGATGAGATGGTTGGTTAAAAACATTAATTTAACGTTAGTCTCGAAAACTCAAAGATGTTAATAAAAATAAAGCATCATCAAACTGTTCTAGTCTGTTCTGGTTTGTCCGCAGTTTGAAAATATTTGAAAACGGCTAATTTAAAATGTTTTTTTTTTCTAATTGAAACTAATTGAAATGAATTGATAAATTAGTTTACTTGAGTTTGTTCAGTAGGCAAGAATTGGGATCAAATTTAGGGTGTGCGTTTGACAGAACTGAGATCGAGGTTGGGTGTTTGACAGGAATTGAGATCAATTTTGGGTGTTTAACAGGAATTGAGATCTAAGTCAGCTGTTTAACCAGCATTGAGATCGAAGTCGGGTACTTGACAGGAATTGAGACCGAACTTAGGGGCAGCAGTTGAAGTCGTACGTTTGACATTTCAACTGGTAGTAAATCAACTTAGTAATAGAGATTGAATTTGCTGCTGTTGATCACATTGTGAATAAATTATTTAATTCAAAACGCTTATACAAATAAACATATATGTAAATGGAATCCGCAAACAAAATGCGGATTCCACTTACAATTTGTGGACTCTACTTACAAATTGCGGATTCTGCTTACAGTTGCGGAATCCGCAACAGCTCATTCTAACTATTTTCATGTCTTATTATTTGTTTCTGAATTCCACAAACTATTCCGGATTCCGCAAATACTGTTGTGGGTTGCGAAAATTCGCCAGTTTTTGAAGCAGCTTTGAGCGGTACAGTGTTTTAGGTATTTGTTTGTGGAATCCATAATAGCAAAGAAGATTAAAAAAGTAGCAATGATGCGGATTCCGCAACAAATCCGATTTTGGCCTGTTGTGGAATCCGCTTACAAGGCGCAGAATGCACAGTTTGGCCTCGTAATGATCTAATATGCTGAAGTTGTAGATATCTGAGCAAAAAAAATGAGTTGAGAAGCTCAAAACTTTTCAACTCGTTTTTTATAAAGTTAGAAGTTGCTGGGTTGTTGCGTTAGAATGTTTTCTTTTTTATATTTTAACGCAAAACTGTCTAAAGCTCTTACATGAAACTGTGCGATAGTTCATTTTTTCATGCATGGTTTAAAATGTGCAGACAACCGCGTGCTTCGAGACTTGGTAAAAATAAGTCCAAAAAATTACTTTGACGTCAGTACATTTGGCTGGAGGTTCCAGAATTGTCAACTCGAACCACTTAAAAACTCATTAAATTCGTATTCATCATACAGTATTGAGCAGACAATAGTTATAACCGAAGTAAGCAACAGAATATAAACATCAAATTACACAAACTTGATCAAGTTTTTGCATCAAAAATAGAATTTTGAAGTGTTTCGTTAATGGTGACTCCTCGCAGAAAGGAGAGACCTGCATTTGCCATTCCAACATGGCTATCCCTGCTGATGATAGCATTCGGTGAGTAGATATCCATTTGAGGAGAATATTTGGGATACACTATTTTGCCTGCTGTAACTTAGACAAAAAACAAGGATAGTCGGTTACCTTGCATGTAGCACAGAAAATTTCCTCACCATTTTTAATGGTCGGAGCAACAAAACACCGAGGCATATTAAAGAGCTAAAATGTTAGCTCCAAAGTAAATTGATGGCTGTAATCGTAGATAATAACGTACAACGCTCGTAGATAATTACGTACAGCAGATAGATTCTGTTAAACATGTTTATGCCTAATTGTTCCGACCATTTGAAAAATGGGGTGGAATTTTGTATTCGGTTGTGTTTTAGTGTATTAGTGTGTTTTTTCCACGCAAACTCAGCAACCACAAATAATCATCGGAGAGAGTTGAGAGATATATCACATTAAAGCCTTTGTAGTCGTGATTCGAACGATATTAAAAACTTCGAGAAAACTTTCCCAGTGTCGAGAAAAACCGGATTGAAGTTTTGATTTTTCGTCTTAGTTCTAGCAAATAAAGCGAGCTTATTTTAATGGCTTAAAAATGTATAATAGCTAATTTTAAGCCTTAAAACTTATTTACTCGAGTTAGTTTAAGTTTTAGCGCCTTTTGGAATCAAAAATTCAAAAAACTGCAAAAAAACTGAAACAATTTTTGAATTTATATATTTTTGTTTTGCTAGTCGTTTTTCTTCAAAAACTGTTTTTACCAATTTGCTTATTTTACTACGACTGTCGATTATGCCTGAGTTCTAGTTTTTCGTTCAGATCCTTTCAGCACACCTCTCCAAAAAATTGTATTTTTTAAGACTATGGTCGGAACGTTCTGTGCTACTTGTACAGTAACCAGCTATCCTTGTTTTGATTTAGCGACAGTTGGTAATGGGAAAGTTAGTAACAGGCGAACAATTCGTAACCAAAACGTATTGCCAGTCGGCGCTTGCTTAACCTTTTGTTCCGAATGATTGCCGCTCGCCTAAGTTTTCGTCCTAAAAGTTATTTTAGTTCTAAGTGTACCAATTTTGTTTGATCCACTTCTCGGGTTGTTACACTTATCAATACTTTAATTGTCATCCGCTCTCGTTTCTCCTAATTAACCAGCAGGAACTGAGAAAAAAATCTTTTTCTCTCATAGAGTCAATCGCGGTTCGCCTTAAAAACTCCTTGCTCGCATGTTGGTATTTTGCCTCGTGGATAAATTGACTCCTTTTATTGTTTTTTTTTTCAAACTTAGCCCCCGGATCGGTGCACAGTGCTATAACAGTGAGCAATGCACCCTATACTATTTCTGAGAACGCGAATATGAACGCAGAAGTGGCCCAGAGTAATATCGACATCAATGTGTGCACGGGCGTGGGCATCGACTGCACCGCAACTCTCCCCAGAGTCAAGATTCTCAACCCCCCTGCAGCCGAGAACCCTTTCGGAATTTCCGACAATGGACGGTTGGGAAACTTTCATTGAATAAAATTAAAACTCAATCTTCACTGTTAAATGTAATAGTGTTATAGTGGATATCCTAACCGAAAGAAGAGAACTGAAGAACTTCAACTTTTGTTTTTGAAAAGTAAAACACAAAACAATGAAGTTTTAGGGAAGGCTCATAAAATTTATTCAGTCGATCTAAAAAAATCGGCCTCCTTTAAAAAAATGGAGCAATATTCCAATAGGTGACAACTTTTGGAACTAATAAGGCAGTACATGCTGGGGCGGATCTAGGATTTTCTCGAGGGGGGGGGGGGCGGATTTTTTTTAGGTAGATCAAATTGATTTTCCGAGCTCTCCCGAAGCACTACAAAGACTCTGTTTTGACCAAAATTTCTGCGCCGCAGGCAAAATTTTGAAAAAACGGCCCAAAAAAGGCGTTTTTAGGCACTTTTTGGAAATCTTTGACCAAAAAACCGCGTTTTGTTGTCGCGCGCTCCTCTTTTAAAATTAGTATATATTGGCGCCAAAGGCGCTTTTAGAAATTTTTTGTGGTCCCTCACAAAAAAGTGGATATCTCAAAATAGTACAAAAGGGGGACCCTGTGGGTCGTCAGGGGGTCGAATCCCTTAGGTTCACGCTACTTTAACAAATAATCTGGCTTCAAAATAGATTATAAGCACTGTTAACTATAGGAAAAAACGTTCCAGCTATTTAACTTGATTGTACTATCTGTTATCACAAAAAAATCACAGATCTGCGGCTGCATCCTAAACAATTTAAATCCATGAAGTACTAGTTTGTGCAAATCATTTAGAAATGTTATCATATGCATGCATTTTAAGAATAATTCAAACATTGGGAAAAGACTTTCTGCAAATTTACTAAAAAAAAATTTACATTTCACATGTCACATTTCCGTAGAAACACTTATTTTTGCTTGCGATTAGCTAGCGTTGTCAAATAGGAATATAGACTTTTTTGGGTTAACAACTAGTTCAATTAAATCAGTTGAATAACTTAGCATGACTGTTTTGATGACAACAACAGAGTTTCTGGCATCATATATTTTTTGAGCATGTCTGGATTTTGAATGGCCGTTGCATTCGAGTTTTTATTATTGATTATAAATCAAATCTTATTTTTATTTCTATTTTTTCACTTTAAGATTTTTTGGCTCAAATGGTTTCGGTTGATGCATATCTATCTAGTTGCCACATAACTCGTGGTTTGAAGGAGCGAAAATTTTTATGGCATTTGTGCTTAAGAAAGAGGGGTGTACTTGGGAAATTTTACTTGGGAAAATGTTTCATATCTTTTATTTTCGGCTCAACAGTCGTGCAGCCAATCATTGTCAGTTCAGTATCTCTGCGTGATAATATTTTTTTTTTCATGCGTATTCAACATTGACAATTATGTTTCGCAGTATCTTTTCTTAAGCTCACCCGCGTTCCAGACACACGAAAAAAAAAATTTTGTTTATTTTGTTTATTAATTATGTTATGTTTTTTGTGTGGCTCGGGCTCGCGTCCGATTAATTTGGACTAGCTGCCGTACTATTTTTTGTTGTATCGCAAGTGGAGCGAAGCTCCGTTTTGCCTCCCTGTGTAATAACTTAATCTGCCGAGTTCCAGGTTGTATGTGGCCAACCCTGACATGTTGGACTTTGAGGACAGTGGACGCAACACATTCCTGGTCAGCATCGCCGTCACCTATGGCAATGACGTAGCAAGGGCTTCTGACCAGTTCAGATCTTTCACTGTCAATGTAAGTTGCAGGACAAAAAATTCAGTTGAAACATTGTTCTGCCATTAAAAGTTGAAAACATTTTCCGTTGAAAACATTTTTCTGTTGAAAACATTTTCAGTTGAAAACATTTTTCAGTTGAAAACATTTTTCAGTTGAAAACATTTTTCTGCCATTAAAATACTTAAAAGTGTAAAATTAAATACTGAAATGTATAAGAGCAGCTCTCAGTCAATGCAGATTGTCTAGCACAAATATTTGACTCACTGAAAATCATTTTTTTTTTCATGAAACACTATTGTCAGAATTTATTTTTTTTGACAAAGAACAATAGCCGAAAAATGAAAACATAAGCTCACAGGTTAAAAAAAGTTTTATTTGTTCAGAAAACTTAACTGATTCTGCTTTTAAAAATCTTGTTTCTACTGCTGAACTGAATAACAAATAGTTTTCTTTCCTATAAGCTAATTTTAGGTTTGAAGATAAAACTGAGAAAGAGGTCAGATTTCATAAATTGGTACTATTTCGAAGCGAGCATGTTTTTTAGGCGATAAATAGTTTGTACGCGTAAAATAATAAAGTGACCTTACGTTATATAGGTTGTCACGATTTTGTTCAGGCGGTGAACATTTTTTTTGTTTCAGGTGGTGAACTTCAATGAGCCGCCAGAATGGATCGACAGTCCAACAGCCATAAGTGTACAAGAACAAACAGCTACCCGTAAGCCTATTACTGAGTTGAAACCGGACCCTGGTTTTTTACGGGCCGGGTTCGGGCCTCATTTTTAGGATCAGCAACCGGGCAGGTCGGGGCCCAGACCTGACTTTCAAAGGAGCTCACACCTTTCGTGTTTTCCTTAAAATTGGACCGGGCCCGGGCCTGAATTGTTCGCTTTCCAAGCGGGCCCGGACCTCAAATTAGGCGCGGTTCCAACTCTAATTAGTTAACGTCGTAAATCTATTTTTTTTTTCATTTTTTTCGTCTTTTTTAATCATTTTATTGCAGTTGCGGCAATGGCCAATTTCATCTTCTTGGACCCTGAAACTGACGCCATGACGTGCACTCTCGGAGGTGCAGCATGCACTGCAAAGTTCACGCTCACGGCAACTGCTGGCAGATCGTGCGTGTTAGCCACTTCAGGTGTACAAACATTCGACTACGAAACCACTACTACATACACATGCACAGTAAAGTGAGTCAGTTTTTTTTGTTAACTTTAAAATTTTGCGCAGATGTAATTAATTGGATTAGACCCGCAATTATACCGTGAGTTTTTTCTCGGTTCTTATACCGTGAGTTTTTGTGCCAGTAATGATAGTCCTTCTGTTTTGTATCGCAAATGATACAAAAGCAAAAGAAGCTCTGCTTCGCCTCTGAGTTGTAAGTTTCTATCTAGGGTTTGTGAGACGGCCAATCCAGTTACCAAGTGCTCATCTACGAACGATTTCTTTGTCGAAGTGCTTGACGTCGACGAAGAGCCCCCGCATCCGAATGCGAACGAAACATTCGCTACCGTCGTGGCGGCCGACGCCGGCACCGGAATTGCTCTGGCACCTGTCATAACTTACACGGACGCGGACTCGGAACATTTTTACTTCACCATCGAAGGTATTTTTTTTTTTAAAAAAGTAGTTACATTTATTAGTAAAACCGAAGCTCAAAGCCAAATTTAAAGAAATAGGGATGTAAAGAAATAAAGAAATTGAAATCAAAGTTAAGAAATAATGATACTAATTTTGAAGATTTTGAAGAATGTTTTTTTTTTCAATTGAATACTGAAAATACATGAATAGTGAGTGGAAAACTCAACTATGCGAGGAATGATTGAATAAACATTTTTTCAAAACAAATGATGGTAAACAAATAATATACCAGATGTCCAACTAGTTATTGCAATAAAATGAGAAAATAATTCAATGCAATTTATTTACCTCGAAGTGGAATTTTTACTGCATTGTTGAGCTCTTAATAACCTGTTTTTATTTTTCTACGTGCTGCAGATTCGGCCAGTGGAACAGGTTATGTGATCACGTTTTACTCATACTGATTAAAAAACAAAATCTACTGAGTGACGCCCCCTCGTCTCGCCGTTACCCCTCCCCGTCGCGAATCATTGCCTTCCTTAGAAATCAAACTAAGTTCTAAGTTCAAAATTGCAGTCACTTTCAAATTAATGTCTCGGGTCGAGGTTTGCGGATCTATGTTTTTATAAATAGCTTTGTAAAGAAAAAAAAGCGTTGAAAAATTTTATTAATATGATAATCTAGTTGTGGGAGAGGGGGGGGGGGGCGGAGGGTAGGGGTGGCGTCGCCAGTTAGATCTTCTTCAGTTTAGAATAGTCTGCACTGCATCTTAGTTTCAACGAATTTCTTCTTCTTGGTTAATTGATTCATCGGATTTAAAACTTCATCAGATTAGAAAAAATGCAATCGAATAAATCAGACTGCTCATATCAAGACAAAGCTTGAATGTTCTGACTGCCCTGTAACTACTAAAATAGCTTATGGAATTATCAATTGAACAAATCGAATTTGATAAAAAACAATTTGTTTTTTTTTGTGCCTACGCGTTGATAGCACGGAATATATCGCGCCTTAATTGTCCCAAATTAGCCAACTTTTTCAAGCTATTTTCAAGCTCCCATATTTTTTCAAAGATATCTTCATAAGCTTGAGTATTAATAGATTTGAAATGATATTAACAATTCCGTTCATAAATGACAAGCTGAAAAGTCAACATTTGGGACAAAACGAATAAAACTCGAAATTTAATACGCATTTTTCGCAAAAAGGTTGACATTAGACTGACGATTTATTCGGCCTCGGAATTGTCCAAAAAATTGCTTAAAATTTACTTGAGCAAATTGTTAATACGCTACCAGACTCCAATAATCAAACCGGTTTCTCACTTTGCTCTTAAGATAACATGTGGAAGGGGTAAATTAAAGAAATTAACATGAAAATTTATTATGAACATTTCAGCAACATTTCTCACCATCAACCTTTCCGCGTTAATGGGCAGTCGGGGCATTCAGGGCTTAGCCCTAAGTGCGAGCAGTCTTCTTAAGATTAACAGCCAGTCAGTCAAGCTATGCTTAATTTCAGGCAACTTAAATTCTTTTTACTTAAAGTAGCTTCTTTTTCATAATCAGAAGTTTTGCGTAATTCACTGCTGATCTAATTTCAGGATTCAATATATGCCAAAGTGAAAAATTAATGGAAAAGATAGGCAGGATTTTCACTTCGTGAAATTAGATAATGCTTAAAAAGGCTTCAAGTGTGTTATCATACTAAAACCCTTTTTAGTCGTGATTGAGATTCTTGGAAAAAGTTACAGAAAACATTGCTCAGTCGAGAATAACTTCTGTTCTACTTTTAATTCAACGTTTTTTAGTGCTGTAATTATCTTTCTTTCTTGTATTTATTTTAAAAATGAAATCAATCGCTTGTTTTTGAAAAAAAAAATAGGAATCTTAGATGTTTCAACAATCAAATAAAAATTTGATGTTTCAACAATCAAATAAAAATTAGTTTTTCCTTTTTCTCATGCATTTTTTTCTGAAAGAACTCTCTTTCGTCGAATCATCATGTCCTACTATTTGCACAGCAACCAATTATCTTTTATTGGATTCGTTTTTTTTTTTTTAAATTAACCAAAAAATCAGTAGTATTTATTATTTTCTTTCAGCTCATAAATATTTGTCTAATTGCAATGGCTTTATTTGAACTAATTGAATCAGCAGTGTATCACAGTCAAAACGAAATGACGAATTTGCTTAGCTTAAAAATAGTTTTGCTTGCTTATTATTATCTGCTAGTTTATAGTTTGTAGCTCATCTTTCTAGCCTGCTTTTTCTTTTGACAGAGCAAAAAAACATATGGAAACCAAATAGATGTTCACTGTGATTGAATCAGAACTGAATCAGCAATGTATCACAGTCAAAACGAAATGACGAATTTGCTTAGCTTAAAAATAGTTTTGCTTGCTTATTGTTATCTGCTAGTTTATAGTTTATAGCTCATCTTTCTACCCTGCTTTTTCTTTTAACAGAGCAAAAAAACATATGGAAACCAAATAGATGTTCACTGAGAAAAAATTAGGAGAGAGGAAATGCATCATGCGCAAAGGACCGAATATGCTAATATTTAGCCAACCAATCAGAGCTTAGCATTCACAAATTTGAAAGAAATCAGCGATAAAGTCAGTTACTTTTGCCAGTTTGAAGGGCGTTGATTAGCTGAGATTTTCGAGCATTCGATCTTCCGAGCATGAAAATAGCCCTCATAAATTGTGCTCTGTAATCACTACAAGTGCCAGAAGGAAAATTATAAATATTTAGTCTTATCTGACAGAGGTGTAGAGATAAGCATGTGTATCAATTAGCATACTTCGTTGATTGCTTTTGTTTGGTGTTCATTCATACATAACACAATCTAGCCTAATTCTTAAAAAATTTTCTAAAACCACTCAATCTAAAAAGTCCTGTTTTTGCGTATTTATTTATTCGGTGACCTGGACGCCAACTGAAATGGCAAATCGGAATTATAAAAAACAGCGAACAAGTCAACTTTTTTTTATAAATCTTCTACTTCGGCATGTTAATCGACACACATGTTTATAAGCCTCTCTACTAGTCTAACAAAGCAAAATTTGATGTCTCAGTATCAAAAGCTTAATATACTGCTTAAATGAAGTTGTTTTACTTCAATCAGTATATCTTTTGTAATTCAAATACGACAAAAAATACAAAATCAACTAAATGAATTTCAAATTCATCAAACAGTTGAAAATTTTTAATCGGAAATCCAAACTTATTACAAAAAATTCAAATACATTAAAAAAATTTCAACTATAACTGCAACAAAGCTTAAAATCAAAACAAACATTGTTATTCAAATCACAAAAAAAAATATGAATCCTTATTCATTCGAACAACGAGGTATAATTTTGAGAAACTTCTCGCACAGGAGTTCCTAGGATGAGAATCAAGTTCGTTTGAGTTTTATTGTCATTTCTATAAAAAAGAAAAATAATCAGATATAATCAATTTAAATGTGTTTTTTTTTCTTTTCCTTTTATTTCTGAAAGCAACAAAAATATAGCATTTTTTGAAAATATAGCATTTTTTCTCACTTTTATGGGCACTGACATAAAACTCAAATGTAATCGAATTTTATCCAAGGAGCTTCTGTTTGAGAATGTTCTCAATGTTATACCTCGTTTTTCAAATGAAGAGAATACAGAATACAAAAGAATTTTTGTTTTGATTTTCAGCTCTGTTACAGTTATAGTTTAAATTTGCTTTTGTTTTATTTGAATTTCTTTTGTTGAATTCGAACTTCCGTTTTTTCTTTTTCAACAATTTGTTAAATTTGCTTTTCATATTGTTGAATTTGAATCTTTGGAATGGCGTATTTGAAACTACAAAAGGTATAATATCTACTTTGAACTGATTTTTGCTCAAAATGATTTTTAGTTAACAATTATTCAATGAGTGAACCGAGTTTTTACCGGAATCGTTAAAATCGTAAATTTTATCATCAGAATAACTATCATCATAGCTTAATCAGAATATCAAAAAAGATAAATTTTGATTTGTATCTTGTGCTCCGCTAGTTTAAATTTTAGACTCAACTCATCCAAATGCTACAGGTGCAAAACAAACAAATTGAAGGCCTTAACTTTTGTCCTCTTTTTCCTCAAAACCACTAAAATGTATTCCTCAATCATCATTCATAACCTACTCCTAAAACTAAACTTGAGTTCTGCTATCAAGAGTTCCCTGTTAAACAATATGCGGCTTCAGAGTTTCCTGTATAGGGGTGGGGGTGGGGGTGGGGGTTGGGGATGGGGGTGGGTTTGGGGGTTGGGGATATTGTTATTCACAAATATTTTTGAAAACTTTCTTGATCTTTGTTCCTTTCCTGAGCTACTCTTGAACTCTAAAAAGACCGTTTCCTAAAACTTTCTGAGGCGCAGGTAATATTGGAAATGTGCCAAAACTGACATTCTAGTACAACTTATTTGACTAGTACAACTTGTCATTAATTGTATATAACTTAATATATCACATTTACTGTATATTCGCCCCAACGTGTTTTGTGACAACTTTTGGGGGTTCGATTAGCCAAAACTGGATGTCGAAAATAAGTATTTCTTGGGTGTTCAGAGGTTTGAGTCACCAAGGGGAATCCCCCGACGACCTAAATTCGCTCCTGTCTGAAACAGCCATTATTAAAAAACAAACTCGCCCTAAAATCTTTCATTCATCGCATTGAAGTGTGACGAAAAAAACCTTGTCTGTTAGCATCTGTGTAAAAAATGTTTTACTCGTGTTTTGAAACTGGGTTCATTATTCAAAGGACAGGGAAAGTTACACTTTGTCATTTAACCCTTCCTTTATTAAATTATATGGTCCCGCAACACCTCAGAAAGGGACATTTTAGCCAATTAAAATTTTGACATTTTGGTAGAAAAAGCGAGATAGCTCAAAAGGATTTCAGCTGATAATTTCAATATTAGCTATTTTTCAAAAATTGAAAAACAAGTGGCAAACACTTGCTGTGCTACCTTTAAACGTTATTTATTGTTCACTAACCGCCAAAAAAGCACGACTGTTTCGATTTCATTTTCAAGCTTAAGATCTGAATTGAATGAGTTCTGAATTTTCATTTTTAAAAACTAATCGAATTTGTTTTCTACATCTTGAAATGATATAATCTTCTATCCATCTTACTTATCATCCAATGTCATCCGGCACTAATCGAAAACGTCAAAAAAAAATTAAAAATTAACGAGATTTGTGCATGCGTGTTTTTATGGGAGGAGCAAAAAATACAAAAGCAGCCCTGAAATAATTGTCGTTTTTTTTTCAGCGGGTGACGTGGACAATTTTATCGTGGATGCCACAACAGGTGTGATCAGATTCAAAGAGGATGCCACCCCTGCTAAAGTGTACCACGTGGATCTATATGCTACAGACTACAACGGAAATAAGACACCCTACCCTGTCGTGTGCGAAATTACAGTACGTAAAATGAAAAAAAAAATCTATGATTTCATACTTTTGACAGAACGAAAAATTATTGTCATGTCAGAATGTGATATTTCAATTATGGGGCATTGACTTGATGTTTAGCATGATTGGATCTCTTTAGTTATCCATCATTGGTGCCTAGTAGCGACTTGCCACCCCTATATTGAATTAATACAACTGTTAAGCGAATTTCATTCCTTGTTACGAATCTCCCCCTTCCCGCGAATGGGGGATAGTTAAAAAAATTCCGCTAGCTAAGAAATATTATCAGTGCTTATCTAACGAGTTTATTCAAGCTAGTTTCCACAATGGACTTGTGTATTTTATTGTTACTCCGACTTTCGTGACGAAAGTAACGGAATATTTGTGCTCGGGTTGTTTTTTTTTTCTTCAGACAAACTTCGAATTCTTAACTAAATATTTTTTTGCGGAATTTTTTTATATCAGCCAAAAGTATTGTTGTCTTGAGCTCAAATTTTACAAGATATTTTATCTGTTATCTTTTTCAAAAAATTATTAGGGTTTAAAGATTGCCAATATGGCCAATTTAGGACAATTAACGCGCGATTTTTTTCGCGCTATTGACGCGTAAGCTGAGGTTTAATCCGTCTTAGAAATCGTTCCGAACTGGTTGGAGTAAGCTCATTTGCCATTACTGATTTGTTACTAGGAGGGAAATCTATCTTTTGATGTTTAAATGGCGTATGGGGGGATGATTTTCACAAAAAGTCCCAAATGTAAAAAAAAGATCCGTTTATTTTATTACATTTATTTTTCCATGTTATTACTGCTACATAGCCCTCAAAAGGCAGCCAAAACAATCTGGGCTTCGTCATAATACGAGCAGTCTAGTTTTTGTTCCAATTAAAAACTTTAAAACAATGCGGAATATTTAAGCTTGGGGTCATCTTTTATTCAGTTAAGTTTGGGCGATCAAAATAATAGTTTTTACCATAAAATTTCAATAGTCATCAAAGATATCGACTCCCTGAGTTCATATGTGAAAATATATTTTACCTTGATTCTTTAAACTGAATCAAAGTAAAATAAAATATTAACTGTTTAAAATTCTAGGAGTCTGAAAACTGCTAAATTGGCCATGCTCTGGACTAGTTTCTGCGGGCTGTAAAAATTTTATTCATGATGCCTGAGATTTTCATTGACAAAAACTAGAACGAGACGCCTGACACAGTTAACGTTAAAAAAAATAGAGGAAAATTCCTCTGATTTTTCGGTCGACCACATTGCTATTTCATTATAATCGGTTGATCTAAACAGACCTATTTTGCAACAAACAGAAGACCAAAAGCTGAAGCTGTATTGATATTGAATCATTGAAGAGATGAAATCGAGAAAATTTGAAAAGTTTGAATTTCGTGAGATCATCCTGAAAAATCATACTGGAACAAATAAGGCATTTTGAGGCACTTAGCATAGTTGTTAGGCGTTCACTTTGAAATTGTCAGATTGTTTATTCGATCCCATGCCATGGCAATGATAGTGTGTGAGGATGAGCTCTCACTTGACCTCTAGCTTCAGGTCTACCATAGCCTGACCAATTTCGGCTGCATTAGTGGTACCACGTGAAAATTTTAGACACAATGAAACGGCCTTGAGTCGCAAAAAATAACACAGTCTGGAATATGGGGAGATAATACAAATGAATAATACAAGTGGTATCACTTGAAAGTTTTAGACGCAAAAAATGGTCTTGAGTCGCAAAAAAGTAACACAGTCCGGAATGTCGGGAGATAATACAAATGGACTATCCTCGACAGGACTGTTAAGGCCCACCGATAGCTCCTCTGTGCTTCGCAGGAACCACATTATTATCATTATTATAAAGGAAATTGTCGAATGAAGGATTTCAGTGAAGGCAGGATGTCTGTAATATAACTGTCGTTCTTAAGGGCATACGTGAAAAAAGAAAAATGAAATAACTAGATGTTTTAAAAATGTGCTTCGAACTTTTTCCGTAAATCTTTGAGTGCGAGACGAATACACTAGACCATAGACAGTTTCTTAAGAGAAATTAAAATTTTGGTCGACATAATTTTCTTTTTTTTTCGAAACCACCCTCATAGAAAACATTTCTGCACACGCCACTGGATAGAGCACATTTTTTTTGCAAAAAAGGTGTTTATGGTGTTATGGGTCAACCATTTTTTTTTAGCCCCCCCCCCCCCCACGGAAAATCCTAGATCCGCTTTGGTTTTTGATGATAAAATGCTGTTTTTCGATTATTATCATGAATTTTTTTTTTGTTTCTGTCAAATCTTTTTTTGTTTTTGTCATAGGTGACCGTGTCTAACAACTTACCCCCCGCCTGCGCGAAGGATTGGGTATTACTGAAAATGACTGACGAAATTACCCAACTGACTGTTAATCTGAAAACCGGTGTCACTGGGCCCCAATGCGCTGATCCAGAGGGGGGTGCTCTCTCCTTCACGGCTGAAACCACGAGTGGTGAAATCGGAGGCGTCACTTACACTCTTTCGTTAGTGGAATTTAAACCCTGGAACTGTTCTATATTTTTTAAGTACACCACTTATAGGATTTTCTAGCGCAAATATTCTGTTTTTCTCTGTTTGGGTCTTTTCTGTTATACGACAGTCAGCAGGGAAAAAAGCAACACCTCTGTTATAAATGTTCAGAAATATATTTTAAAAAGGGCACCACAATAAATATTCAAACCCTCGTCTGCTGGTCTTTCGGGAGATCTTCTCATGCGCAAAAGGACCGAATGCGCGAAAACTCTCAAACAATCAGAGCCCTTTGAACTGTCAAAACATACTGAATTTATAGTCAATTTTTTGTCGGTCTTTCGCGCAGGAGGGATTCCCCGAAAATATTCTCTATGTAAAATTTTTGCGCTAATTAGTTTATGAGTGGTTCGATAATTTTTTGTTCAATAGGGCAGCGGGAGTCTTCAGTACTACAATGGACCGTGAGACTCTGAACCAATATGAGCTAGTGGTGTACGTCAAAGACGCCGGAGTTCCAATCCTAACCACCACTATCACCCTTGCAGTCGTAGTGAGTACACTCGCATGCTCTCTCCTAGTTCTTATTTCCCTTTGTCGTTTTGCCTTTTCCCTTTTTCTTCATCATCTGTTCTTCTTTTTCTTCTTCTTCTTCTTCTTTCTTCTCCTTTTTCTTTTTCTTTTCTTCTTCTTCTTCTTTTGTCTTCTTCTTCTTCTTCTTCTTCCTCTTCTTCTTCTTCTTCGTCTTCTTTGTCTGCTTCTACTTCGTCTTCTTCTTCTAGTTCTCCTTCTTCTACTTCTTTTTCTTATTATTATTATTATTCTTATTCGTATTCTTATTTTTATTCTTATTCTTCATCTTCTTCTTCTTCTTCTTCTTCTTCTTTTTCATCTTCAATCATCTTCTTTCCTTCTGTATTTATTTTTTTTCTTTTTCTTCTTCATTTATCTTCTTTTTCTTGGAAATCAAGATCAGGCCCATTCCTTCTTCAAAAGAAATCACAGACCCGAACGCAGAATAGATGGTGTTTTAATTTTTCTAATTACCCATTCTTATGTTGCTAAATTTAAAAAAAAACGACTTCTTTTGTCGAAATCAAACTTCAATTTCATCGAATGTTCCCTAAATTTGATTGAAAAATGAAAATTTTCAGACTGATTTTTTTTTTCACAATAAGAGAAAAGCCTCAGAATATGTTTTTGCAATACAAATCACGACCACAATCGACCTCATGACTGCTTTGTTTCACGGTACCTAAAATCAAGCGCGAAAAAAAACAAACTAACTATTTGCTTTTACATTGTGGTTGTTGAAATCCAAAATTAGGTTTAAATTTCGAAACGATCGAGTGATTTTTAAAAGAAGATAAGAAAAACTGCTGGTAAGGGTAGTTGAACGGTAAAAGAGAAAATTACTGTGATTAGGCTCCCCCCAGGGACGACAACGTGCCCGTTCTGACAGACGGCGTGACCAGGGTGGACGTCGAGGAGGGTCTACCCGCAGGAACTCAGGTGATCGGACCCCGCACCTGGTCAGACGTCGACGCCTCCGAGGCACATTCTGAAGTCTTCTTCGGAGCCGGAACATTCACAGGTACCCTACTGCCTTGGAGTTAATAATAATATGAATTATAATCGCTCAGGTTGAATTTTCAATACTCTCCATGGAATCCTTAAAAGTTTTTAAATCACAGAACTCCAGTGCTTGCTAGCACAACTCAAATCGAGACAAAAACCGCTTAAGAACCTGCTTGAACTGACTATGCTGCAGAAAAGGAAGATACACATTGTCCAAAAAAAATGAAACCAAAATGATAAAAATTATATGACTTAACCTTTTCAAGAAAGGAGCCATGAGTGAAAAGAAAAAGAAGCAGAAAAACGAGAAACTCTGGCAAATTTCTAGGTAGTGAGAAAAGAAAGAGGAAACTTGTTCATTTAGGTGACTGCCCCAGTGAAACCTTGTTCCAAGTTGACCCGGAAGACGGTGCCTTGTACCTGGTGAAAAGTTTCGATTTCAACGCCAACTATGTCAACCACTACCTGGAGAGGAGTTGTGTCTACACCCCCAAAGTTTGTGTTCCTGCCGGATGTCAAGATGCCGCGCTGACAACTACGATTAGACTCCAGAACGTCAACGACCACGCACCTGTCATAAACAGTCTGGACAAAACAGTCACCATAGACGAAGGTGGGAGGGGGGCCAAAATAATACTAATAATTCAGAACGTCGACAACAATTAGTCTATTGCAATTATGATTCCGGGTTAGGGAAATTTGAGTTCATAATACTACCGTTTACAATGAATTGATGATGTAATAATTTTTTGGCATTTTCTTTTGTTTTTCGATTTTTCAGTACTACTCTTTTTCATTTATTGCCTTCGCTATAATCTCCAAACTTCAACCAACCTTCTTTGAGCTGGCTGGCTTTTTGATAATATTTGTTTTTCAAGAGAATGATTTGATAAAATATATTTGTTTTTGGCTGAGTTTTTGCTTTGCTTGATTCTTTTTTGTGTTTCTTGATGGGTTTTCAGTTTTTACTAGAAATCTTGTCGTAGTAAATACTCTTATGCAGGTCTTGTAAGACTTTTTGTTTCAAGAAAAAGTCTTAAAATTGTTTCAAGCTAATTTTGATTTTTTTTTGCGGTTTAGCTTTCAATTTTTTTCTATTTCTATTTCACCTCATTTCTATTCTGAAAAAGAAGACAAGTTTCAATCTCGATCTGCAAAAGTGAGTTGGTCACGAAAAACGTGATTGATTTCTATTTTGGAAAATGGAAGTTATTTTTCAGATTGATCCACTGTTCTCAAATTGGGCTAAATGCACCAAAAAGGAGTTACTTTTGGTTTTTTAAAAAATCAAAAAACTTTAAGGCCATGTATTCTTCTACTTAGAACTTTAAATTGAAAGTTCCCTAAATTTTTTTCCTTGCGTTCATGTTTATGAATCTTTTCCAAATAATTTCTGCAATCAAGTAATATTCATGCAAAACCGAACTCCTAGAATGACTCAAACAAACTTCTCAAAATTAAACAACTACAAATGATCAGAAACTGTGTGATTTTTTGAAGCCAGCAAAAAATCTTTTGAAGACAGAGGAGTGTTCATGCTATTAGTAGAAGCGTCTTTTTTTAGTATTCAAAACTCATCAAATCAAAAATACGCTAAAAATTGAACACCTTGCGTAGAAACAAGGATAACTTGAAGATCAATTATCTAGTTTTGATGAATACACTAATTTTCCAAGTTTTCAATCAAAAGTACAAATTTTTTACTCTACCATTTCCATTCAAAACTGTTAGTTAAATTATCAAAATGATGAAAAGTGAAGATAAACCAACGGGAGTAAAAAGGAACCAAAATTTGGCCATTTGTATTGAAATTTAAATGCCGGACGCTCATAATATCAGAAAAACGTGATCTGAATTTAATTTTCAAAACTTTTAATTGAAATTTTCACACTCGATTTTGTCTGAAAACTGAATTTTAGAAATTAAAAATCAGAACTCAAAATTTACAATTGCGGGAAAGACGAGAATTTCTAGATTGAGACCAGCTGCTATTCGCAATTGGGCAAACATCATTTTGAGTAGAATTATCTTGTTTCTGATAATAATTATACAGGAATGCTTCCAATACAAACTCTGGAAGATCAGTTCAATTTAACAAACCCTTGGGCAATTAGACTTTGATTGATTTTTTTGTAACGGTTTTCTTAACTAACTACTGTTTCATTTGCTATATATGTTTTACGAAAATTCTAATTTGAATTTATTCATAAAGGAGCTAGTTATTACTTCCGTTGCTTAAAACAAGGCAGTGCAACAGCGTCGAGTCATATCAGTGCCCAAAGTTCAATGTTGATTTAAAATGCCGAAACTTCAATGTTGTTCAAGGGTGCTGAAATTTTTTTTTGTTAAACAAAGCGGATATACTAAGCCAAAGACTACAAAACTAGCTACAGCTACTATCTCAGGTTTAAAGTGACCGATAACAAACTCTAGTTTTCATCTAGAGTCGTAGCCACTGTTGGCAAGCTCGCTACATTTTGGCGCAACTAGTGATTGCTCTTGCTGTTTTGTAAGATAAATTGTTTTTCAAAGCGTCGAAAATCAAATCTTGTTCAGCAGTGCCGAAAATCATTTTTTAGAACTCTTGAACACAGTTTCATTTTCGGCGCTTATGTACATTGGGAATATTGAATGCCCCCATAAAACGGATCTTTTGCTGCGGCGTGTGCGTGTCAATGGTATATAATCCGGTCGTAAAAATGAGTACTAATTATAATAACTATCAAACAACTATGTAACATTTACCAAAACCTAACTTTTTATGAAAACCAAACTTATTGTACCGACTTTTGTAACAAAAGTAAAATTTGTGCTCGGGGTGGGTTTTTTTTCTTCAGACAAGTTTCGAAATTTTAAGTGGCCATTTTTGACGGAACTTTTCAAACATCATTCAACAAGTATTGTTATCCTGAGCGTATGTTTAAAAAGATATTTCACTTGTGATCTTTTTTCTTAAAGTTATGGTGATTTAAATTTTGCCATTTTAGCCAATTTGGGACAATTAACGCGCGATATACATCGCGATATTGACGCGTAAGCGGAGATTTAATCCGTTTAGAAATCGTTCCGAATTGGTTCAAGGAAGCTTATGTTTCATAATTGATTTGTTAATAGGAACAAATTCTATCATTTTGTTCTTGATATGGCGTGTGGGGGTGTTTTCACAAAAAATCTCATATTTTTTCTAAAAAAGTTTAATTTTACTTTTTTACTTTTAATTTTTTCATGTTTTACTGCTCCGTAGACCTTAAAAGGCAGTCGGAACATTCCGGGCTTCGCCCTTATACGAGCAGTCTTGTTTCAATTGATGTAACTTTGGCTGGTTTAAATAATCTCTTTTTTGTCGAACTGCTCCTTTAGGCGGCAGATGAATCAGCCGATGTTTAAATTAGCTACCATATAGGCCAGCCGAAAATTGCAACTTTTACATAATAAGTATGTTAACAGCTACGTTACTGTTCCGAAACTCTAAACTTCAACCAAATAAACCAACGTTAAATTCGTCTGGCTTATAAATCCTCCCATTTTCGGCCGGTTTGTTCATCGACTGGACTGGTTTGCTCACACTCGTTTCTTTGACTGATCATTTCATAATGTTGCTTGGTTTTAGATGAGACCGTAGGTACTGGGATATACACGATAACAGTGAGAGACTATGATGTCTCTTCCTTCACCTACCAGATTTCAGGAGACGCTCTCGCTAAAGAATACTTCCAACTCGTAAGCAAATCATAGAAAACACATAACACTACACACTTGCTAAATTCAAACAGAAAAAAATAACTGTTATCATGCAGTTTTATTAGAAGCCAGATAAGTTCGATAACTTGGATTGATAGAGTTTTTTCAGAGTTACTCTAAAAATGAAATAGAATCAAGATTAAGGCTTCAAAACTTTATTAAAAATCCTTGCCTGATTCAAATTTTTTTAGCCAACTGTTGCTATTTATTTACCCCTGAAGGGGCGGATCTAGAATTTTTTCCAACCGGGGTTAGTTTAGGGGTTCTTAAAAATTTCGAAAAATTTTGTCGGCCTTTTTTTGAAGTCGACGACAAAACTGATTTTCTGAGCTCTCCTAAAAATCTATAAAAACCTTACTTTACTATTTTGCCAAAACTTTTTGCGCCCTAGGCAAGTTTGAAAAAAACAGCCAAAAAGTTTTTTGGATGGCACCTTCAGAAAAAGTTTAGAAATGGTTGCCTCAAAATAGACGTAAATTAGTACCAAATGGGGGACCCTTTGAGATGTCATTTAGTAGAATCTCTAAGGAGCGCCCCCCATGCAAATCCGCTCCTGGGTAACCCAACCCTTAAAACTAGTTGTTGGCGAATATTTGAAAATCTTGTATCTCAAGTCCACTGTTTGATGGTAAATTGTTTGAGTTTTTGTACAATTTAAGCCCCATAAATTCGATTTGTAACAATATCGAGATTCAAATCTTGCATGTTCGAATTAAATTCTGCTTTTCCTTAACCCTACTCTGTACAACTTCTATAATTTTCCCATTTTTAAGAATTTATACCCATTTGTTGTTTTTTCAATATTGAATCTAAACACTCAATTGATTGATTACAACATCAAATGAAAAAAAGGTTAGTAAGTTCATTAACTGTTACCCTAAAACGCTTGATTTTTTCGTATTTCCAGCCCAAATAGTTTTGTAATTTGATTTTATTTCAGGTCAACATCCCAGCTACCGTAAGATGATTGTTAAGCCATGGTTAGAAACAACGGCTCTATTGCTATCAATATGTACAACTGCTTTCAAGTTCATGGGCTGTAATAATTATGTAACAACGCTTTTGCTATCAACATAAAAAACTGCTTTCAATCTCCTTGACTGTTATAACTAGAAGCAACAAATCGTTTGCTATCAAAAAATCAATTGCTTTTAAATGTCATGGGAACTGATAAAGTTTTTTTACTGTTTCAAATTGCGGTGATCGAAATAATAGTTTTATCGAAATTTTTTTATACCCCATTTACGATATTGCATCCCTGAGTTCAACTATAAAAAGATATTTTAGCTCCCATAATTGCTCTTTGTGCTAGTTATGTTATTGTGAGCTGCCAGTTTTTGTTTCGACTTTTGTAGGCAAGGAGGAACATATATTCGTGAGCTGATTTTTCAATGAGACCGATTTACAAAAGAAAATTTGATAAATGGGAGGATCGATACTTGGCTCCTCGTGATTCTGGCGAGGGCGCACGCACTACCGACTCTAAGATAATTACCTGACTCCAAAATTCTATCTAAATTGCTCGTTCAACACTTTAACGCAAATTATTTATGCGTAACGGGCTGTCCCGCAGAATAAAACTGTTCCAAATTGAATTCAGGCAACCTAATCAATCGGTCGTAATAATTTGGTACTCTTTCACACTTAATGTTTCATATTGTTGAAATTGTACTGTTTTTCGAAAAAGTTTGTTGTGGGGGAATGTTTGACCCATATTTGTGATTTTGTATTTCGTTTTCTCGAAAAATACCCTGCCAAATCTGAGGTACTGCCCTCCCATCTAACAAACCACTCAATTAAAAAGACCGGATTTGAAAAACGCCCCCGTATCAGAGGCTACGCCCAATATTTCTCAAAAACTAATCTAGCAAATCTGAGATTGTGGATTCAATTGAAATGGCTGGTAGTGGTAAACTCCTTTGCATTTGCGGGCTCTTACCTTTTTTTTCACGAAAAGTTATCGCCCTCGGAAAAGTCAAATTTTTGAGTTTTTTTAGTTTTATAAAGAAAAATTTTTGAACTTTCTCGAGAGCTTCTTTCCACTATCTGGGATTTTGAGCTCAAGTCAAAGTCCGCGCTGTGAAAAACTCCTTTCTTGTGCGACCACGCTCAATTTTTTTACCCAAAAAATTATAGCCCTCGGAAAAGTCAAAGTTTTGATTTTTTGACCAATTTTACACAAGCAAAGCTTGTGTTGTAGTATGAACTCTCATTTTTTTGCAATCTAAGTCGAAAATATTGAAAGTGCTAATTTTGATCAACCACCAGCTATTAAGTACAGTCAATGCTAAGGATATCAAAACCGACTATTATATTACAAATAGCACTTTAGCTTCAAGGTATCATGGATCTGTAGCGTAGAAGTAGGGAAGGAGACCCACAACAAAATAAGAGGGTTTGAACCTGGGCAGGTTCGGATGTTTTTAATGAAATTTTTCATATGCTAGCTAAAATGCGTCCGCTCTATTAGTTGAGGCATCTAAGTAGATTTTTTTTTCAAATTGACTGGTACTGCTAATGCGTCAGAATTGGCTTGCGTCACTTAAGAAATTTTGTAGACTCAAACTTTTACTCATTCAGTTTTCCCAGTAGCGCTATCGGTCATATTTTTTCTTGTGTATTCGAAGTACAACTTCGCTTGTGTTTGTAACTTTTTGTTTCTTGTCGAGAATTACCCTCCCAAATCTGAGGTTTTGGGTTCAATCGAAATTACCGGTTGCATGACTTTCTTCAACTTAAGCGGCTACGCCCAAAATTTTTACTGTTTTAAGTTTTTGACATTGCTTAGTTTTTGATTGCTCAGAAATCGATTTTAATTTTGAAAGGATTATGATTGTTGTTGTGTATTTTTGAGAAGTAAATTATCAAAATTATGCTAGTCAATTTTTTTTCACGTTTTCAGACTTTCAGGCTAGCCGATATTTATGCTAATCGAGCAGTCAACCCGCAATTGATGTTTTATAAGTACATTCAAACAAACCTGGTACAGTTGACTTGCAATTTAAAAAAGAATGCAAACAGCCTGACAACAAATGATTTCTTGAAGATTGCTCTCTTAATTTTTGTATGCTTATTATGTCAAGCTGTTATAGTGTTTTTTTTATTTTGATATGAAAGTAAATTTTTTGTTGCTTAAGAGTTCCGTAGGACTAGAATTCCGAAAACGAAAGGGATTTTAAAAACGTAGAAACTGATGAAATGAAGCAAATTCAGAGTTATGTAGCATCTTTCCAGTTTTTCTAATCAAATTAGCTTGCGTTGGCTTCAGTACCTTTGCTGAAAATGGGAGTCAGGTTTTTTTAAATTTGCAAAAAATTTTGACACCATTTCGAGAGAGTTTATTTGATTGGAGATATGCAATAATTAGTTATATTAATAGAATACTTCCTCTTATTTTGCTTTTTAGTATTTATTGCTGCATTTTTTGTTAACCCCTGAGAAAACTTGTTTTAACAATCAAATCTTCCTTTAATCGAATTTTTGATTTTTGTTTGCTTGGATCTTTTTAACTATGACACCCCCTATGGAACCTAGAAATGACTTGCCATCCCAATGAAGAAATAATTCAACGGCTGAGCTTATAACAATTTTGTATGTAGTGACGAAGAGTTAAAAAAATCCGATTTTTTTAAACGTCGCGTCGGTCTTTTCATTTGACTGGGAGCTCGCTTGTAAATACTTGTTCTCTTTAAAGAATGAAGAAATTGCTAATCGGAAGACTTATAAACGTAATGCTATTTTCCTTGGCGTGAAGGGGGCTATATTAGGCGAACACTATTTTAGGCGAAAATAAGTGTGTTAAAATTAGCAAAAACTTTGATTAAGAAAGTGTCCATTTTAGCAGAAATTGTGGATCAACCGTACAATGCCCCCCTAAACTTAGCCGAAATTTCCTCTCCCCGAAGCTTAGCATTTAGCAGAAATTGTGGATCATCGTGCAGTCCCCCCCTTTTGAATATACAGCTGGATATACCGAATAGTTATTTTGTCCTATTTTATTTCGTATTAATCAAAATTTGATATCGATTGATTGTTTTGAATAATTCAATCATTTTATTTTGCCTCGAAGTCAATTTGTAAAAAACCGGCATTTTGTTTCCCTAAATTGATTTGGGGGGGGGGGACTAGTACGGTTGATCCGAAATTGTATGCGATTAATAACGATTTTCCTTTGCTACAAACTAATTACAGGTAGCGTTCAAACAGCAAATAAATAGTGAAATAGTGACCGCTGCAGTCGCGTCAACGTGTTGAAGGCTTGTCAACAGAGGGTAAGGCTCTTTAAAAAAACTAGATCCGCTCATCGGTGCGAAGCGGTGACTCGCGTATAGCGCAGTAACCGGAGACTTCGAACCGACAAACGGTGCTGTAGTCTTCAACCGCTTCTTGCCAATTCCGTCTGGAGAATTGGGGGAATTTCTGCTAAATTGTATTCTTTTATTATCAAAATGTTCGCTTAATATTAACAATTTTTTTTTCGCCTAATATAGTTTTCGCCTAATATATACAGCCTAGGTTTGCAGATTTGCCTTTAATTCTATGCTAGTTGCACAGTAACATTATTTTTCATCTTTTAATGAACCTTGATAGTTTTCAGCTCTTAATTCAATTTCAGCTTCAACTCATCGCATTTTGACATATTTTTGAATGTTGTTTTTTGTGAATTGGATATATTACTGGCTAATAAACATACAGGATATTATTATCCAAGGTGAAATTGATTTTTTTTTGACAGCAAGGTTAATAACAAAACCATTTAAACTTAATAAAATTATAGCAGTGGAGTGCGGTCTGTACTTAGACAACCACGTATTCATTTTCATCAACAAGAAGACAAATACAATATCAACCGATCAGAATCGAGATGAGAAAGCAGAGTTACGAAATAACAAATTATTAATTAATTATTAGTTTCTTCCTTGTCTCGGTTTTGAATGGTTTACTCAGTTTTTGTCTACTTTTGCCGAGTATGTATACGCAGTTGTCTAATTACTGCTAGGTAATTTTTACCGAAGTAGTGAAAAAGTGGGATCATGTTAACTTGTTTTTGAAGTTTTAGCAACACCGACCCTTGGAGCTTTTCCGGTAGAACTCTGCGGTGCCTCATAAGCGGTGGTAGTTCAGTAAATCGATGTATCAGTCAGCCAAAAACGGGCCACCCAGATCATTATCCAAAACTTTGCTGAGTCATAAAAATTATTTTGCGTAGATTTTGGCACAATATCGGGGTCTTATGCACAAAACGTTGGAAATCAATATTTTTATTTTTTGAATTAGGACTAATGCCGTCAGCAGTTAAATCTGATTGAATAGTATTAGCTATTCAAATTCAAGCAACATGTTCAGGCAACTCAACTCAATAAAAACTTTCAGCAGATAAAAAAAGTTAGCCGAAATTACCAAAATCTGAAACTTTTTCTAAAAATATTTTTTTTTTTCAAGTAAATTAGGACATTTTGCCCGGACGAGAAAATACTGTAAAATGGCTTCAGCAGAATAAAAATTTTATACTTTTGGTTATTTCTGCTAACAATTTATCAGCTTGAAATTTTAATTGAAAGACGGACCATGTTCTAATTTGAGTGTCTGATTAGCCAATTGAATTCAACCTTTTTGTTTTGAATTCAAGAAAGATATATGAATACTGAAGCTTTTACGCTAAACTATTTCTAAATTTCGAACTTTTGACCAGAAAAAAATTAGGGTTAAATTAATTGACTTTTGCTTGTAAGGGACACACTTAATACCACCTTTGCTATAGACAAATTTTTGCTTCAGATTTCTGCGAAAAGTTTGTATTCAAATCGAAAAATCAATGTTAAGATCAAGATTTATTACAAATTTTTGAAGTTTGATCCATACATTAAATTCAACTTTCATTGTTGCTTTATTATAATTTCTGCTATGTAAGCCAAATATACTAGTTCTGTTGAATTCTGTTGCTAGCAGACTTTTTCAGGGCCTGCTTTACACTCAGTTTTTACGCAAGTTTAGTTCACATTAAATAGTAGTTAGATATATGATTTCCTTTATTGGATTTTTAGTGTGGAGGATATTATTTTAATCGGAAATTGTTAAAAGTTTTAATTTTTTTGACTTTTCTAACTTTGGTAAGTTTTGCTGCAGAGTAGCATCTACTTCAATGTAAGCCCAGCACTTAGATTGTTACTAACTTGATGTAAAAAATCACTAGCTTCAAAAACTGGAGGAGTCTCAACTGAAGTTTATTTCAATGTATATTCACATTAAATAGTAGAGTTACATAGCAGTAAGTAGACAGCCAAATCAGAGGCTTGAAAAAAAACTATCCAAATAATCCCCGCACATTTGAACATAATTTCATCTCAGATATCAACTCAAATTCCAATTTTTTAAATATCCCATTTGCAAAAACCCAAATTTGCTATCCTCTGTCAACCAATCAGGTTCGAGTATTGTCAATTTTGTCTGCTTACCGACGAGCACTGTAGGAAAAGAAGGTTGTCTAATTACAGAGCGCAAATCGTTAATGGGGGTGCAGCGACTAGCATGTGTGCCTATTAGCATGCAATAATTGTTTTAATTCAATGTGAATTCAGATGAAAAACAAATTAGCTTAAGCTTTCAAATAGTTTCGAAAACCATTTGATTTGTCAGGGAAATAAAAATTTCACTTTCGCTTAATGAATATTCGGCTAAGCGTACACTGATAAGAATCGCAAATTTGGTTAAACATAATTTGAAATAGGGAGTCTTCAAACTCTATGCTATAACATATAACATGGGCATGCCAATCGACACACATGTTAATAGGCCTGTCCGCTGTCCCCATCAATTATTGCTATAATATCTGCGATTGGCTATTCTGTACACTTGTTAGTTGCAGTTAACTATTTCGTTTAATAATTTTGAAACCATTTTTTTTGCGCACTAAGCACGATTGGGACTATTATCATGACAGAAAGACCAAATGCGCGAAGTTTGTAAGCCAATCAAAGCCTTTCAAACATCCAAAACTAACTGGTTATTTCGGGCATATTTCCTGAGTTTTGTATTATTGAATTCTGCTAACTTATCTTAAATTTCGCGCATTTGATCATTCTGCCATTGAGAATTTCCCCGCACCACATCTTTAGCTGTAAGCTTTGCTTTGCTTTGATTGATCGCGTAAAACTAAGAGTGGGGGAATGATTTTATCGTGTGAAACTTCCAAAGGAGTTCGAGACAATTTCCATTGAAAAAATCCGTCCACGGCTCTGTATCTATCATCAGTCTTGGCTTAATAGATGCTCGATACTCCCCCTCCCTTTCCCCTCCCGCGATTTTACTGAAAACTAATCATTCATTTCATTCCTTTTTACAGGACACCTCCAGTCTGGAGGTGCTGAAGGTTCCCAATTTGGACAACGGGGGTCCGAACTTCTTCGACATCACTCTTTTCGCCAGGGACTACGAGAACTCACCCGGTGATCTCGTACACGTCTACGTCAATGTCGACCCAGTCGAAGAGTTCGACCCCGAATTCGACAAGAACTCTTACACTGCTCAGGTATTCTAGCCACAGTCATGCTTTGTGATTCTAAGTCGGGGAAAAGACCGGGGTTTCAGCTGCCGGGAAAATTTATCACCAATTCAGAGATATGGCAGCCCATCATTGAGTCTATGAATGAGTCTACCACCCATGTTTGAGTCTGTGATCATGGTCACTTTACCCATAACCAAGGCTAAATCATCATTGAATTAGCGCAAATTTTTCAGGGTTAAATCAACCATGAATCAGAGATGGATTTTTACTATGGATTCTCTAAGAACCATTCGTATAATTTTTAAGATGCAAAAACCTTGAAAACCTATGAATTAGAGATAAATAATTTGTAATTTATCAGCTATTGTGTGTACTTACAAATCGTTTTTTTTTCCGCAAAAGTCTTATTGTTTGTTTGTTCAGGCTCAAATAAAAATTTTACTCATCAATCCAATTTTCTCAAATTGGGCTAATTTTATCAAAAAACTGCCTATCATAAATTTTGATAGAAATTCAAAGAGCTCTAGGGACTTCTCTGTTTTTTCGTGGAAGTTCGAAAATTGGATGTTTTCAAAAAAAAATAGTCTGTACTTTTTTTCTGTGTTCCTTGCGTGCATTGACTCTTTTTCAACTGTTGGCTATGGTCTTCTTTTCTCAGCTGGTGGAGAATGCGAACCAGGTGGGATCGAGCGTGGCCTCCCTTCAGCTCTATGACTTCGACATTGCACCCCATGGGGTTGACCAGATACAGTTCGCCATCACAGGTTCGATCACCTACCCTGTCCATCATCACACTAAGGAGGAATCTGGATCAAGTTAACATCCTCCTTTGGGAGGGGAGATGTTAACTTGGTCCAGATATTTTCGAAACTATTTCCTTCCCTATTGGGTAACTTATCTGAGGAGAGTAGTACACCAATTGATAGTAAGGGTAGTTTTAAGGGTTGAGTCAAAGGAGTTCCATGCAGTTGGGCATCAGTTGAGTAAGTACATGAAAAATAATACAATAGTAAATCAGGGATAAAACTAAGGTAAATATAATATCATAAATAGGGATATTATATTACATGGTACGGGGAATACTAAAAGGCGAACGTTAGAAAAGGGGAACTGTTAATAAGGGGGTTATTCAGAAAAGTTGATATTAATCCCGAGTTTTCGTATAAATTGAAACATTATTTTACCTGAAAGTTTGTCATTTCCTTGTAAGTCATGCTGTTTTTGAAAAGTTGAGAGAAACGAGTGAGTCAGCTTGGCTGTAATGTCAAAAGTCAAGTTGAGAGAAAGGTGACCTTAATTGTTTACAATTAACACCCGCCCACATTTGCGGAGCTTGCAAATAAAGTATTGAATAAAATAGTAAGGATACGGTTAAATACAAAGATAAGGGAACCAGTAGATAAGGGAACCAGAAATTGTTCTTTTTCATCTTCATCTTGGTTTGTCTATCGTTGAGCTGATTGTCATAGTTGAATTGAAGAGTCGTAGATTTGTTCATCTTTGTCGAGTTGATATGTTGAAGGCTGAGTTGCGTGATTATTTGGTTGGTTAGCTATTTGGAGCTTGGTTACTGCGAAACTGGGAAAACGCGGCTCAATTTGACCACAGGTCGAACTTTGAATCCAGTTGGCGTTTTCAGCTTCACTGAGCGGACTATTCCATCTTGTCCAGGAAAGGTTTCCACCACTTTAGCAAGAGGCCACAGTCCACGAGGTGTAAAATCCTCCAACATCCAGACCATGTCGTCGGGTTGCAAATTGGAAGTCGCAGAAGTCCACTTTGATCGTTTCTGCTGACCTGGTAAGTACTCTCGAAGAAAGCGATTCCAGAAGTGATCTGCGAGTAGTTGGGATGCTTTCCATGATTTTGACAGAGATAAATCCTTGTCCTTGAAGATACCAGGCGGTACATTTGGAGTTCCACGACCAAGAAGGAAATGGTTGGGAGTGAGAGGCAGATCATCTTTGATGTCGTCAGACACATTGGTTAAAGGTCGTGAATTCATGGTTGATTCAATTTCGGTCGTGAAAGTAGCCAGTGTTTCATATGAGAGTGTTCTTGATCCGATGACTTTGTACAGGGAAAGTTTAAATATCTGAACTAGTCGTTCCCAAGAACCACCAAAATGAGGGGCCGCAGGAGGAATGAATTTCCATTCGAGTGATACGTCCAGCTGATTGATGCTTTCCACAAATTCTTTGTTCTTTTCCAAGTTGTCTAGACATTTCTTCAGCTCAGAATTGGAGCCCACAAAACTTGTCCCACAATCAGAAACCATTTTCGATGGTTTTCCTCGCCGGGCAAAAAAGCGTCTGATACAAAGAAGAGTGCTGTCTGTCGATAGTCCTAATGAGATTTCAAGATGCACAGCTCTGATCACTAAGCATGTGAACAGTAAAATATACGCTTGGTATTGTTTTCCTTGAAGGATGATGGGAAAAGGTCCAACGTAGTCCAATCCAGTCGTTGCAAAAGGAAAATGATTTTTTGATGGCAGTCGATCAATTGGAAGATCTGACATCTGAGGGTAGTCGACTTGTTGTTGCATTCTTCTGCAGGGTATACAACTGTGTATGATACTTTTCAGCATGACGCGGCAGCGAAGAATCCAGTAGTTTTCCTGTGCTATGGCAATTGCTTGTTCCTTTCCGCAGTGGGAATGTAGAACATGGATGTTAGCTAACAGCAGGCGAACATTGGGGTTTTCACCAGCGAGAATGATTGGATATCTAGCTGATAGCATGATAGGGGCACGCGTGAGACGTCCACGAGAACGCAGGATACCGAAGTTGTCCACAAACGGTGCTAATGTTCGAAGTCTACTTTTGCCTTCAATTGGTTTTTCTTTTTTGATGTCTGAAATTTCAGAGACAAAATCTGTCCTTTGGGCAGTTTTAATTATGAGAAAGTGCGATTTCGTTAGAAGCAAGAGTTGAAGATCGACCTTCGACTGTTTGTTGATCTTCCGTTTGAGATTTTCTGCGAATAAGAAGCAGTATGCAACTGTCCGTATTAGTCTTTTCCAGTTGCTGAAGCGTTTGATGTCAAATATAGGCTCAAACTTAGACTCTAATGAAGTAACGAATACAGGAATGTTCTCAAGCCGAATGTTTTCCTGTGAAGGCCATTGAGAAGAATCGTTCAACAGAAATTCCGGTCCTAGTAGCCACCGACAGCTTGAGGTCATTTCTAAAGCAATGTATCCTCTGGTACCGTCGTCAGCAGGATTTAGCAGAGTTGGAACGTGAAACCACTGTTCAGGTTTAGAAACGTCTAAAATTTTCTGAAGCCGATTAGCGACGAAAATTTTGTGTCGTATTTCAGGTGTTCGCAGCCAATACAAAACAGTAGTACTGTCAGACCAGAAATAAGTTTTTTCAACTTTGAGGTCAATTTCCTCTGAAACAAAGAGCGATAGTTGGGCAGCATATACTGCAGCTTGCAACTCGAGATTGGGAATTGTAACACGTTTCATAGGAGCGACTCTTGTCTTTCCTATTATAAACTTCAAAGATGTGGAGCCGTCGCTGTAGACTATTCTTAGGTAGCAAACAGCAGCGAGAGCGAATTCTGATGCATCACAAAACGTGTGAAGCTGGGTTGAAGCAGGGTTTTCTTTATCAAAGAAGTTCCTTTGGAATGAAACAGTTTCGAAATTTTCCATTTCGTCTACCCAAAGTTTGAAATCGGGAAGTTTATCCGTGTCTAATGGAGTATCCCACTTAACACCTTGTGACCAAACATATTGGAGAACTTTTCGAATCCGAATTGTCAATGGAGCCACTATTCCGAGTGGGTCAAATAAAGAAGCGGTATACTTCAGGAGTTTCCGTTGCGTAGCAATGCCAATACGTAGAATTTTTACAAACTTTTTGTTATCGATGAAGTAGCAGTCAGTGTTGGTATTCCAGTGAACACCGAGAACTCGTTGATGTTTAGGCGTTGGATCATTAGGGCTGACTAAAATATTTGGATCAATTGAATCCAGGAATGGTTTACTGTTTGAGTTCCACTTATTCAAGTTGAACCCACCTCGAGATAAAGATCCTCGTAGTTGTGTCATTTGTTGGAGGGCTTCTTCTACCGTTGACGAAGTGACATACAAATCATCCATGTAGATATTCCGTTGAATGATTTCAGAAGCCAGAGGAAAGTCGTTTTTACTGTCTGATGCACATCGTCGTACTGCGTAGCAAGCCACGCATGGTGAGTCTGTGGCACCGAAAATGTGTCGTGTATATTCGTGAGTTTCTAATTTACCATTTTCTTTCCAAAGGTATCTTAGAAAAGGTCTATCCTTTGGGCTGACTAGCACTTGCATAAACATAGCATCTATGTCAGCAGATATTGCTATTTTATTTTGTCGAAAGCGAATTATGAGACCTGTTAAGTTGCACAAAAGATCGGGCCCTTTGAGCAAACTCGAGTTGAGGGATTTACCCTGAAAAATGCTGGAAGCATTTGAGACTCGTCTAACTTTGTCTGGTTTGTTGACATTTTTCACTGGATGATGCGGCAAATACCAAGATTTGATTGCAGTGTCATGTTTTGCATCTATTTTGGTGACAAAGCCTTTTTCTAAGTCAGTGATGACTGTTGCACGGTATTTCTCCCTTAAATCAGGTTTACTTTTAAGGCGAAATTCGAGGCTGTTGAGTTGCTTTTCAGCTAGCCAACGGTTATTTGGAAGATCAGTATCCTCTTTCCAAAGAAGGTCAATTTGATAGTGACCATCTACTAAAGTACAAGAGTTTTCGAGAATATCGATTGCTCTTTTATCCGATTTGGAGTGCGAGCGTTTTGAAGAAGCGATGCCTGTGTTTTCTATTTTCATCCAGTTGAGAACTTTCTGGTATAATTTTTCATCTAAGTTATTGTGTGAATGAACTTGTGTGAAGTTCACCGGAACAGATGGAACGGAATTATATTGCGTTTTGTTCCGACCTGTGCATGTCCATCCCAAAAGGGTTTCGATAGCCCAGGGAACATTCTTGGGGCCATAAACGGTATTTTTGATCTCATGATATTCTGGATTGTTGTTCCCGATGACTAGCGATATGCTATTGTCGTTTAAGTCCGGGTATTTAACATGCTTTAAATGTGGAAAATTGTTGCACATTGCGTTTAGTTGAAAAATATCAACTGGGGCCAAATTATTTTCATCTACCGTGAGTACGTCATCGAGCGTCATTGGAGTCGATGTGCTTTTGTATGGTCTAATTTGTACATCCACAGATGTAACTTGAACTGACTTGGTCTCATGATATCCAGATATGGGAAGTGAGTGCTTCTTGTTGACGTCCAAGCCTAGTTGAGTTGCCACTGAGTCCAGTAGTAGAGTTACGCAGCTACCACTATCTAAGAAAGCGTAGGTACAAAGTGTTTTATCACCATTTGATAATTCGATTGGTACAAAAGCTGATTGACCTGATCTCTGACAAGCTATTGCGCGATTCACTGCAGCTTTACTAGGGTTTTTTCCATAATTATCAGAAGGATCGTGGAGTAGAGTGTGGTGTTTTTTACCACAATTATCGGTTCGACAGAGCGATTTCGAATTGCAGTCAGTAAACCTATGATTCCCTAGACAGTTAAAGCATAAGTGCATTTTTCGGGCATGCTCTTTTCGTTGCTTAGGGTCTAAAGCTTTGAAGTGCTCGCATTTGTAGAGAGGTCCACAGGTGTCTCCACTAGGACAAGCATTCGAGTTTACATTATTCTGAGCACGAGAGTTTTGTTGATCTCCCTGATGGTTAAAGCGCTGATTTTGATTTCCTACACCATTTGTAGTAAAACCATTGAAACGGGAACCACTAGGGTGTTTAGCGTTTCCAGAAGAATTGTTAAAATTGTTATTGTTTTGGTTTCGGAAACCTGTCGGAGGCATGTCGCGACACGCCTGTGCGTACCGTTGAAACCATTGTGCTAGATGTCTCAAGGAGGGTTGATCGTAGTCTTTGTCGATGACGAAGCGATTCCATTCTAATCTCACAGGGTCGGGAAGCTTTGCCAGAGCAGTGTTCAAGTTTGTTGTAGAACAAATATCGTGAACAAAACCAAGTTGCTCAAAAGTGTCCACTAAAGTTAGGAGAAAAGCAGAAAACTGCATGTATGATTCTGGATGAGTCAGATTTGGAGGTTTGAAATTTGCAAGACGTTGCAAAAAAGAGTTGACAATTCTATTGGTATTGCCAAAGTTTTCACGAAGACGTTGTAGTGCTAGTTCGTATGTGTCGCCGTTTGCACCATAACCAGCTATCATTAGTTTAGCTGGGCCAGTTACCAATGATTGAAGATGGATCATCTTTTCAGTTGGAGACATATTAGAATTATGAATCGATGATACGAATACACCATACCAGTGCAACCAATAGTTGGGATTGCCATTGAAAATTGTAGGCTTCAGTTTTGGCACTGATCGACTGAATGTAGTAGAAGTGTCGCTTGAATTAGTTGCCAAAGCTCGATTGTTGTTGTTAGGAGGGTTTGCAGCACTAGCTTGTTGTGAGCTGTGGTTAGGAACATCACTAGCAAATGGATTTGAAAATGATTGGTCGCCTTGAAATGGCGCCGAAAGGTTGTCGTCAGAGGCAGCTGTTCTTGCATTGCCTTGAGTATTGTTGCTCATGGTTATAAGGTTGTTGTTTGGTATATCCATTATGTTTGCAGTCGGCATGGAGGTTGCGGTTTCCTGTGGGAAAATTGAAGTAGCATTTTCTTGAGCGCTGTTATTTGGAATTGTAGAAGTAGCAGGATTTGATACTTGTTTTTTCAAATATTTTTTCACTTTCATTGAAAATACTCGGATTTTCTGTTTCAACTGTACTGTCCAGTGAGAATGTTCTTCAAAATCGTGTTCAGAACCAGCCTGTAACATTTGATCGTTCAGGGTATCAAGTTTTTGTTGGAATTGAGACAATTCAGTGAACGTTTCATTGATGAGTTCAAGATCATCTTCTTCCTCGTAGATGTTGTTTTCGAGCATGTCGATCAAAGTATTGATCTCCATTTCGTGATGACGTCGAAGCGAAACCAGTTTTCGAACGCCAGTCTCTTGAACGTTTTGATTGGTATCTTGCGTTTGGGTACCATTTTGTTCCGAAGGATCGCTGTCATTGTTTTGCGTCGTTTTATTTCTACCGGATGGGGCCATACCTTGAACCAGGAGACGTAAACCAATACCTACCAACTTATACCAGTATATGAATTTACCTTTACCAACCTACCAACTTATACCGAATACCACCGATGCTCGTAAGAAGGAGCGAAATAATGGATAAAGTTTAACCAATTACCACTGTACCTTACCACTTGTACCTACCTCCGAGGGAAAATTGAGCGGTCGTTCAAAGTGTCCTCGGTATTAACAATTAACTGCGATTTTAAAGCTAGTCCAAGAACCTACCTGGTCCTACCAGCCTACCGACCCTACCTACCTACCAATTACCAGTATAAACGGCAAAAAAAACCGGGTGCAAAGATTAGCACCAATGAGTGTTGACCTCCCAGAGGACAACTGAGGATGACGTATTTACCTACCTACCTGTCGCTATTTAGCAGACGACTGAATTGTGATTGCTGACCTCCCAGAGGACAACTAAAGTTGATGTACCTGTTTACCTACCTGTCCTAATACCGTAGATTTATCCCTGTGCAATAAAATTTGCACTTATACCAGTTGACCTCCCAGAGGACAACTTGCCTTTATCGCTGTAGCGTAGCGAATGAGACGAACTAGAGTTGTTCGAAGCAGTTGATGAGCTAAACGAAGCTCGAATGTAGCCACGAACCCAGTGAGGCTCGAAGCAGCAGAGGAAATGAGCTCAGGTAAAGCTCGACAGGAAGCAGCCAAGAACCGAGAGGCTCAAAGCAGAAAATAAGGTGAGCTAAGACGAAGCTCGAATGTAGCCACGAACCCAGTGAGGCTCGAAGCAGCAGAGGAATGAGCTCAGGTAAAGCTCGACAGGAAGCAGCCAAGAACCGAGAGGCTCAAAGCAGAAAATAAGGTGAGCTAAGACGAAGCTCGAATGTAGCCACGAACCCAGTGAGGCTCGAAGCAGCAGAGGAAATGAGCTCAGGTAAAGCTCGACAGGAAGCAGCCAAGAACCGAGAGGCTCAAAGCAGAAAATAAGGTGAGCTAAGACGAAGCTGGAATGTAGCCACGAACCCAGTGAGGCTCGAAGCAGCAGAGGAAATGAGCTCAGGTAAAGCTCGACAGGAAGCAGCCAAGAACCGAGAGGCTCAAAGCAGAAAATAAGGTGAGCTAAGACGAAGCTCGAATGTAGCCACGAACCCAGTGAGGCTCGAAGCAGCAGAGGAAATGAGCTCAGGTAAAGCTCGACAGGAAGCAACCAAGAACCGAGAGGCTCAAAGCAGAAAATAAGGTGAGCTAAGACGAAGCTCGAATGTAGCCACGAACCCAGTGAGGCTCGAAGCAGCAGAGGAAATGAGCTCAGGTAAAGCTCGACAGGAAGCAGCCAAGAACCGAGAGGCTCAAAGCAGAAAATAAGGTGAGCTAAGACGAAGCTCGAATGTAGCCACGAACCCAGTGAGGCTCGAAGCAGCAGAGGAAATGAGCTCAGGTAAAGCTCGACAGGAAGCAGCCAAGAACCGAGAGGCTCAAAGGAGAAAATAAGGTGAGCTAAGACGAAGCTCGAATGTAGCCACGAACCCAGTGAGGCTCGAAGCAGCAGAGGAAATGAGCTCAGGTAAAGCTCGACAGGAAGCAGCCAAGAACCGAGAGGCTCAAAGGAGAAAATAAGGTGAGCTAAGACGAAGCTCGAATGTAGCCACGAACCCAGTGAGGCTCGAAGCAGCAGAGGAAATGAGCTCAGGTAAAGCTCGACAGGAAGTAGCCAAGAACCGAGAGGCTCAAAGCAGAAAATAAGGTGAGCTAAGACGAAGCTCGAATGTAGCCACGAACCCAGTGAGGCTCGAAGCAAGCGGAATAAGTGAGCTCAGATAAAGCTGAAACAAATGTCATGTCGAAGAACAATGACGAAAATTGAGAGTCCAAAAAGATCTCGAATCAGGTAACCTAGGAGTCGGGCAATAAAAAAGCAAAAGTGTCAGAAAACACTTGAAGGAAGGAAGCAATGAAGGAAGCAAAGGGCCAAGAAAGGCTCGGAAGGAATATACAAGGCGTCAGATAAGACTCGGAAGGAATGAATGAATGAGTAGGGAAAGACTCGGAAACGAACAACAAATGGGTCGAGAAAGACTCGGAAAGGAATGAAACATTGAGTCAGAAAAGACTCGGAAAGGAACGCAAAAGGCAATAAAGACTCTGAACGGAATGAAAAATGAGTCGGGAAAACTGAAGTTTTTTCATAAATGAGTCACAAAAGACTCGGAATAGCAAAGCAACAAAAAACGAATTGAAAGGGGAAAATTGATGAAAATAACTTAATACATTATTCAAAGTAAATGAGGCTATGAACAATTGAAACGTTTAAAGTTTACATGGGTTAGAAATCAAGAGCAATAATTGATCTTTTTTTTTTTAAAAATGTAAATCAAATAAACTGCGATTAACTGTAAATAAATGAAATAATATTGTAATGGGGAAGTATTATAACTAGATATAATAAACCGCAGACGTAAAAACTGGGGAGGAAAAACAGTAACTAACCATAAATTTTTGGTTGTGGGGGAATAAAAAACACAGTGTAACGAGCTAATCAAAACTTTTTCGGGGCGCCAATATAAAAATTGGGTAACTTATCTGAGGAGAGTAGTACACCAATTGATAGTAAGGGTAGTTTTAAGGGTTGAGTCAAAGGAGTTCCATGCAGTTGGGCATCAGTTGAGTAAGTACATGAAAAATAATACAATAGTAAATCAGGGATAAAACTAAGGTAAATATAATATCATAAATAGGGATATTATATTACATGGTACGGGGAATACTAAAAGGCGAACGTTAGAAAAGGGGAACTGTTAATAAGGGGGTTATTCAGAAAAGTTGATATTAATCCCGAGTTTTCGTATAAATTGAAACATTATTTTACCTGAAAGTTTGTCATTTCCTTGTAAGTCATGCTGTTTTTGAAAAGTTGAGAGAAACGAGTGAGTCAGCTTGGCTGTAATGTCAAAAGTCAAGTTGAGAGAAAGGTGACCTTAATTGTTTACAATTAACAGGTCCAGATATTTTCGAAATTATTTCCTTCCCTATTGCAAGAGGGGTAAAATTTGTAACAAGGTACCCTAAGGGGATTCCTTGTCAGCCAATTGAGAATGCAAATCTTGCAAGAATCTGGCAAGTTTCTTGCTAGATTTCCATTCATTTGCAAAAATTTTGCAAGATGTGCATTCCGAAAACACTTATACCGCCTTCTTTTTTATCAATTTAAAAGATAGTTTTTTTTTCAGCTGGCGATGACGACAACAACTTCTACGTGGAGGCGGTGGGTCTGAACCCGACCCTCCACACTGTTTGGGCGGATGTGAGGGTGAAGAAAGTGGTGGATTTTGAGCAGACAGGAAACACCATTGCACTCACAATCACGTAAGAGCCCACAGACAACAACTCCGCATTTTTTTATAGGTTCCTCTCGACAGGCAAACTTGCCTTTTAGAATCCTGTCAAAGATGCAAGTAAAAAATAGCTAAATTTTTGTATTTTTTAATAACTGTTTCTTGAAAATTCGGTTTTAACATCCCATAGCGGTTTGTATCAGCTGAACTTTTATTGGCCGAAAAGTTGTTCACGAGATCGGTGGAAAAAGTTTATTTTTTTAGTGCGACTGGAAGTGGGACGGCAGCCACTGTGCCTTTGACGATCACAGTTGAAGATAAGCCAGACGTCTACTCACAGGTACATGATCATGACTTTTATGTCCGCGAAATACTCAAGTTTTTCTGCATCTTAAAAATAAGGAAACGATTTTTTAAGAGTCGATGAACGTAGTTCAGATTCTTATGTAGGTCGCGATGATTTTTTTTCCATTTAATTTCAGGAAACGTCTTAAAATTTGTTCAGGCTCAAATTTACTTTTTCGCGGTTTGATTTTTAATTTTTTTTGAAGTTAATTTAATTTCCTTTGTTCAAAGGAAGGCAAACTTCACCATCGAACAGCGAAAGTGTAAAGGTCACCAAAAATATGATCGATCCTAATTTGGAAAGTGGAGCTTCTTTTTCAAATTTCCCTGCGAAATAAAAAAAAACACCTGATGATCCAGTTTTCTCAAAATGGGCCAATTTTATCAAAAAAAGTGATGATCATTAATTGTATTAGAAATTCAAAGAGCTTTAAGGGCATCTATATTTTTTTTCTTTGAAATTTGAAAGAGTTTTTTTTTCAAAAAACAAATCTGTTTTTCTGTTTTCTGTTCGAAATTCTAGAGAAATTTTTTCAAAAAACAAGTCTGTTTTTCAGTTTTTTTTGTGTTTATTGACTCTTTTCCAACTGTCTGTTGCCTACGATTAAGGTTTAGAATTTAGTTTTTTTTTTGAAAATGGAACAAATTGCTCAATTCTTAAGCAAATAATTTTGGGAAGAATTGAATTAGCACTGAAGATTTACGCCGGTCTCTGTGAGTGAACTAGTTTAGAACGAGCCCGTATTTTAATCTTGTAGGCCTTTTAATACTTTCCTTTAAATGGGACTTAAGGCTCTTTAACCCAGGTACAAAAAACTAGGAAAGTTTTTTTCAAAAATTGGATAAAGCACATAACATTGTTCAATTTAGAGATCTTATTTTCTGAAAAAGTTGATAATGGCGTTTGTATACTATTAACGCAACTTCATACATAATTTTTCAGAGATTCGTTTTTCTTCATCCTGACAATTGTTTCAATTATCGAAAATGAATATACGTTTTTTTTTCATATCAAGTGTCCCGACTTCTTTCTCGCCACTGGGGCCGCATCTTTGAACGAGGCATCTGCAGTTCCAGGAACTACCAACGTCGGCACTGTAATTGTATGTACTCCGGCTACTGGACTGACCTTCAAATCAACTCATCCTAATTTTGCTTTCTCTGGAAATCAAATGAAGGTCGCCGCTGGTACGTGTTTTTCAGAAACAAAAACCAATAACTTCCAAATTTATCTTTTTTTTCAAAGTCTAATTTTTGAGAAAATGATATTTATCTACGTGTATGATTTTACTTATGGCATGATTTACACAGTTTTTCATACTTTTTATCCATAATATCAAACACAATAGTTTCGTAAATCAGTGAAGAGATGAAACTAGCGACGATTTCTCGTTCGCTGAGTTAAATTGGTCTAACAGTAATTTGTCCAACTTTATTGCTTGCTGAGCTTCAATGTTTAAATTCTTTATGTTGGATTTCAAAATGGTGTATATGTGTGTACGAAAAATTTTACAAATATCTTTTGAAAGTCTGCCCTCGATGAAACACTAGGTTCGCCCGTATCATCAGCCAAGTTGATACTGCGATATATTTTCCTAATTTTCTAAAAAAGTTCTTAATCAAATGAATTCAGTTAAAAGTGTTATCATAGTTTCTACGCTCGGACAAATTTGCGTGAAAAATTCGGGTTTTGGCATATATCGAGATTTTTTAATGGTAATTGCCTTTTTATGTGCTGTTTTTTTCTTTCTCATCGTTATTTTTCTATATTTAGTTTTCTCTTATAAGCTAACAAAGTTTGTCAAAATAAGGTTTGCAGGTTTACAATGGCTGATTTAAGCTTAGTTTAAACCGTGAAAACTAATATCTTTTCGAGTAAGTTTAGTTTTTGAAATTTTCAGCGCCATTTTGGGAATCAAAAACTTCAAAAATTCGAAAAATTTCTGCAAAATAAAGAGAACTTTTCTTCTCCTATTGGCCTATTTGACTATGACTGTCAAAAATACCTAATTTCTATTTTTTCGTTCAGATCTTACTATCACACCACACAGAAAAAACGACTCTAACTTGAAAAATAATGTATTTTTCTTAAGACTATGGTCGGAAAATTTGGTGCGATTTTTTTTGTAGACGCTGTGATAGACTACGAGACGGAGCAAATGGCAGACTTCTACATTGTGGTCACAGACAACGCAGGTTTCTTCGCCCACGAGATCCCCGCCCGGGTGGAGATAGGACCCGCCAACGAATTCTCACCCACATTCTACCCATCCACTATAGCTGACGTCACAGTCGACGAGAACTCACCTGTTAGAAACAATTTGTATTATAACTATTAGAAGCAACTTTTGTTAACCTAATTAATTTGCGAATGAAATAAAAAAAACAAGAAAAATTTAATAAACACTCACCTGTTAGAAATAGTTTGTGTTATAAATAATTAGTTTGTGAATCAACAAAAATTTTGTCGACTTTTTTGTGGGTCGACCAAATTGATTTTCCGAGCTCGCAAAGCACTAAAAAGACCCTGTTTTGGTAAAATTTTCTGCGCCGCAAAATTTTCAAAAAAAGGCCAATAAAGGCGTTTTTAGGCAGTTTTTGGAAAATTTTGACCAAAAAAAAAATCGCTTTTTTGGCGCGCTCCCCCCTCAAAATTAGTATATAGTCGTCGAAGGCGCCTTTAGAAAATTTTAAGGGCCCGTCACCAAATATGGGTATCCAAAATAGTACAAAAGGGGGGCCCTTTGGGTCGGCAAGGGGTCAAACACATGAAGAAGTGGGCGTCCGCTCGCCCACCCTAAATCAACCCCTGGGTTAGATAATCAATGTTTTTTAAGCAACCAATTTCATGACATCATAAGAAAATTAATTAGATTAAATCTGAGGTATTTCTGAGCGTTTTTGATGTCATGTTCTTTTTGATGTCATGAAAAAGGCCACTCGATACACTCTTGAAAGATGTCAAATGTTCAAAATTATAAAGCTATTCATTTAGTTAGCACCCTTTGCATCGAAAATTACCCACAAGCATCTTTGTCATGAACAGTCAAGTTTTAAAACATCATGATTATTCAGATTAACTCAGAAGATACAGAGGTTTTTATCGGCGACGTTACTGGCCGTTCTGTAACTTATGAATAAAATATTCCCTTCTTGAAAACAAACTTTTCTATTTGATTTCTAATTCAAAAATAACTTCTCATCTGTTTTCAGATTGGCACTTTGGTCGCTTCTGTCGAGGTGAAAGACGAAGATCTCTTCACTAGTCACGAGATCGATCCCGCCAGTCTCCAGCTAGCTAACAGTAACTACTTTTTCTTCTTTTCATCATTGAAGGGTAATGATATTGACTGAAAAAAAAAACAGGCAAAGGTTATAATGAAGATGAATATCGAGCTATTTAGACCGGTTCAAAAATCATAAAACATTTTTGAATGCGCGCGAATTGACAACTTTTGAACGTGCTCGATTTTGTAATGTGCTCGATTCGTAAAATAATTTATTGTTCCGACTTTCGTAACGAAAGTAACAAAATATTTGTGCTCGGGGTGGGTTTAAGGTGCGGAAATTTAAGGTGCATATACAAAACAGTCCCATACAAAACAGTCCAATACAAAATAAACCAAAAATCATGAAATGAAGGGGAAAACAGTCCAATACAAAACAGTCCGGTTTAAGGTCGCCGGTGGGCGCGCTGCGCGTGCGTCGCCGATTTGCGGCGATAACCGGCTCTTAACTTGAAATTAAGTCCTACCCTCTGTTGGCAAGCTCGCAACACGTTGGCGCGACTGCGGCGGTCATTATTTGGTTCTTTATGTTTGTTGAACAAAGGACAACTCTCGGCCTACCGGCTTGTTAAAACAATTATTACTTGGGACTGTTTTTCGGACTGTTTTGTATCGGATTGTTTTTTCGTTCATTTTCATACTTTTCCGGACTGTTTTGTATGGACTGTTTTGTACAGACACGAGATATAATCCGTCTTAGAGATTGAAGGAAGCTTATTTGCCATAATTGATTTGTTACTACGAGCGAAATATATCTATTTGTACTTTATATGCCGTGTGGGGGGATGATTTTCACAAAAACCTCAAATTTTATTTATTACATTTAATTTTTCCATGTTATAACTGCTCCATGGACCTTGAGGCAGTTGAAATTTCAGGGAAAAATTTTATCAAAACAGTGTCTTTTTAGTGCTTAAGGAGAGCTCTGAAAATCCATTTGGTCAACCTAAAAAAAATCCGCTCCCCTCAAAAAATCCTACATCCGCTCCTGATTCGATATGAATTAAGGGACAGTCGGAACATTCAGGGCTTTGCCCTGATATACTAGCAGTCTTGTTACTTTTTATGGTTTTTTCGAAAGCTTTATGTTTTCATACATACTTTCATGTCAGCAATAAAGAGCACTTCTGAATTTGAATGATATAGGTTTAAATGATAAGTTTGCCTCAGTTTTACAATAAGCTCATTTTGAAAGATCAATTTAAAAGACACTAATAGAACCCTAAATGTTTATCGAGTTAGATCGAATATATGACCCTTTTTGTGTTTTCAGCGTATGGAGGTCGTTTTGCAATCACAAAAGTCGAAATCGTGAACGGCTACTCGATTCAAGTCGTCGTTGCGGACGAATTGGACGCGGAGACATCTACTGGACCCTACTCGCTGTCTCTGGAAGCGGCAGATGCCGACAACTCGCCCTCACTCGACTTCGATGTGTATGTTCGGAATGTGGACGAGTTCGCGCCGACTTGCACCAAAACAGCGTTTTCAGTGACGCACGACGAGGACATAGGTATTCTGTCATAAAGTATTAGTTATTGTGTCATAGTTATTATATGATATAATAAAATATTAGTTATTGTGTCATAGCTATTATATGATATAATTCATTCAAGTTTTTAATCCGAAAAACTAAAAATTACCTGTAAAAAGTTAAATGACATTTTTAAAAAAACAAAACTTAAGATGCTGAAATAGTAGAGCTGAAATGATAGCCTTAAAATTATTATTTTTAAAATTTTAAAGCTGTTTTGGGCGTTTTTGATGTTTTTTCTTCTTCCGAAAAAGGTTGAAGATTTGTAGAAAAGCCAAGGTTAAAAAACGGAATAATTTTTTGCCTTGGTTTGTTTTGCTTGTAGCTGCTGGTTCGGACATCCTGTCAGACATGGGCTGCACCGATGCAGCGGACCAAGGGGGATCAGTCTCCTACTCCATCGCCTCCGACCCCTCCGGTCTCTTCGAGGTCACCACCACTGTGCCAGGGGGACGCATCAAACTCAAAGGTCAGCTTCCGGACCTCACTTGTACTTGCTATTATCAAAACCAGGAGCACAATGTTTTTGCATATCTTGAACTACTTTGAAATGGATCTGTAAGAAACTTTCGTTTTGTGGTAAAATTTTGTTTGGATGAAGCAAAACGTGACTCACATTTCGAGATTGTTTTGACAAATCAATTTTGTGTTGAGAAAAACCATCGTTTTTTTAATACTTTTTGATAATTTCAAGCTGGGGCACGAACGTATCGACCCGGTCGATCAAAATTTTTTGTGCGCCTGTATAAATTGGGACGAAAGCAGACATTTTGTCGGCCCCTATGGTCAATATATAAATTTACTGCGTCAACCCGAAAAGAAACCCTTTTAGTATCTAATTACAAATAAATAAATGACACTTTTAAAAAGGAGTCCATTTCTCGCAAAAAAACTTGAGCTGCTCGAGTAACATAGGGGAACTCGCTAGCACCGAATAAAAAATAAATAAATAAAGTTTAGAGACTTAAACGCAGCTAAAATGAAGTGTTCAGTTGTTCAGAAATCGCAAGATATTTAAGGTAACCGAATTGCGCGTCAATATGATAGATCATGGGCGTCAATACATAGGGATCAATATGCTTGATCATTCTGCTCTGAATCGAATTCAGTAACTCTCTTTTTTTTTTATAAAACTCTGAGTCCCCCCTTGTTTCATTTTGAGATATATTTGCTGACGGGCCCTAAAAATTTTCTAAAGGCACCCTCGGCGCCAATCTAAACTAACTTTGAGGGGGGAACGCGCGCCGAAAAAACGCGATTTTTTTGGTCAAATTTTTCTAAAAAGTGCCTTTGGACTCAGAAAATCAATTTAGTCGACCAAAAAAAATCGTCAGAAATTTCAAATTTTTTTTTGAAATTCCGCCCCCCCCCCTCTTCGAGAAATTCCTAGATCGGCGCCTGGTCGCAAGCAAATTTTCAAAAAACAGGCCAAAAACAAAAAAGGCGTTTTTAGGCACTATTTGGAAAATGTTGACCCAAAAATTGCGTTTTTTTTTGGCGCGTGCTCCCCTCTAAAAATTAGTCATATTGGCGCCGAAGGCGCCATTGAAACATTTTGAGTCTGTTCAACGAAAAATGGATGTCATAAAGTTATGCTAAAGGGGGGACCCTTTAGAAAACTTTGGCAGCCAGAATTGAGGAGGGGGGTGCGGTTGCCCCTCGCCTCTTCCCCCCTCGGCACGCTACTGATCAGATGTAACAACAAAAACAATTAAGGATCTCCGGATTCAAAGTCAGCATCTCAGATCCCAGCTGAAGGGAAATTTTTGAGATACTTAACAATTACACAAATAATTATTGGCCTCCATTTTTTCAAGTGTACCTGTATTTTGTTTTATATAGTGTATTTCATTATTAACATCCTGACAAAACAAATTGCCTATCTGATATATTTGCCTATCTGATGTTTTTTTCTTCGCAAAAAAAATCATTCAAACTAAAGTTTTCACTCAAACGGCGGTTCGAAAAAAATCTATTCAATCTTCTATTCAAAAATTAAACTTGTTTTTAACGATTTTTAGCTGGAAAAACTCTCGAGTATGACGTAGAAGGGGGAAAGCAGCACTTAATTGTGGTGGACGTGATCGACTCCTCTCTCAGAGTAGTACCAGTGTGTGTGATAGTGAATGTGAACCCAATCAACTCAGCCACGCCCACTTTCGCAGAGACAAACCCATCTGTCAATCTAAGAGAGAGTACGAAGGCCGGAACCTGCTTCTATCAGGTAATTGAAGTTTTGAATCGGGGGCTATTCCCATGTGCGATAGACCGAATGCGCGAAAACTACCATCCAATCAATGCCCTTTAAACTGAGTTTATTGTTTGTTTTTTTTTTTAGATTTTTTGAACTCTGAGCTCCGATTGGTTGACAAATTTTTCGCTCATTCTGTGAGCATGCGGGATTCCCCCATTTTAAACAACTTTTCACTAACCCCTTCCCTCTATTATAGAAAAGTACGTTTCGTTTATAGGTACGTTTCGTTTATAGGTGAAAAACATCGTTTATTTTTTAGTCCCTTTCTCAATACATTAAGTTCCAATTTGACACTAAGTTCCATTTTTTTAAAATCTCGTTTCTGTCTTTTTTTCAGTTCACAGTTTCGGATTCCGACTGGAAGGAACACACACATGGACAATTCACCTTCAACACAATCTCCGCCTGTAAGTTTGCAATATATATTCTGACTTTTCCATTTAAAGAGATGTTTTTAAGACGTAACGAAATATAAAAATATAATCATAATTATTAATCGATTTCAGAGCCCTAGGTGTTTTATTCTCAAGGGACCTGGTTCTGTTCAAGGGACCACTCTCTCATAGTAGTACCTCTATCTTGTCAGATTTTGTAAGATTCCTAGTAAAGACATGTAAGTTTATGCATAATTTTGTCATATTTTTCTAAGATTATTGCTGGATATCTTTTTGTAATGAGTATTTAGCATGAGTTTCAGAAAATTTTAGTACAAACTTTATGAGAATTTTAGTTTTTAAAAGTCAGTTTTTTTTGTCAGAACCTTGCGCGATATAGATTTTTTGTAAGAAAACTTTCTGTGAGATGCGCGTTTTTAAACGTACTAATGAACTTTTTTTGCTGCTTTCTGACCAAACCTTCATATGTTATTGTCATGAAATAGCACAAAGTGTGGTTGCCATTAGAAGGAAGGCAAACAAAACGAAAAACAACGGGAGATATCAGGTTTCTGCTGCTCAACATTTAAGATGCCGGAGCCTTCTTTTAAAAATTTCTTGGCTATTTCATATGTTTGCATGAAATTTTTGTATGAAGAAAAAAGAAATTCTGTTTTTTTTTGCATTAAATATCGATTATAAATTATCTATCGTTTAATTTATTGACTATCGTTAAAGAAAACTAGAAGTGCATCAAAAACATAGTTAAAAATGGCCTTTTTTAGAGATTTTTCATTGTTGATTGTGTATGTATAAAATTTCACAAAATCTCAGAAGATCTTGCCAGATCTTAAAAGATAACCATTAACTGAAAACTTTTTGGTAGGTTTTCAGTTAAGGACTTTTTTAACTCGACCAAATTGTTTTTCCGGGCTTTCCCAGAACGCTATAAAGACTTTATTTTGATCATTCATTGAAAGGCGTTTTTAGGAAATTTAGGCGTTTTTAGGCGTTTTTGGAACCTTTTTACCAGAAAAAAAAGAGTTTTTTCGGCTCGCTTCCTTCAAACTCAAAATTAGCATGTATTAACGCCAAAGGTGGACCATTTGCGTGGATCGAATCCCCGAAGACGGGATTTTTCGGGGATTCGTTGCTTGAACGGTTTCTCAAAGGATTAGTCGCAAAAACTTGACCATTTGTCAAATTGATCTTATCATCTTTTTTTTTGGTGAAAACTGTTGTTGAAAATGCCTATTTTATTGTAATTATCAAATACGGCGAGCCTCAATTTGAGAAAACAAAATTTTTAAAAAAAAAATAACTCTATTCAGATCTTTCTGTGCAATTTTCTGTACACATGCGGAGTGTAGTGTGATAGTTAGATGTAACTTTTCTGTCCAACTTGAGTCGCAAAAAAGTGCTACTTTTGCCAATATGAAAAAACTACTTTTGGGGTACTTTTAAAGCAATTGGCAGCATTAGCTTTATGATACCACTGACCTTCATTTGAGTAGTAATAAGTTGACACCGTTGATGTTTTTTTAATTTATCAAAAAAACCGTAAAAAACATGTTTAATTTAACAATCTAATGATTAAAATTCGGTTTCAGAAATTTTGCAATTGAAATTTTTTTCGCGAGACTTTTGAAACGCGTTTTTGTACACATTGTGGCCGAATAAATTCCAATTTATTTCATGCAACGTAACTGTGGCTGGTTTTAGCTTATCACGTTCCAAAAAATTACATGCAGAATTTATGTTTTTGTGAATCTTGATGCTTCTTTGTGCAGCTTGTCTCTAGTTTCTATCAGCTTAATTGGGACAATTATTTAGGGCAGCTAACTGGAAATATGAATTTTCGATGACTCTGGATTAATTCCCGAAGAGTCTTTTTGTTTTTGAAAACTCATTTTTGACCCTTTTCAGGGGCGGATCTAGGATTTTCTCGAAGGGGGGGGGGGCGGATTTTCAAAAAAATTTCGAAAATTTTGACGACCTTTTTTTTTTAGGTCGACCAAATTGATTTTTCGAGCTCTCCCAAAGCATTGTTTAGCCTCAATTTTGGCGCCGCAGGCAATTTTTTGAAAAAACAGTCAAAAAAGCCGTTTTTGGGCACTTTTTGAAAAATGTTGACAAAAAAATCGCGTTTTTTTGGCGCGCGCTCCCCCTCAAAAAATAGTTAATATTGGCGCCGAAGGCGCCCTTAGAAAAATTTTAGGGTCGGGAGGCCAAAAATGGATTTATTAAAAAGTATCAAGGGGGGACCCTTTGGGTCGGCAGGGGGTCGAATCCGAGAGGGGGGGGTAAGGAAAGCGTCCGCCTCCCCGCCCCCCCCTCCCCCTAAATCCGCCCCTGACCCTTTTAAAGCTCTTCTTGGCGTTCGTTCGCTTGTGTTTGCAAAGGCCAGCTTCGCCTCTGTGTATTATATGTTTTGTTAAGCTACTTCGTTCCTGGTGGACAAATATTCTGGGAAAGTGTGTCTTGTGAAGCCAGTGGATTACGAGAGCGGAACCATTTCATACGCCATACAGGTTAGTCAGCCGAACAGCAAAGCACACCTTGGGTCTTTTCTGTTATACGGCCGAAAGTTACCGAAAGTTAGAATGAGCTAATATGTTTGAAATTAAGCTTCATATTTCACCTTTAGCTCACTCAAACTTTCGAACTCAATTTTGAACTGAACAGCGTGTGAAATTTGCCGAAATTTTAATAAAGCTTAAGTGAAACTTAATTTCCCTAACAAATAAAGTGGTTTTCGAAATTATTTGAAGTGATTGGTAAATTTGTTTTTTTTTTGTCCGAATGCACTACTCAACTACAGCAATTACCGCATGCTGTTATGCACATATGCTTATCGCTCCGCCCCCGAAACATAATGTGTTTCAAACCGATCCGTGAATTGTGACATTTAGGTGACGGCTCAGAATGCGGACGGAACGACCTCCGCTACCAACACACTCACAGTCGGTATCACAAATGACAACGACGAAGAACCGGAATGCAATCATTACGTTAGAGGTAAGAGAAGAATGTAATCATTACGTAAGAGGTAAGAGAAGAATGTAATCATTACGTAAGAGGTAAGAGAAGAATGCAATCATTACGTAAGAGGTAAAAGAAAAATGCACTCATTACGTAAGAGGTACGAAAAGAATGCACTCATTGCATAAGAGGTACGAAAAGAATGCAAACATTTTTAAAGAGTCAAGAATCATTACGTAAGATGTGAAGGCCGAGCAGATCTTTTTGTTTTGACATCTTCCTCTGTAGACTTTTATCCTCGAGGGAAAAACACCCCACAAGCTGTACAGCTTACTGTGAACCGCTGAACCTTGCCGGTGTCGGGCAGTACTTTTGGCTAGTTTTCTGGACTGGGCAAGGGGTTGCCTCAAGCAACAACAGCGTCAGAACGAGACTCGGCGACTTAGAAACTTCACCACAGTTTCATTTTTCCAACTATCTCCTAGCTAATCAAAGGACACACAGATTAGGAACGCAGTCAAGACATTTGCATGTGTCGTGTTGAATTTTTTCTCGTTTTGTTTGAGAAAAACTTTTTAAAATTGTTGTTACTAAAATTTGATTTTTGGCGATTTGACAGATGGTTTCATCTTGGGTTCAATTCAAAATCATTTGCTGAAAGCATGGCAAATTACGCTCCAGAATTAAGAAATTAGAAAGAGCGCAAAAAAACATGAATGACACTTGAAGTTTCGTAAGTGGAGTTTAAATTATAGATTTCCGGATTTCAAGCGGAGTAAAAAATACGCTTTTTGAACAAATTTTTTCAAGTTGAGTTCGTTTTACAAAAAAGTGACGATCTTGAAGCATTTTTGAAATTCAAAGAGCTTTAACATGATATACTTTAGTTGAGAGTTGAAATCGGTAATTAAGTGACCAATTATATTTAAAAGCCTAATCTTTCAGAGATCAGTGTTCTCTCTGTTTGAATCAGTTTATTTGCAACCTTAACAAATAAACAAGTTTCTAGTTCAAAAAAATGAGTTTTTGGTCAAAAAGCCTCAAACATTTTTTTATGAGTCGATGAACTTTCTCAGAAATTCGTTTAGGTCGCGATGATTTTTTTGTTTTTTTTTTCAGGAAAAACCTTAAAATTTGTTCAGGCTCAAATTTGTCTTTTTGCGTTTTGACTTTTGATTTTTTTTTCAAGTTCAGTTCGTTTTCTTTGTTAAAAGGAAGGCAACCTCCACTATCGAGCAAAGAAAGTTAAAACATCACGAAACACGTGATTGACATCTTGTTTCGAAAAGTGAATTTACAATTTGACTCGAATTTACAATATAAAGATTTGGTCCACCATTAAACTGCCACTGATAAAGAAATTTAGTTTTAGAAGCTATAGTAGTTGGTGCAATATATTCTACATGAACCCATTGTCTGACCTAATTCTCCCCGTTAATTTTGCAAAATAAAAGTGACGACTTTAAAATATTGTTAAACGTCAAAGAGCTTTAACTTGATATACTTTAGTTGAAAGTTGAAGTCGGTAATAAAGTGACTAATTATTTTAAAGTTCAAAGCATTATCTTGCAGAGATTAGTGGTGTCTCTGTTTGGATCAATTTTATGTCCGAGTTGAACGAATTAACATGTTTCCAGTTCAAAATATGAGTTTTTGTTCAAAAAACCTCAAAAAAGTTTTTAAAAATCAATGAACCTTTTCGTAATTTTATGTAGGTCGAATTAATTTTTTTTCGGGAAAAGTCTGAAAATTTGTTCATGCGAAATGTTTTTTACTGCGTTTGGATTTGAATTTTTTAAAGTTCAGTTCACTTCGTTCGTTGAACGTGATAGTTACGAAAAAGGAATTTAATTTCCAGATTTCCCAGCAAAATAAAAACGTGACCTAGCGATCCAGTTTTCTCAAATTGGGTTAAATGTATCGAAAAAGGGCATATCACAAACTGTTCTAAAAATTGTATGAGCTTTAAGGGCATATATTTTTTCTTGGAACCTCGAAAGTTTATTGTTTTTCTTCAAAAATTGAGTATACTTTTTTACTGTTTATTTGCGTTCATTTAATTTTTTCAAACTGTTGGGTGGCTATTCTATGTTTATAAGAGTCAAAAAATGTAGCAAACACTCTTGTGTAGGTTGTGCTATTAATTTCTGTTCTTTTTTTGTTCGAAAATTTTTCTGAGCTCAAGTTTGGTTTATCTCGTTTTCATTTGTGATTTTTCACGTTCACATCATTTTGCTATTTGACAGGATGGCAAACCCCACGATCGAATAGCAAAAGTGTAAACGTCACCAAAAACGTGACTGGCTTGTAATTTTGAAAAGATTAACGAGTGATGCTGTTTTTTTTCTAATTGAATTATTTTGTATCAAAAAACTGTAAATCATAAACTGTTCTTGGAATTTTAAAATCCTTAAGGACATATTTTGTTTGTTTCAAATTCGAAACTTAAAATTTTATCAATTTTTTTTTCTGTTTCTTGACATTCTATTCATCGACGTTTTTTGCACATCATAGCTAAGCCCCTCCGGACTGATCATCTGGATTCCGGATTCGAAAACATTTTCAGTACTGATGAAAACTCTTCTGAAGCTTTTTGTTTTTCAGTCTAATTTATGGAAAGTGGATGCTAATGCGGATGAAATCCGCGGATGGATTTTAAATATTTTTATTTCAAACTTTAGTTCACTGTTTCAAGACTAGGAAACAAGCAGATTGCTTTTCCAGCTCTTAAAAAGTGCAAAAAATGACCACTAATTTTTTAAGTATTTTCTTTTCTTACATTTAAATCTGTGATTGGCGAAATGGATGACATCTCTTTCCCTCATGGAAGAAAGGTCTATTATAAAACAGTGGAAATATTAACAAGAGCTGAAAAAAACACGTCCAGTTTGAAATCCGCACCACAATCTTTAAAAAAAATGTCTTCGAAATTGATTTTTTTTTACAGTGGAATCTATGATTTGAAAATTCGTTGTGAATTTTACAGCAACCGGTTGCACTTTTTGATGCTGCTTTTATAAAAAAAATATTACTTATTTTTAATTTTTATTTTCCAGGTACCCAGACAGAGGGTACGGCTGCCAACACAAATATAGTGACATTGGGCTGCAACGACGACGACGGAGACGGAGCGACTCTTGCATATGTGAGCAGTGACTCACATTTTACCATCACAGCCGCTGGAATGGTGCAAAACGCAATGGTACGATTTTCCATTAATTTAAATGTATTTCATTTTTAAGTTTATTTAAAATTTTGAAAAGGAATATTTTAAAACTAAAAAATAAGATAAAGATCTGACTTTTCAAAATATTATTTGAGACATTAAAAAGGAATTGTGTTTATCTTGCATGATAGTTATCTGCAAGATACAAATGCTTGTCTGGTTATTCACATTACTTCAATGATTCTTCGAAGGTATTGCAGGATTAAAATCTTTGATTGAGAGGAGCTTTGAAATATAAAACTTGCGACAATTATTGAACAGGTGTTGTCAAATGCAGCCAAGAGTGTTCACACGTTCTACGTGACAGTGACCGATAGCAGTGGGGCTTCCGTAGAGGGGGCCCCCCACACCATTACCGTCCCGGTGACCGTGCAGGTTGCCTCTGCCGACGGGGGAGCACCAGTCTGCGTCACATCCGCCACTTCCGGTGAGCTTTAAAACTTTCCGGCGGGGAAATTTATTCACGGATTTGTTTAACTCCTCTCGTATTCCTCTCATTCCCGATGTAAGCGCATTGGAGCGAAGCGGAGCACGCGTATTCTACTAGCCAATGCCTTGTTAGGAATTGTCACTTGTTACGAATTGTCGAGTGTTACGAACTGTCGCCTGTTACGAATTGTCGCCCTAACACCGCCAAGATGTGGTTATTCATTTTTAAATTAGCAGATTGGAACAATTTCTTGCGACCTGTTTTTTTTCAAAGTTACTATATGAAGATTTGGTCTGCTAAAAAAACTGCTGATGATAAAGAAATTAATTTTTAGAAATTATATTAGTTGTTGCAATATTTTTCATATGAGTCCATCGTGTGACCTAAATCTCTCCGATAATTTATAAATTAAAGCTCACCCTTCATATTTGCAGTTTTGTTCAATGTTCCTCGGCGTTCAAGCATGCCCATCCGCATGTTTGATTTTTGATGTTTTACCTGTTGCTTGCGTAGTTTAATTGTCTTGAAATTCGCCATTAAGTTATTAGCTTAATTGCAAATTTTTCCATTTTGTATTCATAAAACCTTCAGCGCACTTTTTTGGTTCTTTTTTAAATTTAGTTTGTTTTTCATATATTAATATATCGCATAGTATTTGCAAACAATCGATTGTTACATACATAAACTTGTTACACTTGTTACCACAAAATGATGGTTTAACAGCTGATGGGACAAGCCGTGTTTAACCGTCGAACATGTCTTTAATAGGTATGGATTATCGAATTTCATTTGGAGGTACCGTAAAAGGGAGTTTGTTTAAAAAAATCTAATTGATAAAGTATTATAAGATAATATATAAAATAAAAATGTAGTTATATAAAATAGATTTTGTTCCTAGTGACCACGACCTCCACTTACTCCGCGAGTGTGAATGAGAATGCACCCATGGGCACAGAGGTCATCCAAGTGCATGGGAAGGACTTGAATGACCTTGAGAGTTCAGATGGGATCCCACTCACAGCTACTGACACTTACTCATTCAGAACTGGAGACGCAGAGGCCGATTTCTTCTCCATTGATCCAGCCACTGGTTAGAATGATGCAGCTTTTTTTGGGCGATGAGAATTTTCCGCTACAATTATTGCGCGCATCAAAATTGACAAAATGGGTCAAAAACTCAAACGAGATTTTATTTTTGTTTGAAGTTTTATTTTTTGAATGATTTTGTTTCGCCTTTGTTTTTAATTATAAGAAGTAATTTATTTCATTTAAGAAATATGGGACCTGCTGAACAAATCCTTTGTTTTTTATAACTCTTATTCGTTATCAGCTTTTATGAAAACTTTTACTTTTTCTTTCAAATGTTTGAACACTATCTTCTTATCCTCTAACATATATTTCTGTCATATCGTTACGAGGCCAAATTTTTCCCTGGATACGCACAGCGTTTGGATACGCACAGACTAACAGATTCCAAATTCTAAAAGGAATCCACTTATCAAATTATCGCAGAATCCTAGTTGTGTAAGCGGAATCGACAACAAGCGTAAGCGAATAAAGCCTTTGTAACTGGATTCCAAAAAACGTAAGCCGAACTCACATCGTAGCTTACGAGGCTGAAAACTAAGCTAGAATTATTTCTAGCGTGAACAATTAAGTACAATTCAACTGAATTGTGTGCCCGTTCCCAACGGAGGATGTTTTTAGATAGAAATTTATATAGATTACCCAGCCTAGTTTTCTTGTATTTTCTGTGCAGAAGTGATCTATTTTTTTTTCTAGTTCAGAAAAAAAACAGTTTGTGGAGAGAAATAACCAGAAAACGGTTCACTGCTCAACCGCAACGAGATGAACATGCTTCGAGTATACACAATAACAGTAGCAATAAAATGCAAACTAACATTTGTTATAACAGATGTTATTTTGCTAAAAGCTATTAATCTCCATCAAGGCCTGTAGCCTAGTGGTTAGCACAAACGGCTAGAAAACTGGAGGTTCGAGCCCAAGCAGGAGAATTTTTTTAGCTGGAAATAGCTTAGATTTAGCTAACTTTTGGTCTGAATTAAGATGAGAATTTAAGAAATTTAAGAAAAGCCCTGCTCTATTTAAACATTTTAAAAAGAATTTCTGACCAGAATTTAGTTTAGATACAAAGTATTTCAGGTCAAAAATAAAGACTTTTTGCGGTACGGGTGTTCAAAAGCAAATGCGGAACTGAGAAACATGTCAACGGTATCCAATAACAAGCCTTAATTCATTGTCAAGCTTAAACTATAGATGTAATGCTTTAACTACTAAAGTATGAATTGAATTTCCAGACATTTTTTGAGCTGTTGGAATGAAATTTTATTTCTACAAAGTCAAGAGACCGCATTATTTTGTAGGACTTTAAGCCCGGACATATATGAAAGTAAATGATGATTTTTGTCTGAAATGCTGAAAAACTTATCCTGATTTGGTGCTGATTTGGTGACTTTTATGATGAACGTTCCATGTGACTTACATCTTTTTTTTAACAATCTGCTGATTGTAATCTTCATTGGGGATTTAGTTTATTTTATCCTAACTGCTGGGTTAACGGAGTTAAAATACCAACAATTTCAAATGCAAAAAAAAACATTTCGTTACTTTTTTCTGAATCTCACATTAGATCACAACTTGTATGGTACGGACACAAAAAACTAAAAAAAATTAGAAAAAACTCTATGATAAAATGATTTTTAGTTGAAACATAGAAATAATTGAAATGATACTGTTCTTAATGTCCTGTTATTTGCATAAATAGTTTTTACATATAGTTTTTTTATTCTTTTTTTTGTTTTTTTTTTGCTCTACAAACCTGTCGCTCCACAAACCTGTCAAATGGAAAAAATTTGATACTGGATTCTGCTTTTTATTTCCGGTTCCGCTTACAATATGCGGTTTCGCTTGCAGCAGTTTGCGTTTTTCGGTTACAATTTGGGGAATACGCTTGAACAATTCAGACTCTTTAACAGTGCAAATCGACTGAACACATTTGCTTAACCCGGGTTGGAGTTCAACCGTTAATTATCGCTCTTTCTGTAGTATCCCAGTGATCGCTGTTTTCCAGCGCTGATTTAGAGTTTTTTGTATATCTAAATCTGCGATATTTCAGAGCTATTTCAGTAGTTATTCCGAAGAAATCCATCGCAAAAACTTAAAAAACTTGAACTCATTCTAGTAGCTTTCAAATTAGAGTTTTAGTTGATAAGGCCTTTAACTTGATGTAATCAAGGTTTGATGGCGCAGAGGTAGCATACATGTCTACAAAACTGATCATTACCGGATCGAACCCCGCTGAGACTGTATTTTGGCTCATTTTGATAGGTTTTTTGTCGCTGTTTCAACGCTGAAAATTAGCCAAATTAGCAATAATTTAGCGATAAGATTTGCTAATGAAGCAATGATCATCGATAAGTCATCGATGGTGATCGCTGTGTTTTTCATTTTTTTTTTGCTAACTTTCTATGTGAGCTCAACTCGGGTATAGATTTTGTTATCTGTTTTAAATTCCGCAAAATTTTCGGATTTCTAGAATTTTGCTGCTCTTGGAGTCATAAAATGTTTAACAATAGGTATACGGATTACACTACCACAAAAAAAATCAACTATAATTGCCCTCGTTGCGGTTTTGGCAAAAAAGTGTCCACTTTGTTGCGTAGTCCGCTTACAAATTACAAAAGTTACAGTTTGACCTTGTAATGAAGAGGGAGTCCCTTCGAACAATCATATATTGAACAATTAGGGTAACATTAAGCTAGATTATTTAGCAGTTGTGTTATGAGCTTGACGAATTGTTTAGTTTAAGAACGGAATAATTTAAGAATAAAACTGAAATAGATAATCTCTTGCCTCAAGCAAATCTTTATCTTTTTCGTTGTTCAGTTGAATGTTTTTTGACGAATTAAACGAACGGCTTAATAACACGTCAATAAGTCGGAAATATGTGAAAAACATTTAGAAAAACATCAAGAATAAAGCGCCTTTAGTGCAAACATATTTTTTATAATTCAAACTATGATTATCCTTACTTTGCATGCTAAAAACCAAAATTCAACCCTAACTCTACCTTCATAATCTTTTTGAAAATACATAAAACCCAAAGTTGTTAACGCTAACCCCCACCCTGCCTTAATATAAACCACAAAACGTTAAAAACCATTTATTGTCAAAACTAGCGCTATCATTGAAAACAAATTTCTGATGCCATCATAATGTTCTCCAGGTGTGATGTACGTGGCCGCCCCCATTGACCTTGAGTCAGCAAGTGTGACCTCTCCTCTGGTAGTGGATGTGGTCGTGACAGACGGAGCTGCCAACACTGTCACCTGTGCCGTGTCAGTTGCAGTGGAAGACGTTAACGATCACTGTCCTGTATTTGCACAGAAATCATACCAGTTAGTATTCAGTTTTTTTTGAAGAATTTCTTTTGAAGAAGTTCGCTTTTTCAACAATTTTTTTTTCTAAAAACCTACCACGTACGTTTTTTTAACTATTTAAAAAACTTATGACAAAAGTTCCGTACCTATCACGAATGTTCCGAAACGTTCCGAATAATTTTATTGCGATTAAGGCGATTTATATTGCTATATTAGGACTTCGGTGGACGAGGAGACGACAACTCTGACGCTAGTTGTGTCGGCTTCGGATGCCGACGATTCAGCACCTGCTAACACAGTGACATATGCCATCACTTCCTCAACCGCTAGTAAGGCAACTTATGCACACCAATCTTCGCTTTTTGGTCAGTTTTATCAGCCGCCAGTCAAAAAAAGTTGAATAAGAACTTGAAGTTATTAACAGCTGAAGGATCATCTGAAGTCGATGACAACTAAGGATGATTTTGGATAATTGCTTTAAAGCCTTAAAAGTTTAGGTAGACTCGCGCCAGAATCCGACAAGCAACGATAAATATCAACCAAGTTTCAATCTTATAGAGGCTACTAGTGATTCACTTAAAGGGTCGAATATCTCGTATGTTTTTCTTCGTTCTAAGTATAAACGGGATGACAAATAAAAGAAAAATTTTCGTATCACGCAAATGTTCGTGAACGTGATGAACTTTTTAGACTGTATAAATACTGATTATCAAAATTTTATAAAACATTAGGGCTCTTTTCCAGTTCCCCCCTTTCAAAATACCGAGTTTTATATTTGTTTTACGTGTTATTACGGCTAAATGCGCGATGTTACGCTGTAAAGTATGAAGAACAAATCTGTTCAGAATGGTCGATTTGTTCACCACGCCAAATTTCATTGCATTGTGACAACGTTAAATAGACTTTTCAAAACTGAATTTGAAGGGGGAACTGGAAAAGAGAACTGGATGTAGAAGTTTTTAGGATCAATTTGGGAATAATGCTTAACTTTTGTAAATTCCGTCTGTATCATCAAAAGTCCATATAAAGTTTTTATGATTCGGAAATTCAATCCAGATGAAATTGAAGTTTTTCTCTTTCCAGCATCTGGCCTGTTCACAATCGGGTCTTCCTCGGGGGCGCTGTCAATCACATCTGCACCTAACTTTGACATCCTGCAAGTGCCCTATTACCTGTTGGAGGTCACTGCCTCGGACAACGGTGGGCTGGCCGGGTTCTGCCAATCAACTGTGACAGTTGGCGTCACTGTCAATAATAAAAACGACAATGCGCCAGGTGATTTTTTTTGCTAATTTAAAAAAATACCGATCGAATGCTCTAGATCTACTGTGCCAACCTTTTAAACACAAAAAACTTTGTTTTGTTTGAACATGAGAAAAGCCAAAAACTGCGGTTTTGGAGCACTTTTTGAAGAATATTGACCAAAAATTGCAGTTTTTTTGTCTTTTTATTCGCTTGAAATAATTAATGGTAAAAATGCTTGTATTCCGTTTCTGTAGAAACATATAACGGGTTTCCAGAAAAAAATCATGAATTTTAAAAGTTTTTTTTTGGCCAACGAACTTGATAAAATTTGATCCGAGATTTCCGATGACTGTTTTTGACACACGAGATTGTTGTTTAGTGCTCAACGCTGCTACGTACACTGCGACAGTTGCCGAAAATGCGCCAATTGGAACAGTTATTCTGGACACCATAACAGCCTCAGACATAGACTTGGGCACAGACGGCGAATTCTACTTCGATATCAACCCTGCCAACTCCAAGTTCTCAATTGACCGACTCACTGGTGTTGTACACTTAGCCGAACGGTTAGATGTCGATCCCAATAATCCGACGAGTACGATTACAATAACGGTCGGAGCGTACGACAACGGGACCCCGCAGCTATCCGACACCGCGACACTTACAATAACAGTCGAGGACTCGAACGACAATGCTCCCCTTTGCGTGTCATACGAGCTGTCGGATTCGTTTCTCGAAAGCACAACACTGCCTCATACGACATCTGCGACACTGTCATGCAGTGATACGAAGGACAGCTCGGCGACTTTGACATACGAGATTTTGTCGGTCAATGGAATCGTCTACGAAGAGTTTACGACGCAAAGTTCAACTAATTTCTCGATTTCAGGATCGGACGAGTTAGTCGTGGGTGGCTCCCTTGATTATGAAACCGAAGATAGTTTTATAGTTGCAATTGGAGTTTTGGATACTTTCGCTGGAGACGTTCTAACTGTTACAGTTTCGGCTAAGATAACACTTACAAAGGATTTTGCAACAGAGCCAACATTTCTACTTGCAAGTGGCGCTTACGCTGTTGCGGTCAGCGAGTCGACGGCAGTCGAAACCGAAATTCTTGATTTGCAATCCGCGATGGAACTGGAAGGTTACAAAGTAATATACGTCAAAACATCAACGACAGAATCAAAATTTGCAGTCAATCCTAATAATGGCAAGGTTTTTGTAACCGATTCTCTGGACCGAGAAACTGACGATTCTTATACGCTAAACATCGATTTGATTCTAAACTCAACCCATGCCAGAACCGGAATCACTGGCCGAGCAACTGCTGTTGTCACAATTACTATTACCGATGAAAATGACAACCCTCCGACCTTTAACCCAAAACGATACACTACCAAGATCCCCGAGACGGCATCGGCTGGAACTGTCGTGACTGCTCTGTCAGTTACCGACGCAGACCAAGGTCCAAATAAGGAAATAGCGTCCATGACTATAACGTCCGGGGACCCTTCTGGACTCTTTGCAGTGTCGCAAGATTTCAATATTGAGTTGATCGGGAGTTTGGACTATGATTCGAGCCCCTTGCTCAACTACACGTTAATAGTCGAGGCGACGGATGGTGGTGATTCGGCGCTAATCGGAACGGCGACTGTTTATGTCGAAGTTATTCCAGTGAATGAAGCAGCGCCTCAGTTTTCGATGACGTCATATTCCTTCACGATGAGCGAAGATGAAGAGGTTGGGTATTTCGTTGGAGCGGTCGTGGCTACGGACTCGGATCGTCCCCGCACAACGGACGGAAAGTAAGCCCCGCCAACATATAGGCATTGTTAATTACTGGATTTTTTCCATTTTAATTTGAAAACTGGGAAACACAACTACATAATGCTAATGAAATGCCCGAAAAATCAGCATAGTAACAAGATGAACTTACTGAATTTTTTAATTCTCCGTACCTGACATAACAGCATCAGGAAATTAATCGAAATATTACTTCGAACGCTTTTAGAATAGAGTAAAGTAATCTGAATTGTTATCACCTGGATAATTTTTTGAACCTTGACTTTTAAGGTTTTCTTACGTCATCGTGAGTCCAGCTGGAGGTGCTGGTTTCTGGTTGGACCCTGAGAACGGAACTTTGATTCTGCACCAGACATTGGACTACGAAACACCGACAAGCGAAGTTGTTCTCATTGTTGAGGTAAAAATTTGAGTCAAGTTCAAACGGTTAACATAAACAACTGTTTTCTTGACAAATTAATAAAATCATAGTGATTATTTTGGTTTGGTATGGAAAGTAATGGAAAAAAATGATCCATTTGTCCAGAATAGCAGTTTTCATCAATAAGGGAGTAAGCGTACAAGTATGAAAGATTGTTCCCGCAATTTAAGAAAAATTTCAATGGCAAGTAAACATGATTCCCCTGTTTCCAAAGAGTTTTTAGCGCAAAAAAGTTCTTCAGGGGCCATTTAAGTTTAAGAAATTAATTCTCATAATTGTTCCGGACTAAATTGCATTTTAGGCGCGTGACTTTGGCTACGACGCCGCTTATGTGAGCAGTCCTCTAACAGGCACTGCCAGTGTGACAGTGTCCCTCTCAGATGCAAATGACAACTCCCCCGACTGTGGAACCAACATCCTATTTAAGTTAGTCCCCATAAACTTCCCGCCAATTTGTTTGAAATGCAGACCAAAAATCTTCTCTTGTTCGGTTAATTTCTTTTTGAAGAGTATACGAGCCTAACCAAAGGTTTAACTATGATTCTTGTAAAGCAAAGATCAAATAAATAATCATGCCATTTGAAATCGTTTGAAATCAATAATTTTTATGTAAACCCTTTTTTGTTACTAAAACCACCGTCCAGTAATTCATTAATTCATCTTTGTAACCGCGGGCAATGTCACAAATTTTAAGTCAAATTTCTAAGTCAAAACCTAAAACAAAATCTAAGTCTTCAAATCTATAAAAATTTACCGCATAGTTCAATTTGACTCTATCTGTACTAATTATTGTTTTCAGAACTTCAGTTCAAGAAACGTCAACAGGCCCTGCTTCCGACCTCGACGTCTTCGACCTTGGAATCCTCTGTTCCGACGCAGACATCACCACCGCCTTCCGAACTCTCTCCTACTCCATCGGAAGTTACGACCCTCCAAGCATGACTCAGCTGATGATAACCAATGAGGGCATGGTCTATCTGCCCCAAAACCAGCCAATCAGCTTCGAGCAGCATGAGAATGTGACTCTAAATGTGGTAGTGACGGACAACGGGGGCACTTGTGGGGGAGGGGCGTGTAATCAGTTGAATGTTGAAGTATTCGTCCAGGTTTGTTTCAAATTAACTTTTAAATAGACCCCTTGTTCAGGTGTACAGTCACTTAGTTATTGATCAAACCAACGAAAATTTGGAGGAATTTTAGATTCGAGCGTGGTGTTTTTTTTACCCAACAAATTAGGGTTAGGCAAATACGTTGCTACGGTAAGAAAAGTTTTTTTAAAAAATAAGTCTGATGCGGGATATTCATGTGTATGTATATATGGGGTTGTGTAAAATAACCTGATTTTTACAGATGTGCCTTTTAGATCGTGAATGTGAACCAGTTTGCCCCTGTGCTCACACAGCCCTCCTCCCCCCACACTGTGAGTGAGGGGGACCCAATTGGCACCAACATCGTCCTAGTCAGTGCATCAGACGCAGACAATGGAATTGACGGTGAGATTTTTTCAGGATTTGCCCAAATTATTCTTTTTCAATTTTCATTTCGAATGTGGAGGATTCTCACCTAAAAACAGGAAAATTTTGTTCCAAGGGGATTTGGTCCTATGGGGGATTTAGTCTTGGGGGTTTTATCCAGTTGCATGGATAAAAACCCCCCAGTGGGTTTTTATGTCCTGGGGGGATTTAGTCCATGATTGTAAAAAATTGTGTAAACTTGGAAAAGAAATTTTTCTGTATTTTGAAAGCCGACGACAAAGATTTTTGCACGACTTTTACGAATGATTTTTTTTAAAACAAGCGTTCAAAAATGACATTTAAACCCCCAGACAAGAATTACCGCGAGCAAATTTGGTAACTAATTTTTGTGGGGGACAGCTAACGGTTTCAGATTCAATGCATTTTTGAAATTTGCATACATTTTTGACGGGGGTTATTCTCAAGGGCGAAGGAAGGAATGGGTGAAAAACTCATGGGCGAAGAAAAAAAACTAAAAGAGCTAAAATTCAATTATTACAATGAAACAAATCCCGTTCAATTGAAAGGAATTAATTGCAGCAAAGTTTACTTATGAAATAGTACTTTTCAAAAAATCTAATTCAAAACTCAGAAATTATGTTCTTAACCTTTTGATTAGCGAAGATCTTTTTGTTGAGTTCTGTTAAATTCGATCAAGTTAAAGTTCTCGAGAAAATTTCAGTGACATCCTATTGGCCGATTTCAACCGCATTCTCATCTAGACTCTAGCTTTAACTGAGACCACGAAAAAAAAGTTGCATGTTATTTATTTTGGTGACTGCTTTTGTGAACAGTTCAGGAACGGTGAACTAAAATTTTGAAATTAATTTGTGATGAGCTCGTGACTCGAAAAATTTTTCTCAGTCTGAGAAATTTACTACTAGGTCGCCGGTTCAGAGAAAAGTATTTTTTTTTTCAAAAATTTATTACATATTTTTGCTTAAACCGCCCAACACACTATCCTAGCTGAAGTCGTTTATGGGATGCATTCAGAGTCTAAATAAGTATCTGCCTGCGCTGGCCGAAATGTCCAATTCGTTACGGCGTTCTCAAGCTGAACACTTGATTACAAATGGACAACCAATTGTCAAGCATGGACAACCAATTGAAAAAACTAGTTGCCATTATTGTATTAACTAGACAATTTGATTTTATATAAAGACATCAGAATAGTTTGCGTCAATGTACTTGGACGAGGCGGAAAAGAAACTTTCAAAGAAGGAGCCCGAAATGTAAGCAATCGTGTCTTGGGCAGAATGTTTTCAAATTTATGTCCTATGCCCAAAAGTTCACGTAGTAACGTATCAGAAAGCGTTAGTGTCCTTTTCTAGTGGTAAAAAAATAAAAAGAAATCCATATTTAGGAGACTAGCGCAATGGCTGGATTGCCTAGCCCTACTTGGCTTTCACGTTGAGCATAAACGGGGGGATGAACCGTTAGGCTAGTTATTTATAGCGGAAATCAAATCATAAAGCTGCACAAATTAGCACATATGACAGCATGTTTGCAGTTGCAACAAAATTTTGATATGTACTTCACTTAGTTTTCATATTTTTTGAACGCCCAAAGTGACCAATAGTTGAAACCAATAAGCTGTCAACCATTGAAAATGCAGCATTGAAATCTTTAACGCGAAACACGCCAGTAGAGGGAGTCGTTTCATGTGTGCGGAAACTAACCAATGACAGAACAAATTTTTGCATGTTCCAAAGGTCAGGCAATATTAACGGGAGTTTACTCGGTACTATCACATAATTTGAAGAATAAATTGAAAAACAGTGAAAATGGAAATTCCACAAAATTGAGCAAAGTTTAAGGAGATTGAAAAGATTTATAAAAAAACACCCGAGTTTAAATAGTAGCGGTGACGAAAATAAAGAGACTAGAACTAGCCCATTTTAGAAAGCCATCACAGAAAACAAGGAAAATTGAAGAAATTACCTTTTTCTTGTTACCCTCGGCATTCAAAGGGGAAAATTTTTACCAGGTGAACCCAAACAATGAAGTTATGTTCCAAGAAGTTATAAAAGATTCAGCAAACTTAATTCTTTATCTGAGTTATTCAACTTATCATTCGTCGAACCAAAGTACATCAATGACCCACAGCTTGATGCGATCAGGGAAATGGCAAAACCCAAGGTCGCCAAGCTGCTGAAAAAAGTATACGCGATGAATCGCTTTTATACAAAGATTGTGAACGTTTTTTAAGTCACAGAAAACGTACTCTAGATAGACGAAAAGTCAGTGATCCCTACAAACTTGACTACAGCAGTGAACAACCGAATTCAATTCTAACGTCATGGAAACTAGAACATGATTACCGCTGCAAAAGCTATTTGGTACCAGTTTATTCACCGGTAAATTGCTTTAATTGCTTATGCTTGCACAGCCGCCGGTAAGAAGGGTAGACCATTTTGGCGTTGGCCATCGGCAATAATTTGTGGAAATTATCGATCCGACAAAATTTAAAAAATTTTGAAAACGTTCCTAGCTACAAAAATCTTTTCTTACCAAGAGATAGTTTTATATCACCCGAAGCGAAAGCATTCTGCAACGAAGAAGGCATTGAAATATTATAACTTGCCGATTATCGACCATCGAGAGACAAGGTGCGGCAAGCGCAGCAATGGTAGGTCATAAAACTCGATACTAGCTTTTGCAAAGGAGAAAGAACTTTAAATCTTGGAGAAAATGATGGAAAGAGCCTTCGGAGCGTTATAGTTATCAAATAAAGCAACAATAGAAGCTCCCGGTTTGAAGTGCATCATGGCCGGGAAGCAAACACGGTGTTACACAGTATTACCAAAAAGTCTTCGCTCTAAACTCAGAGATGGTCTCGAGTATTAGAAGCGAATTATGCCTGTCTAGATGAGAAAGCACATGCCGCATCTGGCCGAGACAAACTGGGCAGTGCGCTCCAACCACAAGTACGACATTAGAAAACAAAACTATCCGCGGAAACCTACCGATGAGGAACAGCTGAACAATGGGGCTCAATCGTCTGCTCGAAAACGGGGGAAAAGTGCTGAATTGCTATCTGGGCGCTCAGGCCAAATTTACCAACACACCGGGGACCGAAACCTAAACAGGTACAGATTAGTAACATCTAATCTTAAATCAGAAAAAATGCATATGCTAACAACCAAAAACGGCGCTTTTGTTAGAACATCTAGGGTTGCAGCATCGAAGACGGCTACCAAAAAAAAAACGCCGAGAGGAGTTCCAAAGTCACCTACACCGAAAGACGTTAGAACAAATTGGCAACGCTAGCGGCTAACGAGGAAACACCGGCACAAGAAAAGACAAGGAGTTGAACGGGACGCCGTCAGTGAGTCGAATAGTGACATTGAAAGCGAAAACGTCCCCATTATTACAAAACAAACGATGATAACGAACAGCAGAACCGCAACACTTCCGAATGGACAACCTCGCCAAACCATCTCAGGGACCATTAGCAGCAGCAGCACACAACCCACGGAAAACGCCACGGAGCTGGTGGAAAAACCAACGAGCAAAACGGTTGAGCAAACAATGAAAAACCAAGCGCGGAGCAGGCAAACGAAAAACAGCGAAGCAGGACGAAGAGACGATTGGCACCGAAATTCGAACAACAGCGAAAGAAGCGACACCAGATGCATCACAAATAGCGCTACCTGTGGAAATAAGGAAACGCCTGTGAATACAACAATTGTCCTCGTACAGTGACCAAGGTTCGAGCAGCCAAGATGAAACTGCATCATGTCGGACCGGACAAAAAATGACCGCGTTAACCAAGATGAGCGGAGTCATGATCATCATATATCGAAAAGGGGGCAAACGAGAAATTTAAGGGAGATAAAAACGATAAGCAAAATGCAATTAATACTATTGTGCGCCCAGGGGGAGAGGACTGGCTGGGACCCGCGGCCAAAAACTCATTTGTTTAGTATCGCCATTTAGAGTTATAATTTTACTTTAACAGTGAAAGCGAAGCGCAACCAAAAGTATTCATCAAACAGCTAAATTTTCAAGCTTTTAATTTCAATGCCAACATTTCAGTTTTTTTAAACATTTTCATTTTTTTTTGTTTTAAGAAGAGTTAAGTCAATTTATATACGTTTTGTCAGTTTTTAGCAATCAATCATCTGTACATCTATTGGTGCTCATTGATTGCTATCTATTGGTTCTTATTGAACTCTAAAACACATTTCTTGCTATCCTTTGGAAGATCAAGTTGGTTATACTTTTGGAATTTCACTGTTATCTAAACAAGTTTTTAATACGTTTTTTATTCGTAGTGTGATCAGAGGAGGATATTGAGGAAATTCAAAAACTTATGTTTGTTTGTTTAAAAACTAAAGTTAGGTATTTTGGACAACAGTCTTCTTCGCAAAATAAATTTAAAAAATTTTGTGAAGCACGCGCTAATCGAAAACTATCTTTTCTTAAATAAAAGTAAGTGTTTACGGCTGAACTTCAGCTATAACTAATATACTTTTAACTTTTATGAGTATGCTTGTTTGCTTTATTCACTCAAAATCATACCTAAACAAAAAGAACTGGAAATGACTTTTCTTGACGCTAGAAAACTTTTGAATATGTTTGTAAGTCTTTCGAATCTTATATCACACTACTCGTACTACCGATGATTATTTGAGGTACCTGAATTTTTGTGGAAAAAAAAACAAAACACCCGAAGACAAAATGCCGCCTCATTTTCAGTGGTGGAAACAATAAAAAGTGGGGTTGCGCATTTGAACTTGGTCAACTCAGGGGGATGGTCCAATTTTTTTTTGCTTGAGCCATTTTTAAATCTTTTTCTCTTCGCTCAGGTGAGTTTGAGTTCTTCATCCAGTCTGGCAACACACACGGGGACTTCGAGTTGGGCTACACTGTGAGTGACTCAACAGTCAATGTAACGACTGCACGCACTCTGGACCGAGAAAGAACTGCCAGTTATGGACTGGTCATAATAGCCACAGACAAGGGCACACCTCCGAAAACAGGTAATGATTCAGTTACATTAAAGCAATTTATGCGAAAAGAAAAAAGAATATTTTGTAGGACGTCACCTTCTAGTGAAATTAGAATCTATAAAGGTCAAAAAAACTTCGTTTATCTTTTTTTCATTTTCTAATCTTCTCAATTTTCACTCATAGAAACATTGTTTACTTTGACATATAACAGCGAAAGTCAGTTTAAATAGCTTTTAGACATCGAATTTGATCAAAAATTGAAGGGGGGAACTGGAAGACAGCCATGAAATTAAAAACATCAGTTGTGTGACTCTGTATGTTTAATAGCAGTGGCACCCTGACTTAAGCCATATAAACTCTTATGCATAAACTTTTGTACTGGGATTAATTTCGACGAGCATTATGATCTCACAAGGAAAAACTGACCAAAATATTTTGGAAACTATCCGACAAAACTGCCCGTGTAACTTGTTATTTCCTTGTTAATGTGCGTTTTGCAGGAACAATCACGGTTACCATCAACGTCCAAGATGTCAATGAACCTCCTGTCTGCATCACGAGGAACTATCACGTTACTCTGTACGAAGAGGATTCCTCGCTGACCGGCAATTTCTTGGAACTGCAGTGCTTCGACTCCGACTCCACGACCAGCGGACTGAATTACGCGGCTGTGAGGTATGTCATCAATGAAGAGATTCAGTACCCCGCGGGAACCTCAAAAACAAGTGACTTCACTTTTGAAGTCGACACTGGCTTAGCTTTGAAGAACCGACTTCGAATTCGGACAACGAAACTTCCTCTGGATTACGAAACGGTCACGCATTACACTTTGAAAATGGATGCCTATGACAATCTAGGCGTTAATCCTAGCAACGTGGTCAATATTTCGGTTTTCATAACTGTACACAATATAAACGACAACCTGCCTGTTTTCGACCCGATTACAAACTGTTCCATTTCCGAGAACCACGCAGTAGGTTTGCTGTCACCGGCTTGTGCGATTACAGCTCAGGACGCAGACCGGGCTCCATACTCGTCTGTAACTTACAGAATAACAGACGACTCGAGTTCGGGTAAGTTTGCGATCAACTCGACTACTGGGGATATTTATCTGAAAGAAGCTATTGACACCGATTTGTATACACTGTCGGTTTCTGGCGACATAGTTTTCGCATTGACAGTCGAAGCGTGTGACTGCGACTCGAACTCGACGACTCGTCATTGTATTTCGGATGTGATTTACATTTCGGTGTCGGACGTTGTGGATTCGGATCCCGAGTGCTACCCGAAGTACTACGAGATCACACTTGATGATGGCGACGTGTCGTTTTTCACTACTGACGGGACGTTTTATTTCCAGCAGACGATAGCTTGTTCTGATACCGATTTTGGGGATACTTTAACTTATGCAGAAACAGTGTCAACAGGAAATGCAGCTGATTGGAACATGACAGGTAATTGTAGTTTATCGCTGAAATTAATTTTTTAGTGTAACTAATTCATATCTTCATATCTACTGGAGAAGCGTGGAAATAAGACTACAAGCAAATAAAAAGATACTAATGAAGCGGATTTTAGACGATTTTGCAAAACAAAAATTATACGAATTTAGAAAAAAATTAAGCTTTTATCGGGTGTGAAAATTGTTAACAAAGTACGGTGAAGCCCCATTTGTACCAAAAAGTACCGAAATTATTCAACTCGATTTCTTTTTGGTCGAATTGTGGGCCAACGAATTATTGTTCCGACTTTCGATACGAAAGTAACGGAATATTTGTGCTCGGGGTGGGTTTTTTTTTTCTTCAGACAAATTTCGACTTTTTAACTAGCCATTTTTGACGGAATTTTTTTATATCATTCAAAAGGTATTGTTGTCCTGAGCTCAAATTTGAAACGATTTTTCAGCTTTGATCATTTTTCGCAAAGTTATGGGGGTTTAAAGATTGCCATTTTGGTCAATTTGGGACAATTAACGCGCGATATATTTCGCGCTATAAACGCGTAAGCGGAGAGTTAATCCGTCTTAAAATCGTTCGAAATTGGTTAAAAGAAGCTTATTTGCCATAATTGATTGGTTACAAGGAGCTAAATCTATCTTTTTGTACTTTAAATGGCGTGTGGGGGGATGATTTTCATAAAAAGTTTCAAATTTAAAAAAAAAAATTTGAAATTTTATTACATTTAATTTTTTAACGTTATTACTGCTCCATAAAACCTTAAAAGGCAGTCGGAACATTCAGGGCTTCGCCCTGATACGAGCAGTCTTGTTACATTAGTTTTCTACTGTTCAAACAGAAGAAAACTAAACAGCAAAATAGTGACCGCCACAGTGCGCGCCAACATGTTGCTAGCTTGCGAACAGAGGGTAGGACTCTTTACAAAAATTTGAGCCGGTTTTTGCCGCGAAGCGGTGACGCGCGCGTAGCACGCCCACTGGCGACCTTAAACCAAAAGCAAAAAACAATCGGCTCAATAGTATTTGGTCAATTGAATTTTTTTGGTACTAACGCGATTGACTCTTTATTTTGGTACAAATGGGACTGATTCATAATTTGGTACTTGTGAATATCCACCCAAAGTACAATTAGCTCGCGATTTGTGTTTTTATAAAAGCAATCAAGTTACTGCAAGATACAGATGTATATTTTATGCATACAGCTGTATAATTTATGCATATGTTTTACTTTTTGGATTCAATATTTTATTCTTTTTGTAACATTTTTTGGTCTGTTTTGAGATGTCTTTTTGTTCCCACTTTCGAAGAAAATGAGTATAATATATGCTAAGGGTGTTTTTGTACAATCAGACCAATTTTACAAGGAAACAAAAAAATTGAGAATCGTGTCTATCGAACCGGAAACTGATGATTGCCGTGCGAGTGTGCTTGCCACTAGCCTAAATGCTGTTGTAAATATTCGAGTCCAATTAAGAGACAGTCGGTCATTTAGGGCTTTGCCTTGATATACGAGAACTTTCTTTTGTTTTGTTATACTGCCACTTTATCAAAATCAAAAATGACAGTATGATAATGAAATGTTGTCGCCTATTTTTTGTTTTCGTGATATCCTCTAATTAATTTGTCTCAATTCCTAGCCATCGTTACCTGGGTCCTAGTCTGACTTATATTTTTTAAATACTAATCTTCTTATATTTTTAAATAGCCTCTAGAAACTGGTTTGCGTATGTCAAAAAAATTAACATGAACGCAGCATGTTTATTTTTAAGCAAATAAGCTCCATGGAAAATTTTGTTTTGGTTTTTATGCCAAAAGGTGGTTTAAAAATTACTCTGAAAATTTCATACGTGTGCGGAACCTTCAAACAAATACTAGTGACGTAGTTTTTTTCTGCGTATAAAATGTGCCGCATAATCCGCATCGAAGGAAAAAATCAGAGAAGGAGCGACAGGATGCAGAAAAAACCGCCAAAGCTGCACGGGGCTGTTTTCGTGATAGAAACTAAATGAAAGAACTTTTTAAACCCGTCGGAATTTAGAAAACGGAAAAGAATAACAGAACGTGAATGATTACAATTTCCTAGTGGTATGACGGTCGACCCCTTTGCCTGACGATTTCTTTTACCGTTAGCGTTTCGGCTCTGGTAAGCTCGCAACAAGTATCAGTCCGAGTGCATTGATTTTGTTTTTGGTCAATATTGAATTCAAGGCCCGGAACTTCTTGCCTTCTCTGAGATATTGGCAATTTTTCTTTAGATTTTTGAATATTCATTTCTAATTCTCACTACGTTTTAGCCTTGGTCTCTGATTTTATTTCTATAATGGAATCCAAAGGAAAAAGCCTGGTTGCTGATTCCACGGCAGTGTTTTGTCGAGCCTTGTTTGTGAAATTCGCTTTCAGTTCGAAAATAGTGTAAAGCGTTGTTCCCGATTGAAATTAAAAAAAAAACGATGAAAATTATAAAAGCATAGCCGGTTGCTGTGCTAATAGCACAAAATGTTCCAACTATAGTCTTAAAAAACAATAAGAATATTTTTTAAAATTGTTCAAATCACGACTGAAAGGGCTTAACCATGATCTATCACTCGACCCGTTCCGATAATTATTTGTGTTACCTGAATTTGCGTGGAAAACAAAAAAATGTGAAACACACCCGAATACAAATTTCCGCCCCATTTTTCAAAAGGTCGGGGCAATATTTTTTTTTGAGTCAATCTTTAACTTTATCAGTTTTAAACGCTTTGGTATTCATAAACAATTTTTAGGCAACAAACTGAGTCTTCTCAATGTGCCCGACTTCGACGTCGGCTCTCAGGAGTACGAGATCGAAATAGTCGTTTCCGACTCGACTTCCGTCACCGCTACTGTCTCGGTGTTCGTTCACGTCAACCCCGTGAACGAATTCGACCCCACTCTAGCAGCTGCCTCGCCCACCTCGTGTACTGTGAGTGAGTGTGGATCTGTGCCGACGACATGTATGACCATGTCTTTCGAGGACTCGGACAACAGTGCACATATCCACGGACAAGTAAGATAGATTTTGAAACCAGCAGCGGTTTTTGAGGTTTTAGTACAAAATCTTTACCATCTTTTATGGCACTTGACGAACTTTTTGTTTTATGTTTTGCTAATAAAACAAAAAATTTAAAAAAATTTGGATTGAATACCCAATTAGATAATGTTTTTTTGTTTTAGTGGACATATACTCCATTTTGATGTTTTTTAGGTGTCTGCTTCAATCACAAGACTTTTTTTCAAGTATCTTCTGGCAATGTTTTTTATTATCGAACTAATCCTCAGCTTGGTATATTTTTAGGTATCTGCTTCAATAACAAGTGGCAACAGTGACAGCATCTTCCAGTTGAACTATGATTGGACGACAAACACGGCAGTATTGAGACAGAATGGACCAGTGGATAGGGAGACGGACTCTTTTTACAACATGACAGTTCTCATCCAAGACAGTGACTCATACTTTAATGACTCCAAGTCCACTGTGGAATACATACAGGTTAACAGATTAGTTTGAAACAATTGACCCTCAAAGCTGTGAAGTTCATCAGTAGCCAAAATGTTTTAAATTTAAATTCAAGCAACACAAATTTTTTTGACCACCCGGGTTGACCTCCATACACCGAAAAATGCTTATCATACAATTCCATACATCAAGTGTGTGGGAAAATGCTTGTCATAAAATTTTCATACAATTTCTAAAAATGGTTGAAAACTGGTATAAACTCATTTCTGTGGCTGTTTGATTCTAATAAAACAATCTGGTGATAAAAAACTGAGGTTTTTGTTTTTTGAAAAAAATGCTTATCATACAATTCCCATATATGGAAATTGTATGACTGGCATTTTTTTGGTGGCGACACAAAAAATTTTTTCAAGTAATTTTGAAAATTTAGCCCAAAAATTTTTTTTGTTTTTTTTTCAACCGCAAATCGATTTTCGTACGCAAACAAACAATTTTCGAAAAAAAAAATTTGCATGCAAAATTTAATATTTTGTGTGCATAACGTAGTCCTGGATACGATAAAATTGGCTTTTATTTTTTTTCACTTAATTTTTTTTTCAAAAACGCTGAAAACTCCTCTTTCTTTTGTATAATAAAAATTTAATATGCAAAATTTAATATTTTGTGTGCATAACGTAGTCCTGGATACGATAAAATTGGCTTTTATTTTTTTTCACTTAATTTTTTTTTCAAAAACGCTGAAAACTCCTCTTTCTTTTGTATAAATAACTAAGACATTTTTTGTTTACAGGTGTATGTGACGGGCTGTAATGATAACTACCCAATATTCAATCCACAAGTATACGCTGTAGAGGTAAGTCAATTCATTTTTTCTGGACATTTTATTCTAAAAGGGAAATTTCCGACATGCGATGATTCATTTAAGATATTGATAGACAACCGCTGTTCAATTCATGGCCCAAGTGCAATTGTTTTTGGTTACTATTGATCCTATCAATTACAACATAGCTGATGGCTCCCTAGAAAAAAACACAAGCTTAACGATTCGCCGGCGCCAATATTGAGGAGGAATCGAGCGCCAAAAAACGCAATTTTTGTCCAAAACTTATCAAAAAGGGCCTAAACACGTTTTTTTTTTGCCTGTTTCTTCAAAAATTTGCCTGAGGCGCAGGAAAATTAGTCATAATAAGGTCTTTATAATGATTTGGGAGCAAGGTAAGGGTTTCGGTGTAGTTTAGTAAGGGTTTCGGAATATTTTCAAGATCGTTTTTTTTTTTAAATTTTTTGGTGAATGTTTGTTTTCTTTCGAGATAATTAAAAATGTGGTCGAATATTCTCAGACAAAGAGTGCCTTATGGAAAATGCAGCATTTGCATAAGATTTCAACTTGTAGAGGCTGTATAAAACACCATATTCCTTGCGAAAACTTTCACTTGAAAATCCCAATTTGTTTTATGTTCGAGCATATGACATTACTTTTCACGACGACATTAGTATGACATTTTCTCGATTTGTTCTCCAAATTGGTGTCATCCTTTTTTGAGAGCATTCTTATTATGCCAATCTGATGAGCATATCCAGCTTGATGAGCATAATTATACTCTTCTGGAAGACCGCCGGCCAGTATTAATTGATTCAACTCTATTTCCGAGAACTCAGACAAACTTTAAAAAGAAAGTTGACAGCGCGAGGATCGATCCTTGGATCTTAGGGTTACCAAACGGGTGTTTTTGTTATTAAAATAGACGAATAAACTGCAACTCCAAACTTGTGTTCAGGTGGCCGACACTATTCTCGACTCACAGGTGATAGTGACAGTCTCTGCCTCAGATGCAGATGTCGGGGGAGTGGGTGACACGATCACTTACAGCTATGACTCATCCGATACCCCCACAAACTCACACTTCACCTCTCTGTTTGAACTCACCAACTCCAACACCGAAATATCTCTTCAGGCTGGACAGACACTAACTGCTGGTAAGATATAAAGAAATGAAAAAGTTATAACAGAAAAAAAACGAATTAAAAAGTGCAAATGACCTATTTCAGACAGCTTTTGCATGCAAATGCTATTTTTCAGACCAAAAAAAAACACGTCTCAAGGTAATCTAAAATTTAAAATTTGCATGCAAAAATTGCTCTCAAAATTGGCAGAAGCCAAAAGCCGTCAGTTCCTGAAATGACTGCTTTTCGGGCGGAAATGACTAAGTTTTTTGGGCAGTACCAATCTAGTTGTCTCTTGCCGGATAGCTTTGAGCAAATAGCGCCACAATCGTTTTCTCTTGTTTAGTTCAGTAGCTGTTCAGTGATGTTGTTGAAAATAATAAAGTGGTTCCTTCGAACCGCAGAGGAGCTATCAGTAGGCCTTAACAGTCCTGTCGAGGATAGTCCATTTGTATTATCTCCCCACATTCCAGACAGTGTTCTTTTGTTGAGCGAAGCTCTTTTTTTGCGACTCAAGGCCGTTTTATTGCGCCTAGAACTTCCACGTGGTACCATCCATCATTGCAGCCGTTGTTCGAGGACACTGATAATTTGACATTGACTAAACGCTGGTATATAAACAACCCAAAATATAAACTAGTTGTCATACAAACCAGCCGCAAATACGAAACTGTTAGACTAGAGTTTTGAAACAGTTATACAGCAGTTACGAACTTCATGCGAGTTTTCTTCAAATTGGTTCAAAATGACGTAACTTTGTGCTGGTTTATATGCTCTGCGCATTTTGGGCTGGTTTATTCACCCTTGATTATATCAGACTCAAATTGCCAGCTCATTAGAGACTGATAAATCATTTTGACTCATAGGCCAATATTATTGCTGACCTAAAAAGAAGTATTTTGAAGGTCAAACGTTTTTGATAATATGTAAAGATAAAATGTTAAAATCAAAAGTTAGCAGGTAATTTTAGTGGAATCAGAGTGAATTTGTTGAAACTTAAAATGAGGAATGTTAAAACTAAATGCAAAAAAATCTAAACAAAAACGATTCAAATAAACAAATAATTTTTCAACGAAATGAGAAAAAACTATAACACAAAAAGCTGATTTTCACGCAGCTTGAGGCTTCACAAAAAAAACTTAATTAAGATTGTCAATTATTGTTCCGACTTTCGATACGAAAGTAACGGAATATTTGTGCTCGGGGTGGGTTTTTTTTTTCTTCAGACAAATTTCGACTTTTTAACTAGCCATTTTTGACGGAATTTTTTTATATCATTCGAAAGGTATTGTTGCCCTGAGCTCAAATTTGAAAAGACATTTCACCTGTGATCTCTTTTTGTAAAGTTATGGGGGTTTAAAGGTTGCCATTTTGGCCAATTTGGGACAATTAACGCGCGATATATTTCGCGCTATTAACGCGTAAGCGAGATTTAATCCGTCTTAGAAATCGTTCCAAATTGGTTAAAAGAAGCTTGTTTGGCATAATTGGTTTGTTACAAGGAGCGAAAATTATCCTTTTGTACTTGATATGGCGTGTGGGGAGATGATTTTCATAAAAAATTTTAAATTTTAGAAATTTTTTTTTTTCATTTTGTTTTATTTCATTGAATTTTCTAATGTTATTACTGCTCCTTAAACCTTAAAGGGCAGTCGGAACATTCAGGGCTTCGCCCTTATACGAACAGTCTTGTTTTATTTAGTTGTATTTCAAATTGAGATTATGAAAGAATTTCTTATAGAGAATTTATTTGTTTTTAAAAAGTAATTTGCTGGTAAGATCAAAATTAGTATTAATTTCAGCTTTTTGGTGAATTTTTTCAGTGCTAAAAATTTGTATGTTTTTTGTCACTGTAGACTATGAATTATTCCAACTATGGTTCATTTTCTTTCACCTAGCCTCCTTGAAAAGTTTTTTTTTTCTGTTTTTTTTTGTTGGTTTCAAATTACAATGATTCATAAATTACTTAATCTTTTGTACACAATATTTGACAGTTCATAGTTATCACAAATGTAACTAGTCATAGTAAGTGCGTTTGGCCTGGGCTATGTTGGACTGTTTTGCCATGTGGTAGTAGTCGCAGCAGTAGCATTCGCTCTCTTGGCATTTTCTAGCCTGTCTTCCGAACTTCATACACATTGGGCACATCAGTTTGCACTCTCTACGCGTGGTCGACTCAAAGTTCTGAAATAAGCAAAGTTCAAGTTCAAAGTCAATTTTCTATTTTATTTTTGTTTTTATTATTATTTTTTGTTATTTCTATATTTTTGTTTTTTTATTACATTTAAAAAGGAACAGTAAACACGTTGTTAATTTTATTATACAACCAGCCATTGTGATGATTGAAATAAACAAAAAAACATCAATTAGTTTTGAGATATTTCAAGTATATTTTTCACCAATTTTTGGTAAAATATTAAGTTGATGTCGCATCAACCTAAAAGTTGATATCGCAAAAACTGATATCTTAAATTAACAGCTTTAAACGTCGGTGCGGTTTACCCAAGACCAGTAGTTGATTTAGGGGTGGGATCGAAGGGGGCGGGGAGGGGGGGGGAGAGAATGAACGGCGAGCTAAGGTCACTTTTATAAAAAGTGAGCCAAAAACCAGAAGCCACTCTCTTATTTGCGAGAACTTTAGATTCACCGCGCTGCAAAAATCTGAATTTGTATATATTTTGGACCTGTTTAACTATTTCCTAGTTCCCAGCCATGGGTTCTCAGTATATAAAATTAATCCCTAAGGAAAGCCAAATTCAATTGTTAAGCATAAGCGAGCATTTACCTATTTTCCTTTCTCAAGAGGAGGGGGGGGGGGGGGGGTGTTAAGAGATACGTATTTTAATTATTTTGCTCACATTTGTAACCTGAAAATGACATTTGACTCCGGCTAGTTTATCTGGTGTTTGCCGTGAAACTTCTTTAGAGGCCATAGATGCGGGATGCATTCTCGCCCATGACCAATGAGCCATCCTTGGAGCATGCTCGGAGTTTACCTCGCCGTCACTCGTTTTTCCATCTTGTTTATCTTCCGAAAACTTATTTTCTAACTCGTGGTTTTTGACTGGTTTGTTTTTGTTCTGACTATGCGATTTGTGCTTGGCGAAAGAACCCACAATAAGCAAACAAAGCGTAACAAGAATAACAGATGGGGTTAATAAAGGTTTCATGGCAAAAAAAAAATAAAATATAAAAAAAATTGAGAGAACAATTTAGGCTGTTTTTTTTTGCAGAAAATGAATAATTTGTTCTGTAATTGATTTTTTTTTGTTTCTATTTATTTGTAACTCAATTCGGTTAACCGTTCAGTTATTATTCGGTTTTATAAATCAGTTATAAATCAAAATCGGGCTTTGTTGTTAAAAACTTCGAACTATTCTGAATAAATATACCGAAATGTGAAAAATGAATTTGTTAAACTGGTTGAACTTTATATTACGCTGTCGAAGTTGAAGCTAAACTTTGGTAACATTCGCTTGCAAAAGTTCAGTAAACATTAATTGTTTTCTGGACTTTTCCGTAATAAAATGTCCTTCAAATGTTATTTTGCGGACATTGCATAGAAGGTGTAAATTCGTATACTAAAACAGCAATGCCCAAATGAACGTATTTAAGTCATTTGAGCCTAAAAGTCACAAGTTGGTAAAAAATGAGTTTCTGAAACTGTGTTGAGGTAAGACATTATTTTTTTAGAAATCTAAACGGATGAGCATTGGAACTCAACAAAACAGCTTAAATAAACATTAACCTTTGTTTTCAACAGTTTTAATGTAAAACGCCAAAAATTTTTCTGCTTAGAAATTTTAGCGGCTTTTAAGAGCCATGTTGTCTTTAGGGAGTTGGAAAGGGAGTTGAAAAGAATAAAAACTTGTCAATTTTTGCCAAAATTTCATCTTAGGTTTTTCTTAACAAACTTAGAGTTTTTCGAAGTTTTCCTAATGCGCTCTTCAAATTGTGAGGAAATGAAGTATGAGAATGACCGGTACAAAAACATCAGAACCAAATTTGTTAGTTTTCAGGTTGAAAGCAAAATGTACCAAATGGCTCCGATTTCATTTGGTATTATGAACTATGCAGTGTTATTGTTCGAATCGCGTCACTGAAAGTAGCAGGAAGGAGCTACGGACAAGCCTGTATTTTCCCTATTCCAATTGGATAAACTCCAAAAAAGCTCGTAAGAAGTCAGGTGTGATACCATTGTAGAAATCTTACAGCCATTTTCCGGAAATCGATTCAAAAATTTTGCAAAAAATTGTCTCAATAGTGAAAGAAACTGGCCTGAATTTTCCCATTTTTCAGACCGAATGATGAATTAATTGAAAAAAGAACACTAAACCGTTAGTTCAATTATTATGCATTTATACATTAAATTAGCAATTTTGACCTCATTTTTTGCTTCTAAGCCAATTTAATTGCCCATTAACATAACAAAAATTTCGGCAAAATCATGAAATTTTCAAAATTTTTAAACTGTACTTCAGTTTTCTTGAAACTGTTTTCTAAATTTGTAATTTTGAAATTGTGATTGGAACAGTTGGCTAGTTGCAAAACAGCCTGTTATCTTTTTTATTATATTTATTTTTGCTACTTTTTAGCAGACAAATTTTATTCTTTGTTTAAAATGCTATATGTCTTCCGCTGATTTTTATCGAAATCTGTTTAGTCCTTTACATTGCTGTCGGTTTGTTTTCAATCCAAAAGCGACTTTTGTCAAATGGCCTCGACAGCATTTAGTGAGATGCTCGCTATAGTTTGACCATAAGCCCTCAATTCATTTTTAATGTATTCTCATAAAAGTAATTTAGCGCTTTTGGTCTCTAGCTGTTTTTTAACACTCAGGAACGTAGTAAGTACTCTCATATAAAACTTGGCGACTTCTTTTCAGGAATATATATTTTTTCAACTTATTCATGTTAAATTTATTTTCATTTTTCGCGGTTTGACTTTTGCTTCATTTTTCAGTTCACTTCAGTTCCTTTGTTAACAGGAAAGCAAACACCACTATCGAACAGCAAAAAAATAAAGGTCACAAAAACTTAATCAACTTCTAATTTCAAAAAGTGAAATTAATTATCAGATTTCCCAGATAACCAAAAATTTATCTATTGATCTAGTTTTCTCAAATTGGGTTTATTTTATCACAAAAGTGCCAATCATAATTTGTTCTACGAATTCAAAGAGCTTTAAGTCCATCTATATTTTTATTGGAAATTCGAAAGCTGAACTTCTTTTGCTAACAGGAAGGCAAATACCACTATCGAACAGCAAAAATATAAAGGTCACAAAAGGGTAATCAACTTCTAAGTTCGAAAAGGGAAATTAATTATCAGATTTCCCAGATCAATAAAAATTTTACCTATTGATCTAGTTTTTTCAAATTGGGTTTATTTCATCATACAAGTGTCAATCATAATTTATTCTACAAATTTAAAGAGCTTTAAATCCATCTATTTTTTTCTTCAAATTTCAAAAACTGAAGTTTAAAAAAAAACAAGTCCGTTTTTTTTCTGTTTCCTTGCATTCACTACTTTTTTCCAACTGTCAGCTGGTTCTGTTTTTTTTTATTCAATTGTCCATTTTGAAAAAAAAACAATCGTCAAGTTGGCATTTTTAGAAATTTTTTTTCAATTTTTTTGAAACTGTTTTCTAATTTTTTGATTTTTAAAATTTCCCTTGTTGTGATTGAAATATTTTGAGCGTTTGGCACACTGACCGGCTATCCATGTTAACTGAAATATAATAGGTAAACTTTAAATTTCAAAGAAATTATAAATGCCCTTTGATTGTTTCAGTGTCCAATTCTCAAGTTTTTCTCGGGGAGGAGCAAAGCGAGATTTTTTGGTTTCGGGAACTTTTCACTTTTTTTTTGCTTTTGGACTAAAAATTGAAGGCGCTGGCTACTCAAAACGTCCATCCTATGTTACTACTTTTTCACATTTTTATTTGGGTTCATAAATTGAAGCCACTTTTTTGGCCAATAAACCAAAAATTGAAGTTTTTTGCTCAAAGCTTGCCAAAAAGGTCAAAAAATGGCTTTTTTGCATGTTTTTTTTTTAATAAGTGGCCCCTAAACTTTAAGTTTTTTGGGGGACCTGGAAGAATGAATTGGCTGACTGAATACGGTCTACAATTTTTTCATAATTTATACCGAAGATTTACTCTGGGTTATACGCTGAGATATCCGCCTGATCGTTTGTGCTTAATTATTGTTTCAACAGGATGCGCATGAAAATCGTTTTGTATTTTTATAACTATGAAACTTTAATTTTTTTAACACAAAATTAGGTTTGCATTGGTTGTAAATTGTTTATTCGCCATGATAAGTTCAATTGCATTAAGACTAAGTTAAATTAGTTTTTGAAGGACTATGTTTTTTTGCAGCTGTATTTCCTTTAGTTTTCTGGCAAATGATACTTCTTGAGTTTGCCAAAAGTATTGCTGAGTTTTTATTATCGATTTTTGTAGCACGTGTGAGACATGAATGTTATGTCAAGATAATTTAAAGTTGCCTCAATCAAAACTCTTTATAAACTTGGACTTCAGTACTCTGTCTAAAATTAAGTTAACATCGCCAGACCGCATGATTTAATATCCGCAATATTAAAAAACAATTTTTTGAAATTGTAAGCAGTCGAACGCAAAAGTTTCTATTTCTTTTTGTATATTATGAAATTTTAATTTAAGACGTAGTTTGTAAAACGACCTAATTTTTAGGAGACTTTTACGTGCTGAAGATGCTAGCAACAGACAACGGCTCCCCACCTAAAGAGACACACGCCTCGGTTTCTATTCACGTGTCGGATGCATCGAACTCGGCTCCAACTCTAGCAGCCCCGTCGACCTTCGCAATCAACGAGACAGACGTGGTCGGCACTCTCGTCGGTTCATACCCGGCGACTGATGCCGACTCGGATCAGATCCATTATTCTATTTTGAGTGTGACTTATACCCCCGCGGCGAAAGTCCCTCCGGTTCAGCCGGTGTTCTGGATACATCCAACGTCAGGTCAGTTCTAAATTGATACAATTGATGTTTCTGCGATATGCAGAGGATCTATGCAAGGCTATCAGGATCAGGCCTGTCTCAGCATAGTTAGTTTGTATTATTTCCTCACATTCTAGACTGAGTTAATTTGCTTGGCGAAGCTCTTTTTTTTTGCGCCTCAAGGCTGTTTTTTGCGTCTAGAACGTTCACGTGGTACCACTATTGCAGCCAAAATCGGTCAGGCTGTGGTAGACCTCAATCTAGAGGTCAAGTGAGAGCTCAACCTCACACACTACCATTGCCTTGGTAGGGGATCGAACACATTGAGAACAATGTGTTCAAACTCATTTGTGTTCAAAATTAGGAGCAATTTCTAAGTTTCGAAGTGTGCGCACTTTCAACTTGATTAGAGGTTTTATGGATAATTGAATTTGGTAGAGTTTTACTTCTTTTAAAAACTAAAATTTGAAGAAAAAAAAGTGAGAAAAGTTAAGCTTTCGTTATTTTATTACTTCTTTGACCTTGACAGGGGAAGTTTTTGCTCATTTTAGGGGACATCTACACAGCTGCGCCTCTGGACTACGAATGGAACACTCAGTTTGTAATCATGGTCGAGGCTATGGACGCCTTCAATGTCACGGGTTGGTGATTTTGTGACCGTCTCTATCAGATATTTTGAGTTCAAGACAAGATATCACGTTTTATTGGTGCCTCGCACCAGAGTTCCATGTGTAATAGATGATTTTTTTTCCGCTTCAAGTAAATAAATTTCATTGAAATTAATAAAACATTAAATCGAAACAGTATAGTACACAATTCTCGTTTTTTGTTTCAAAGTTCTCGTTTTTAGTTCATAATTCTTGTTTTATATTTCAAAATTTTAGTTTTTAATTCATAATACTTGTTTTTTTTTCCAGTGTCCAACAGTGTGACAGTGAATGTGTTGGACATTAATGACAATGTGGTTAACTGCACGAGGGGAAGCAAGAATGCAGTCATCCAGATCCCATGGTCGGAACTTTCTGCTGTCGGCTCAACTTACGATCTTAACACCCAGGTTTGCTTCAAGTCTCATTTTTCAAAATTATTTTAGTCGGGGGGAGGGGAGGGCTATTCTCATAACAGAAGAACCAAACACGATGATGCTATCAAACAATTAAAGTCTTTTCAACAAGGCAAAACTGACTTCGTTTTCACGTTGATCTCCAATACTGTGAGAAATAGCTCGTGCTCTGATCAAGACCTTTTTGTTTAACCTTGAAATATTCGATTTGCCGGCTTAAAACTTTGCTTCAGACTTTAGTCTCAGAATATCAGGTTTTTTGGTTTACCCAAATTGTGTTTTTTTATTTAGTGTTCGCGTGAGTTTTCCCGTGACTATATTTTTCGTAGAAGCTTTTTTTTGGCTTAATCCAGTTTAGATGAAAATAATTATTAGAATAATTAATTGTTATTTGTCTTTTTTCTTCTTCTTTTTTTCTAGGTGGAAGACATTGATGACCCCAGTGCGACATTTGTGTTCACCACTCTAGCAGGAACAGACGACTATGACGCCCTCAATCCAGACTTCGAAATGAGCTCCGCAGGTATATTGCATTTTACGCAGATATTCATGGTGCGAGAAGATAGAATTCAGAATTTTAGTCCACTGCTTTTGATTTTCTGAGCACTAACGAAGAAAATGAAAAACACAATTTTAGAGAAATTTGAAATCCGAACATAATTTTCGAAGAAAACTAGGATATTTTCTAACAACCTCTCCCTCCTCTGTTTAGCTAATTTACCGTTTTTATTTACAGGGGTGGTTGTTCTGTATTAGATACCAAAGGGGGGGGGGGGTTTAAAAGATCCTAATGTCTTTGTATAAACGTTTTAATACATCGGGGTTAAAATTTAGTTCAATTTCAAAATCGATACAAATTTTTTTCAACTGAGTTTGAGATCAGAATTTTTTAAAATCCTGTTAAAGGTGAATTGAGAAGGTGATCGGGGATGTCTCCCCTCAGTAATTATGGAAATTGAGGAAATTGAAGTCGGATTTTATAGTACAGATAAAATATTCTGTCCTCAATTTCCGTAATTACTGAGGGAGAGGCATCTTCTCTCGCGTAGTACATCCACCTTTAACAGGATGAATAAATTCTGACCTCAAACTCAGTTGAAAAAGTGTTGAATAGATTTTGAAATCGAACTTAAACTGCTAAAGGTGGATTTAGGAGATGGAAAAGGATGCACCCCCTTCAGTAATTACCTCCCCCCCCCACAATCAAAGGTTTAAAGATCCCCCTCTGATACTACGTTACAGCATCCCTTTTCGGACGACCAACACTATTTTTTAAACGGCTTCACTCCAGCTTTATTTATAGGATCATTAAAAAGTAAATTGTTAAAGTGAATGTTAAGACAATTTATCCTTACCGGAAAGATCCAAAGTTGTATTTGTTCAGCTCTTCACAGAGAGCAGCTGTTGCGCCCATGGTTAAGATATCCATGCAGTTTTTTTCGCTATTTTTCTTGACTGGTCAATGTTGCCCCACCATCCAGCAACGAACACGGATCATGGTGGGTCTCGAACATCGGACCTTTCGATTGAGAGTCGGAGAGACGCCACCACTTCAACACCGCTCTCGCAATTTCTGATTTGCCAATCATTAAAATGGATTTGTCTGGTTGCAGGTGTGATTTCGACACTTCACACTCTTGACTTCGAGAGACAGAGCAAATATGTGTGGACAGTTGAGATCACAGATGGAGACACTAACCCAAGTGAACTGACTACCACTTGTGTCGTCCAGATAGACTTGATAGACGAGAACGAATTCGGACCGCACTTCGAGCCGGAGATTATGTTCGTCTCGGTCAGTACAAGTCATGCTCAACTCAATTGCATAAAAAAACATCTAATTTGTCAGTTAGTATAGTCATTTACATAGAAAAAAGACAACTTAGTAAGTAAGAAAGTAATAATCATTGACATATTGGTTATGATTTAAAAAAAGTATAATGCAAAATAGGGGTCTTTTCTTGTGGCCGAAAAAGCCAAAATTGCCACCCTTTAAGCTATGCTCAAAACTGATTGATTGTCAGACTTATTTATTTTTGAATACTGCAATTTTTGAATACTAATGCTTATTTGCAAACAAAACGTCGATATTTGGCCTTTCGACTAGCTGTTTTGGAATTTAGGAATCCCCCCAAAATATTGTAGCTAATGGGCAGGGGTTTAGCATACCTTGTAAGTATAAAGTAGCGGATTCACGAGAACTGAATTGCTTAAAGTTTCTTTAAATATGCATATTGACTCGACCCAAGTTAAATTCTTTCAGAAGACGCCAATGTTCACTAATGCCGGGGGGGGGGGGGTGCAGTTTTACTCCTTATTTTCAATCCAGGTCATTTTTTCGGCTCTTTTTCATTCCCCCCCACCTGCAAATTTTATATTTGAAGTTACTGTTCACTTTGTCCGATTGTCATGAAAATTGACATGCAGACTAATGAGGCCATGACAAACATATTTGGTTTCCTTAGTTAACCTTTTGAAACTACTCGTTAGACCATAAAATTCATGTTTGAGTGAGGTGGTGGGGGGGGGGGGGGGGTTTGAGGAAAAAGAGCCATTTTTTCACCAAAAAAGGGTCTTTGTTTTGAGATTGATAAAAATTGTTCCAGTGCAATCTATCAAACTTGAGTGCTAAAAAATGCGGGTCCGGCCGGCTCAGACTCGAACCGCCAGTTAAATTGATGACTGCACTCATGTCTTCTTGGTCTCTGTTTAGGTCATGGAAAACAACACTTTCCCAATCGAGGTGCTTGAGCTGTCAATCGTAGATCGTGATGGGTCGTCTGCCCAGAACACTTTGTTCAGTTCGCCTCTGATTACAAGTGGGGACCCTCTTAGTTCTTTCTTGGTACAGCCCAATGCAGGGGGAGTTGAAAGTTTGGTTGTACAGACTACCCTAGATAGAGATACGGGAGTTGACAAGTAAATTTTAAAAAATCAAATTTGAGACTTCTCTTTTTCTACCCCACCCTACATAAACTTCTACTCGTTACATAAATTCTAACCCCCCCCCATCCCGGATAAAGCTCGGTTCGTTTAGACTACTACTCGTTCAGAAGTATGATCTCGGGTTTTTGATGAGTCGCATTCAAAATCTCGTTCAGAAATGTGGCCCCGCCAGAACACTTGAAGTTTACTCGGAGTTTTTCAAACGGGTGATAACAAAAAGAAAACTTTTTCATCGGCAGTTTTACCACTCAAGTGTTTTATAAAAAGAAATTATCAAAATTTCAATTCACTAGCAAAATAGTTGCGGCAAAAGTCTAGAGGTCTAGTCTAATACTTTTAGGACTGTCATTTAATCGTAATTTTTGGCAATAACTTTTTTTTTATTATTTAGATACAAACAGTTGATCGTGAAAATTGTTAAGATGCATTTATATTGATGTTGCTTCGTTTTTACTCAAAACAGTAGGATTAGAAAACAACTGGATTTTTTTCCTATGGCAGTTCCTTATCCCAGCAATTTTAGCACCTCCCCCCACCCCTTTTACTTTTCTGGGGATGTATTTTTGTGTTATAAGATGCGGAGGTCATAACCAAGGCTGTTTTCCAGTTCCCCCTCTTTGATATTTTCTGAAGTTCAACATATTAAAGTCTATTTAAAATGCCTTTTCATTTTATAAACTGCGTTAAAACGTGCCAGCGTGAATAGTGAACAAAATTTACATTTATAACAATCAAAAATCCGCGTGAACATTTTTCGAACAATTTTTTTGTAATTTTACGAGGGGTGGGAAACTGGTGGAAAAAAGGCATATTGGGAAAATGTCTGAAACTTATTATATGTCTACTGCAGGTACAAACTGTTGATTGAAGCAAAAGACACTGGCACGCCCCCCTTGACCAGTACCGGCACAGTGTTCGTTACTGTGGAAGACGTCAACGACAACCCCCCTGTGTGGAACACCAGTCCAATCCCCCTCACTATACCAGAGTGTGTGGGCATCAATCAGCCCATACCTGCTGCCGATGTAAGTGGGGGGTGGGGGGAGGGGGGGGGGCTGATGTTAACAAGTCGCTACTTAATGATTTCCACAGATACTTCTGACGTTCAAAAACCAAAAAAACTTTAAAAAAATTCCAAAATTGAGAACAATTTGAAAACATTTTGATGTTTTATGGATGTTTTCGGAAGAGCTGGAGTGGGGAGTTTGATGTTTAAATTTTACTAAAAGAGTTTATCCTTGCTTTTTTGTTCCTAGACATAGTGATAACTTTCGAGCTTCCTTATGAGCAACTAATTAAAAAGTATCAGAATATAATTTTTGCGCTTGGCCATTTTAGTCGTGGACCATCAGAATGGAAGATTTTTATACTTGGTCTACCGACGAGCGTGATGTCATCCCTTGATCATTAGATGAAATACCGCTCCTAATTAAGGGTTTGAATCAGGGGTGGATAAAGGGGGTGGAGGTGGATTTGACTCAGGGATTTGACTCCTTTGGATTGGACCGTTTTAAGACCTCCATTTTTGGCTGGCTGAAGTCACAGTTTTGCTATGCCGTTGACGTCAATAATTTTAAAAACGGAGCTCGCGCCGAAAGAACGCGATTTTTAGTCAATTTTTTTATAGTCCCTAAAACGCATTTTTTGGCCTGTCCTTTTTTCCTTTCAGAGAGCTTTGAACTTCAATTTGGTCGACCCCTGATTTCAGTAGAAACCTTCCACATTAAAAAACCAAAAAAAATTCCAAAACTGAGAACGATTTGAAAACGTTTTTACAGATATTTTTAGACGAAAAGTAAGAAACTTCAGTGCCTTCTGTCACCGTTAAAACATCGATGATTTGGAGAATGTTCTTTTTGATTGACAGCTGTCAGCGTTTGTGGATGACCTTGACGTGGGCAACAACAGTGTGATCTACTTCAGACTGGTGGGCGGGGCTGTGGTTGTCTACTGGAATGTAGACCAGACCACTGGGGCTCTCACTGCCACCCGGAGTCTGGACAAAGAGGGATCGCCCAAAACATGGGCACTCACAGTCGAAGCTTATGACCCGTAAGTGCTTGAAGAGTGTCAAAAAATCATTTTTTGATCAAAAATTAATAAGAAAGAGTTATACATAAATGTGTGAAGAATTATTTTTTGAACCGTTTAATATTTCTTGATTGCTTTATTGTTCCGACTTTCGATACGAAAGTAACGGAATATTTGTGCTCGGGGTGGGTTATTTTTTCTTCAGACAAATTTCGACTTTTTAACTAGCCATTTTTGATGGAATTTTTTTATATTATTCGAAAGGTTTTGTTGTCCTGGGCTTAAATTTGAAAAGATATTGCACCTGTGATCATTTTGCGTAAAGTTATGAGGGTTTAAAGATTGCCATTTTGGCCATTTTGACCAATTTGGGACAATTAACGCGCGATATAATTCGCGCTATTAATGCGTAAGCGGAGATTTAATCCGTCTTAGAAATCGTTCCAAATTGGTTGAAAGAAGCTTATTTGCCATAATTGGTTTGTTTCAAGGAACGAAATCTATCCTTTTGTACTTTATATGGCGTGTGGGGGGATGATTTTCATTTAAAAAATTCAAATTAAAAAAAAAATTTCATTTTATTTTATTTCAATTAATTTTTTGAAGTTATTTTTGCTCCATAAATCTTAAAAGGCAGTCGGAACATTCAGGGCTTCGCCCTGATACGAGCGAGCAGTCTTGTTGAAGTATAGTTTGGTTTTGTTTAATTTGAAAGAATCTGTAGAAAATGTTCAAGATAGAAGAAGTTTTACAGTGAGATTGGGTAATTGAGACTGGAATTTGATTTATTTCCTTATTTCAGTTTCAACCGGTTGACGCTCATTCTAAACAAAATCATTACGAGGCCAAACTGTACGGACAAGTCTTTAATCATGTTAATTTTTTGACGGAACAATAAAAAAAAACAAAAGAAAAAAGGAAGATCAAAGAGAGCGTCCTTGTTACGGAATCCGCTTGCAATTCACAAAATACGAAAAAAAGCTTATCATTAGCACTATTTTTTTTCAAAATCATAATTTGCTAAAAAAAAATTTAATCTGGGAAACTTTTTTGTTTTTGAAAGCACTTTTTTGTACTTTTTTCTTTCATTTTTCTAAATATTTTTAAGATGTTTTAAAAAGCGGAAACCAATTTTTCCAGAGTTTTGTAGTATTGCTAATTGCTGCACAAATATGACAAGTTAATGTTTTAGTTGTTACAAAAGATTCGAGTCGACTCTTTTCAATTCTAATTTTATTTTTACCTTAAGATTAGTTTTTTCAAGTTCCCTAAACTAAACTAGATATTGATTTTTCAAGATCAAAAATTAGTGAAAATGCAATCGAGTACTGAAGTCTACATAACAGGTTCAGAATAAACCAAATTAAGTTTCTTTTGGATGAGCAGGCCTGCATTTTCAATTGATTTAATTATTTGAAAACTAAAAAACGGTTATTACACTTTCTCTTTTTCTTATTTATTCTTTAGCTTCAAACTAAAAACCAAGTATTTATTCTTTAGCTTCAAACTAAAAACTGTTTCGAAGTATTTATAGAGTTAATTTAAGTATTTATGCAATAACTTATTTGTTAAAGAACACTAAATCTTGAAAAATGAGTAAGCGCTCATTTTTCTCGCAATCAAAATAATAATCTTCATCATAAGAGCAAAGAACTACTCTCTCCGTCCAGATGGGATGCAGACGCACACTATCCTCCCGCAACGCAATTATAGAAGGAGCTAAATAGGATAAATTTATAAAATATAAGGCCCCTAATTTGCAATAAGTTAACAATAGATGAACAGTTGTTTTTAAACAATAAGCCTCTTATTTTATTGTCAAAATAATAATTAATTTGTGTTTATAATCATAAAATAAAATCATTTAAATTTTGCGAACAGATAGATTTTGACCTTTATGAATTCTAGAACTGAGACTTTAATGCACTTTTGGCATGTTTTTTTCTCCTAAAACTTGTCTACTGCGCAGAAATTCGGTCTTTGTAGCGGTTTGAGAGAGTTCGGAAAATCAATCTGGTCAGTCTAAATAGTTTCGATAGCAAAAATACTTTCAATTTTTTTTTGGAAAACCTGTCACCCCGTGAGAAAATCGTAGACTCGTTTTTGAATCGAATAAAACATGTTTATCAATTCTAAGAAAATTTATTGCTCTCAGTTAAATTGTCCACTCTTTGCTAAGTTCAAGACTAGATAACAAAAAATTCAAATCATGCCCCTATAAAAAAAATAATGTCTGCGGTAGCTGGAGTCGCGGGAAGAGACACGCCCCCACGCTATACTTATCAGCCATTGAGTGGTCGTCAGGTCAGACATTTTAGTGTCCTAATTGACCCTTTTGTCGGAAAAAGTAAATTTGTAAATTTGTAAATTTTAAATTTTAAAATTTTTTAAGTGTTAATTTTTCACCACTGTTGTACTTCGGAACTGCTGAACGCCTCCCTAAGAGCTGAAGTAGAAAAAGGCCGAAAAAAAAGGTTTCTCAACAGTGCCAAAAATCATCTTTAATTTTCTGTTGTACTTCTGCACTGTTGAAAGTTCCCGTTTCCTTACAGTAAATTATTTAACCTAGGCTTTGTGATATCCTATTTCTCAGCCGAAAATTGCTCCTTGGTACTGATTAAATCTTGCATTGTTGTTGAAACATTATTTCCACCAAATGAGTGTAGAAAGATGTGACAATGTGATGATAATCAAATCAAAATTTCAATATAAAAATGTTAGTATTAGTTGATTTTCCTAATTCTTGTTTGTTTTCTGTTTTTTTTTATACGATTTTAATTGTTTCGATTAATGAAAATGGGGAGGAATTTAGTATTCGGGTGTATTTTATTGTTTTTTTTTGTTTTCCACGCAAAATTAGGTACCAAAAACAATCACCGGACTGCGTTAAGTGATATATCATATTCCCTTTCAGCGCTTTCAGTCGTAATTCGAACCACACCAAAAGTTCCCAAATTTTTTTTTCAGTGTCGAGACAAACTGGTTTGATTTTTTTTGATTTTTTCGTCTAAATTCGAGCGAATAAAGCAAGCGAGCAGGCTTACAACAGCTGAAATATGCCTTGTTAAAGACTTTAAAACTTAACTTTTAGCAAGTAAACCTAGTTTTTGGATTTTTTAGGCTTTATTTGGGAACCACACACTTCAAAATTTTAAGAAAATTTCTGCAACGTTTTTTGAAAAAAAACAAAATTTTCTAACTTTTTTTTTAGTTTTTCTAGTCATTTTTCGACAAAAGCTTTTGTCAATTTTGTCTATATTACTATGGCTGTCTAATACATTTAAATTCTTCTTTATGTCAGATCATTTTATCACACCAAGCAGAAAAAAACTACACTAATTTGGAAAAAAAACTTTCTAAACCGTAGTTTTCTAAAGACTATAGTCGGAATACTCTGTGCTACTTGCAAAGTAACTGGCTATCCTTGTTTTTTTTTAAATGAGTTTGACATGTCGAAAGTATAAAATTGTTTCAGTTTGATAGTCTTAAAAAATTGTTTGATAGTCTTAAAATAGCTAATGTATCCCTGATTCATCGCTAAAAATTTCGTATATATTGGATTTCTCTAAACCAGCAATATCTATCTATATCATCGTGATCCAAACCAGTATTTTTAAACCAGTTGTGATCATCATTTAAACTGATAAAAAACTACGAACTGGACATTGTTGAGATCCAAAAACAGAATTGTGAACCTGATTTGAATGAAAATCATTAAAAAATCAAGTTATAAGTTTGAAGCATGTAAGTGTGTTTTTAGGTATTTCAACCAAATTGATTTTTTTGCCGATGGCTTTTAAAAAAAGTTTAAAGACTTATTTATTCAAAAGCACATGGTGCGTGATTACACAAGTAGCACTTGTGTCATAGAAATTTATTGTCCCGCCTTTCTTTATTGCTTCTGTTGGCAGCAGATGTGGTTTCATTCAATTAAATCGCCTGTCATTTTTATGATCATTTTAAACATCAACTTCTCGTCCTTTTCCATTGCTTAACCCCATCTAAAGAAAAAGTAATGAATATAAACAAGTAAAAGTGATTAATCTAAAAATAACTCCTAATTTACCATGGGCTTTGGACTCGGCAAAAAGTTCATCGTATTCTTCAACCAATTTTTTAAACTTTTAGTTGGAAATGAAAACACCTGAAAATGAAATTAAATTTTCCAATAAAATTACGCGACTGGTTTTTAACGAATTATCTGTCATTTGATGTTGAAATGAATTCACCAATGTATAATTAATGCCAAATTGTTGGCAATATTGTTGACCTTGAGCTATTTAATCGGTCAATAAACGGTTTAGGTTAATTAGTTTTTTGGAAAGCGTTTTTATATGTGCAAATTAGTAATAGGTGAAATCCGACTTCAAAATGAGCAGTTTTAGATTTCATCAGATTTCTTGACCGGAAAATATTACCAACAATTTGGCATTAACTGTATATCATATGCTCCACTAACTCGGATTTGAAAGAAGACGCAAGTCAATGTTTTCAGCTATCATGCAATTATCCGACAAATTTAGCGGATTTTTACGTTGAACTAACGAACGGTTGTCAACGTTCTTCTTCGTGTACCATTCGTTTCTCGTTGGTGAAATGATTACGTCTCCGCCTCACAATCAAAAGGTCGGTTGTTCGAGATCCACCATGATCCGTGCTCGTTGGTTGAGGGTGAGGCAACATTACCAAGCCCAGAAAAATCTCAAAAAAAACGTCACGTATAGCTCAACCAGGTGCACAACAGCGGTTCTCCGTGAAAAGCTGAACAGCTCGTATGTTGGTCCTTTCATTTGTAGATAATTGGTCGTTAAGAATTGCTGAGCAAAATCTCGTCAGTAGATTTCCTCAAAACAAAATAGTTCGTTACCTGTAAAATAATGGAAAAGTCAAGAAATTTTTTCTGAAGTAGACGGATAATTTTTTCAAGTTTTGGCCAATAATCTAGGCAATCTTTAAGTGATCTGACTGGTTTTAGCGGCGAAAAAAATCAACAATTCATAAAAACGCCTCATTTATAAGTTCTGCAATGTATCTGGCATGCCCGGGTCGAGGTTTGCGTTTCATGTTTCGACCGACTTGACCAAAAATTGGTATGTTTCGACCATCTCGACCCAGCTTCGATATGTTTCGACCGACTTGCTCCAAGTTGTCTATGCTTCGACTGTGTTCTACCGAGAAAAAGCATGTCGACCATTTTTGACTTTTTGACCGAGGTAAAACATTTCCACAAGTTCGACCGAGGAGAAACGCTTAAACCAAGTACGACACAAATGTTTTGAGCGAAAAAAAATTTCGACTTTGTTTGACGGAGGATAAACGTTTCGACTGTGCTCGACCATCAAATAGTTTTTTTACGCTAAAATAGTTTCCATGGTGCAAAATTTATTTACTGTATGTATGTTTGTATATGAATATGCATGTTAGTATTAAGGTTTTTGAGTATGTATGTAAGTTTTTTTTTGTATCAATATATGTATCTATAAATGTATGTCAGTATGTATGTAGGCCTACTCGTGGCAGTCCTGTATATGCTCAGCAAATATGCTAGAATTCGACTGTAGGGCCTTCTTGACTATGTATTCTCGGTCGAATTCTGACACGTGTTCTACCCGCCTCAGTTGAATCATAAATCGCAAACCTCGACCCTGGTATGGACAAAAATTTTGAGCAAAAATCTAAGAAAGATCCAAGTAATGATTGAAAGTGATTAACCTTATAAACTTGATAAACGTGATATAATTTAGCAATGGTGGCATTTAAAAGTGTTAATTGAGGTTTGCATGAATATCAGTCTTGTTGTTTTCCTTTTCTTTTAAAAAGAAACTCTTGTTAAATTGCTCACAAAATAATCTTGAATTATTTTCGAACCAATATTTCATTAAGCATCAGATAAATAAGCAAAACCAATTACATTATACATGAGATCCGAAATGTTTAACATGTTTAGCGTCTTGATCTTCTCTTGATGTTTGCAGATTCGAAGCATCGCACGTGGCCTCTGTGGTGGTTAACATTGACCTGTCCGACTGCAATGACTTCGCTCCCAACCCCCTTCTATCAACTTATAGATACCAGATAGACGCCGAAGTCGCCGCAAACTCAGTTGTCAACCCAATCAACCCCTCCAACGACATTTCCTCCATCAACGGTAACTGCATAATAGCCTGCCCATTGAGGTCTCGCAAAATGAGTTTCGTTTTTTTTTTGGAATTAAATTTTCGTGGAAGTTCAAAACTTGAAAAAGAAAGTCCATGATTCATCTTTCAGCGAACCCAATAAACCCGTCCATTGACATAAACAGCCTCAAAGATTTTTTGCAAAGCAGTATGTTTAAGCGTACTGGGAGAACTCATTAAATCGATGTATTTCAATTTTAAAGACCAAAATTTATAACTGAAATAGAATTTTCTGAGAAATTAAGTAAGTTTAGGTTTAAGTAAGTTTAGTGTATTTAAGTAAGTTTAGCTTGGAGGAAATGAATGAACAAACCAACAAGATCAACTGGCCTCTGAGAACCTAACACAGAATGATCCGACTACTGTTAATTTGCAAAAAAAAAAACGGAAAAACCGTAGCACAACGACTAACTCGCAAAAAAAAAAATTAACAAAAATAGACAAAATGCATTTAAAGACAAATAGAAATATACTAACCGCCACAGTCGCGCAAATGAGGTGTGAGCTGGCTAACAGAGGGTGGTATTTTATACGAATTTTAAAATGATCGCCTGTAGCGCGCCTGAGGGGATCTTGAACCGAATTTCTTAATTTTTGAATAGATTTTCAAACTCTGCGAGGATTTTTGTCGCTCTCCTTGAATTGTGACTTGTCATTTTTTTCGAGTGGTCTTTCTGTTGCCATTTTGTTGGCAGCGGCAGAGATGCATCTAGGGTTTTCGGATTTTGAAAACTTTTCTTGACTTTTTTAGGTCGATCAAATTGGTTTTTTGAAAAAGTTTAGGCACTTTTTGGAAAATTTTTACCAAAAAATTGCGTTTTATCGGCGCGCGCTTCCCCTGAAAATTAATAGACATTGACGCCGAAGGAGCCTTTAGAAAAAATGAGGGTTCGATAGACAAAAATGGATATCTCAAAATAGTACAAAGGGTCGGCAGGGGGTCGAACCCCTGAGGGAGAGGAGAAAGGGGGCGTCCGCCCCCACCCCCGCCCCCTTAAATCCGCTGGTAGAAAACGCCCTATAATCTTTTGCCTTAATAAAAAACAACTGATTCCCGTAGAGCGTTCACTTTTGCCATGATGGCAGGAAAAATTGAGGAGCAACGATTTGGTTTTCAAACATCGTAAATAGCTAGCTTATGCTACCCAAATAACGCAAAATTTCGCTTGAAAAGTTAAAAGTAAAAACTTTCAGACTTCCTGTCAACCTTTCTCGGTGGCTTCTGTAAAGAAGCCTTGAATTGCCCTCTTGACCTTTTAAATCTCAACTTTTTCCCTGACTAAGTTTCACAACTTCACAGTCTTCTAATAACTTTTTCAACGGTCTTCAAACAATTATCAGTTCTTTGCAATAATAAAATCAGAATAACGAAAAATTCAAACTTGTGCTTGTGGGCATTGAGGGTTTTTTGTTCAAAATAATTTTTTACCGACGACTCAGGGACAGATCTGCGATTTTCTCGAGGAAAGGGCGGATTTTCAAAAATACTTCTGATGACCCTTTATTTTTTTAGGTCGACCAAATTGGTCTCAGAGAACACTATAAAGTCTCAATTTTGACCAAACATTTTGTGCCAATTTTTTTGAAAAAAAAGCAGATCAAACTGCCGTTTTTGGGCACTTTTTCGAAAAATGTTGACCTAAAATTACGTTTTTTTTGTGCGCGCTCACTTTTACAATAGTATATATTGGCACCGAAGGCGCCTTTAGAACATTTTTGGGGTTAGTTGGCCTAAAATGGATGTCATAAAATAATACCAGAGGGGAGACCCTTTGGTTAGCGAGGGGGTTTAATGCCCGAGGGGAGGCGTCCGCCCTCAGTTCGCCCCTCGCGACTACTGAAAATTATTTTCAACTCATATTTTCAATCAACTCAGTTTCCTACGGGAATTTTCTTTCGTCTAGATGGTTACGTTTCAAAAAATAATGACGAAAAATTAAAAAACAGTTTTGTCAATTTTTTGAGGTTATAAAATAAAAAATCTCGACTTAGTTTCGATCATCAGAATTTTGTTCGGCTGTCTGTGTTTTATCATCTGCGCTATTTGTGTTGGTGTTAATTGACCTCACGATCAAGCTAGAAGTCTATTTAAATATGCGGTACAAATATGTCGCTATAACACCATCATCGCCAATTAGCATCTGCTATTTGTGTGATTTATTTTTGAAAGAAGCCTGGATCTTCTTGTTCATGCTTTGAAATTAAAAAACTGGCGAAAAGCAAGAAAGTTTGCTTAAAATGTTGGGTTATAGAACAATTTAACTAGCTCTCAAAGTATCGAGGTAATTGAGTCGGGTTAATTTTTTAATCTTAGTGGCAGTTTTATATAATTGTATTTACTTATTCCGCCAAAAAAACTTAACAGCGCATCAATTTCTAACTGTATGAGTTGCTCGCGAGTGTAGCGATTAGCATATCTGGTGCTTATTAAATTGCTCTATTGATAAAAAATACCACAAGACAGACCCAATGAGATCACAGATAAAAAATGATAAAATAATGAAATCAAAAACTTTAAGGCGCAAAAAAAAAATTGCGTTTAACAATTTTTATGTCAATTTTTCTGACAGTTTTCCATTTGTAATTCTAATTTTTTGGGTAATGATTTGTCAGTTTACGGACGAATAGGTTTGAGGTGTATGGAGCAAAAATGCTCTCAACATCATTCTATGATAAAAAATCTCAACTAAAATTTTTTTGACAAAGCTTTTGAAATTTTTGGTTTAGCCGATAAGCATTTGTAAAACCGTTGTGTTGAAGTTTTTGTTATAAGTTGTTACATTTTTGGCTATGACTTTTTGTCAAAAATTGTTGTACACATTTAATGAAAATGTTTTGGAATTAATTTTTTTGTTTTAAGAGATCGATGAATTTTTGGTTACACAATGTTCATGAAAAGCATTCAAATGTATAGAAACTGATTTTCAGGTTTTCCGCTCAAAGCTCAAAAACGCGTAACGAATATTTCTCTCATCGATTACGGTAAATATTGTATAAATAAACTCGCAGGGATTGTTGCTGTCTGAAAAGTATAGTTGCATAAAAAAGTATCCGACTTTTGAAGCTTCGACAAAAAATTGGTTGCAAAAACTGCATCACCCCTTGAAGTGATGAAATCGAGCAAATATTTTTCGCCAGACCAGATTTCTTAATTAGCGGGGGTAAAAAACTGAATTAAGGTACGGTGGTATCAGTGGTGATAGATTACTGCGGTAAAGACTCAGAGAACGGTGATTTATGATATTCCGTGGGCAAAAAAATCGTCCTATCAAATTTCAATAACTCATTTGTTCAATGTTTTCAGTTTTTGACTGAGAGTTTTTTGTAAGACGGCAGATAAATGTTGTCGTCAGTTTTTGTCCTCCAAAAACCCGGAATCTGATTTTTAATTATGTGCTGTGCTATAGTTATGTAGCCTGGTTTTTTCAATATCAGTTCTAATACGGCACTTGCAATTTGGCTCACAACATAAATAATAGATAGAATTTTTGCTTTTCGAAATCTGCCTGGATCTGTATCTGTCTAAGAGGCAGCACAACAGAGCCGAAATAAAAAAAGAGTGCCGAAATTTAAAAAGTGTTCAACATTGCTTGCTGAAAATTGATGATTTTTGGCACTGATTACACCGAAGACTTTAGTCAAGGTGTTATGGTATCGTGTAACGGGTTTTTTTTTAATGTTGTCTGTTGTCAAGTGTCGACAGATAACGTCCACAGTTATCAATTATCATGTGGGCTGGACTATATCGCGCTATGTCACGTGATTGCGTATGTTTGTTTCTTTATTTGTTCATCTTTATTTATTTAATTATCTGTTCTTCTATTTATTTAATTATGTTTAGTTTGCTTATATTTATTTATAATTTATGTATGTACATATTTATTTTTGTTTATTTTTATCACGTGTTTTGTTTATTTATTTAATTATTCTTTCTTTCATTTAGTTTTGCTTTTATTATTTCTGCGTGTGTTTTTATTTAATTTATTTATTTTCATTTATTTATATTATGGGTCTGTTTGTTTGGTTATTTGTTCATATATATTTTTTCATGTCTATTTAATTATTTGTACATTTCACTTTTGCTTTTATTTATTTATTTATTTATTTATTTATGTATTGATTTATTTTTTTATTGCTTATTTATTTATCAGGTGTGTTTTGTTTATTTGTTGATATTTATTTCTATATTTATTTAATTATTCTTTCTTTCATTTAGTTTTGCTTTTATTATTTATGTATGTGTATTTATTTCATTTATTTATTTTCATTTATTCATATTATGGGTCTGTTTGTTTGATTATTTGTTCATATATATTTTTTCATGTCTATTTAATTATTTGTACATTTCACTTTTGCTTTTATTTATTTATATATTTATTTATTTATGTATTCATTGTTTGTCAATATAGCAAAAATTTGACGTATACATGTGTTAGTACGATTTTTAGCTCTCGAACTTTTAGTGTTAGTACGATTTTTAGCTCTCGAACTGTTATTTCATGATCTTTGCCAATATAGCAAAATTTTGGTGTATACATGTGTTCGTACGATTTTTAGCTCACGAACTGTTATTTCAGGCTCTTTGTCAATATAGTAAAATTTTGGTGTATACATGTGTTAGTACGATTTTTAGTTCTAGAAGTGTTATTTTATGATATTCGTTGATATATCAAAAATTTAACCTATACATGTGTTAGTACGATTTTTAGTTCTAGAACTGTTATTTCAGGCTCTTTCTCGATATAGCAAAATTTTGGTGTATACATGTATTAGTACGATTTTTAGTTCTAGAACTGTTATTCTTCAATTATTAGTTGTTCAAGTTGTTTGGTTTTTGCTTCAGTTTCTATGCCTTCGGTGTATTGCGCGTAGCGCCTATGTTGAACAATAATATTATTTTCGGCACAGTTGTACTTCGGCATTATTGAACGCCCTCGGTCTTATACAAAATTTGCTCCCTCTCGTCTCTTCGCAAGAATAAATTGAAACGGCTCAATTTGGAATTATTTGAGTTAATTTGAAACATTCTGTTTTATTTCTTTCAGTTTTTAATTATTTTGGTTGCTATGTGTTTGATGCAATCTGATTGGTTGATAGTTTTGAGGTTGTACTTAGCGGTCAAAGGAGTTCAATTGAGTTTTGAACGTTTGGGTGGCGTCCCTAATGCTGGAGCGACCGAATGTTTCCAGGCCATTAGTGTTAATATTGCCCGATTAGACAATAAGCAAATGAATGAAAATAATGCCGGATCAAAGGCGGTTTGGAACAAATTTAATATTTTAGAATACCGATTAACGAAAATGAAAAAAAAAACTAAATTTATTATATCTCCACTTATTATATCTGCATCTATTTTACTTATTATTTTAACATTTTCTGTTAATATTGACTTCGATTTTGCAAGAAAGACATTTAGCCAATAGGATTCCTTAGCGATTTTGATTGGCTGAAATTTATCCAGCATTCGGTCCCTCCAGCATGAGAACCCTCCCCGAAATTTTTGTTTTCTGTTTTCATATTTCGAGAATACATTTTGGACGGAATAATCAAAACACCACCCAATTATAGCAATAATTTTTATGATACAATTTGTTGACGTCCCTCGTGATGGAGGGATCAAATATTGGGAATGAAATTATTTTCTCTTATTTTCTGCCAATCAGGGTTAAGTATTCAAAAGTTTCAAAAAAATCTCGAAAATCCCAAAGTAAGCAAATAAAGTTAATGCTCACTGATTGTAAAATTTCCAGATTGTAGATACATGGGTTTTCAAGCATTGTCAGATCAAAGAAACATTTGACAAAAAATAAATTTTTCACAAATACCGATAAAAGAAAGCTTGAAAACAAAACAGCAAATTTTTTGAATCTGTACGGACTGTGCATGCTTTATTTCATTTTCTGCTAGTTTTTACCTCGTTTCATTGCAAAGAGCATTCAGCGAATAGAGATTTCGACTGATTTTGATTGTTTGAAAATTTTCCATTAAAAAATTTGGTCACCTCATCATGAGAATAGCCCCCCCTCCTACACTTTTGTCTAACTTTTTTTTGCATCACATCGTATTACAGTCTCCAACAAACAAGCGGTAGATTGCTTTACTTCGTCAATTGGGTTCAAACCGAATTAGGGTAATTTTTTATTGGCTCATTTTTGCGTAATTCATTGAAGATTTCACACTTAATTTTGAAATTGAGTGAGCGCTGGAAATTCAAATTCGAAAGATAACTTGTGATTACGAGTTAATAACTTGTGATTACGTTTGGACTATGTTTGTTCAGACTATGTCTATGACACAGCTGTGAATGGCCTAGTTGTGAGTTAATAACTATGTTTGTTCAGACTATGACTATGACCCAGTGAATCGTGACCTTGAGTGGACTATAGATGGAGGCGTGGGCAACGACACTCTATACTTCTACATCAACAACCAAACAGGCGTCATCTACACGAGTTAGTAAAAATCACTTATAACGAGAGCTGACCGTTGTTTTTCTAGAAGTACAGAATGTTCTCGCAATCTAAATTTAATGTTTTACCTAGCAATACCTCACCCCATGCTACTAGCTACTCAAAAATCTCCTCACTTATTGATAAAAGTATTTAGTGCTTTCCAGGGGGCGGATTTAGGGGGGAGGGGCGGGGGCGGACGCTTTCCTCTTTCAAGGATTCGACCCCCTGCCGACCCAAAGGGCCCACTTTGTACTAATTTGAGATATCCATTTTCGGTCGCCAATATTTTTTAACAAATTTTGAGGGGTGAGCGCGCGCCGAAAAAACGCAATTTTTTGGTCAAAATTTTCCAAAAAAGCCTAAAAACGCCTTTTTGGGGCTGTTTTTTTTCACATTTTGTCAGCGGCGCAGAAATTTTGGCCAAAACAGGGACAAAACAGTGCTTCACGAGAGCTCGAAAAATCAATTTGGTCGACCTGAAAAACAAAAGGTTCACAAAAATCCCCCCCCCCCCCCCTCGTCGAGAAAACCCTGGATCCGCCCCTGGTCCTTTCTATAAGAATTCTAATTTCGCTGCATTCTGATTGTTTGAAAAGTCGACCAAATTAATTTACCAACACTCTCCCCCTTCTTGAAACGCGTGCGACATTGTTAAGTAGATCCTAATTTTGATACAGGTTTAGGGCATTTAGGTATTTTTGGGAGGTGGGGGCGATAATATTTGTAAAAATGTTCCATAGAGAGCCTAAAACTGCATTTTCAGCCTATATTTTTAAATCAATTTGCTCGGAAAATCAATTTGATAGATCTGAAAAAAGCCGGTTGGAAAGGAGCCTAAAACTTCACTTTCAGCCTATGTTTTTTAATCAAAAATTTGCTCGGAAAATCAATTTGATAGATCAGAAAAAAGCCGGTTGGAAAAGAGCCTAAAACTACATTTTCAGTCTAAACTTTTAAATCAAAAATTTGCTTGAAAGTCAAATTGATAGATCTGAAAAAAGCCGGTTGGAAAAGAGTCTAAAACTGCATGTTCAGCCTATATTTTCAAATCAAAAATTTGCTCGGAAAATTTATTTGATAGATCTGAAAAAGGCTGGTTCGAAAAGAGTCTAAAACTGCATTTTCAGCCTATTTTTTTAAAATCAAAAATTTACTCGGAAAATCAATTTTATAGATCAGAAAAAAGCCGGTTGGAAAGAACCTAAAACTACCTTTTCAGCCTATATTTTTAAATCAAAAATTTGCTCGGAAAGACAACTTGATAGATCTGAAAAAAACCAGTTGGAAAAGAGCCTAAAACTGCATTTTCAGCCTATCTTTTTAAATCAAAAATTTGCTCGGAAAATCAATTTGATAGATCTGAAAAAGGCCGGTTGGAAAAAAATCTAAAATTGCAATTTCCGCCTATTTTTTTAATTCAAAAATTTTCTCGGAAAATCAGTTTGATAGACCTGAAAAAAAACTGGTTGAAAAAGAGCCTAAAACTGCCTTTTCAGCCTATTTTAATAAATCAAAAATTTTCTCGGAAAATTAATTTGATAGAACTGAAAAAACCGGTTGGAAAAGAGCCTAAAACTGCATTTTCAGCCTACGTTTTTATATCAAAAATTTGCTCGGAAATTCAATTTGATTGATCTGAAAAAGGCCGGTTGGAAAAAAGCTTAAAACTGCATTTTCGGCCTATGTTTTAAAATCAAAAATTTTCTCGGAAAATCAATTTGATAGATCTGAAAAAGGCCGGTTGGAAAAAAATCTAAAATTACAATTTCAGCCTATTTTTTTAATTCAAAAATTTTCTCGGAAAATCAGTTTGATAGACCTGAAAAAAACCGGTTGAAAAAGAGCCTAAAACCGCCTTTTCAGCCTATTTTAATAAATCAAAAATTTTCTCGGAAAATTAATTTGATAGAACTGAAAAAACCGGTTGGAAAAGAGCCTAAAACTACCTTTTCAGCCTATATTTTTTATTCAAAATTTTGCTCGGAAAGACAACTTGATAGATCTGAAAAAAAACCGGTTGGAAAAGAGCCTAAAACTGCATTTTCAGCCTATCTTTTTAAATCAAAAATTTGCTCGGAAAATCAATTTGATAGGTCTGAAAAAGGCCGGTTGGAAAAAAATCTAAAATTGCAATTTCAGCCTATTTTTTTAATTCAAAAATTTTATCGGAAAATCAGTTTGATAGACCTGAAAAAAAACGGTTGAAAAAGAGCCTAAAACTGCCTTTTCAGCCTGTTTTAATAAATCAAAAATTTTCTCGGAAAATTAATTTGATAGAACTGAAAAAACCGGTTGGAAAAGAGCCTAAAACTGCATTTTCAGCCTACGTTTTTATATCAAAAATTTGCTCGGAAATTCAATTTGATTGATCTGAAAAAGGCCGGTTGGAAAAAAGCTTAAAACTGCATTTTCGGCCTATGTTTTAAAATCAAAAGTTTGCTCGGAAAATCAATTTGATAGATCAGAAAAAAGCCGGTTGGAAAGAGCCTAAAACTACTTTTTCAGCCTATATTTTTTATTCAAAATTTTGCTCGGAAAGACAATTTGATAGATCTGAAAAAAACCGGTTGGAAAAGAGCCTAAAACTGCATTTTCAGCCTATATTTTTTAATCAAAATTTTGCTCGGAAAGACAATTTGATAGATCTGAAAAAAACCGGTTGGAAAAGAGCCTAAAACTGCATTTTCAGCCTATCTTTTTAAATCAAAAATTTGCTCGGAAAATCAATTTGATAGATCTGAAAAAAGCCGGTTGGAAAAGAGCCTAAAACTACATTTTCAGTCTAAACTTTTAAATCAAAAATTTGCTTGAAAGTCAAATTGATAGATCTGAAAAAAGCCGGTTGGAAAAGAGTCTAAAACTGCATGTTCAGTCTATATTTTCAAATCAAAAATTTGCTCGGAAAATTTATTTGATAGATCTGAAAAAGGCCGGTTGGAAAAAAGCTTAAAACTGCATTTTCAGCCTATATTTTTAAATCAAAATTTGCTCGGAAAATCAGTTTGATAGATCAGAAAAAAGCCGGTTGGAAATTAAGTCTTCATTCGCAACCCTAGACATTCACTGGGTACAATAAATTGATTTCAAAAATTAAATAAAAAATGGAAAAGATAGTTTAAAACTTTTTTTTTGTTTTCAGAGACGAGCGGCGCTCTTGAGACTAACAACAAAGATAACTACACGCTCTTTGTCCGTGTGAACGACGGAGTGTTCAACCAAACATTCAATGTCAGCATCGAAGTCCTATTCACAGCCAATGACCACTCGCCTGTTTTCAACCCAAATCAGTACTCAGTATCACTAATCGACAGCAAGAAAAAAGGTTAGTCCGTTTCGACCCCAAGCTGACCCTTTGTACTATTTTGAGATTTCCATTTTTGGTGACGGACCCTAAAATTTTTCTCAATTTTCTAAATATAAATTGATTTTGAGGGGGGAGCGCGCGCCAAAAAAACCACGATCCAAAAAGTGCCTAAAAACGCCAGTAGTTTGCCACGTTCCAAAAAGTGCCTAAAAACGCCAGTAGTTTGCCTGAGGCTCAGAAAATTTGGTCAAATTAGGGTCTTTGTAGTGATTTGGAAGACCTCAGGAAATCAATTTGGTGGACCTAAAAAAAAGGTCGACAAAATTTTCAAAAGAGAAATTCTTAGATCTACGCCTGGTCTTACGTGTTTTTATGGCTTAAAGCGTGATGTTACGAAGTAAGGTATGAAGAACGAATGTGTTCACAGGAGTTAGTTCGTTCACCATGCAAGAAGTTTCCCTACATTATGACAACCTAAAATTAGTTTTTTAAAACTGAATTTCAATGGTGGGGGTGGGAGGTGAAAAGAGCCCTGTTTCACTCACCATCCTGAGTGTGAGGTGATGAATCTGTAGATGCAATAGTGGAAACCTGACAAAGTCCTTCCAAGTGTAAAAACTGTTAAAATACTTAGAATTAAATATTATTTTAGGAGAAGTGGTGTTGACTCTGAGCGCCACTGACGCTGACGTGAGGCCGACTCTGACGTACTCTATCCTCGCTGTCGCCACTGGGTCTCCCATATCCAGCCACACTCAGGCAGACGACCTCTTCATCATCCAGGCCGGATCCAGGGTCCTAGAGGTAGACACATACCGGGGCTATTCTCATGCTCGAAGCCGACGGAATGTGCAAAAAAAGCTCAACCAATCAAAGCCCTTCAAACTGTCCGAGTATTTTTTGCTTATTTCTTACTGAGCTCTTTTTTGAATACTGAGCTCTGATTCGTCGACAAATTTTCGGACAATCATTCCTTCGAGCATGAGGGATTCCTCCGACCCATACGCATGATACCAACACTCATTCTCTGAAAACAATTGAACAACAATCCCCCCCCCCCTCCTTAAACAAATTTGGACATGATTATCGATCACTTGGTTAGGTTGCTTCTCGCTTCTTAAATAAAAAAATACTAATATCCCTCACAGCGCTGATAACAAACTGAAAAACGTGTGAACAATTTCCTTCCAGAACTTCAGAACGAACACAGTGAGCGAACCCTTCGTAAAAATAGTAAATTTAAACTGCAAATACGAGTTGTAAGTTGACATGCAAAATGCTTTAAAAAATACCGAAAAAAAGTTCAGATCATCAATTTTTATTTTCATTCATGTGCAGGTGCGAGACGACATTTCGTACGACAGCACGAGTCCGAATCCATTTGAGTTCTTCGTGGAAGTTTCCGACGGACTTACTACTGACACGGCAACAGTCACTATTACAGTGTACAGTTCGACGAACAACCCCTTCTTCCAGTACACATACAATGGAGAAGACAATCTATACGCTTTCACTTACATCACCCAATTCGGTTTGTAACTTAACAGGTGATGTATAAACCAGCCGAAGTATCAACCAGCCGAAAATACCTAAGGTTATATAATAGTTATGCAACAATTATGTTACAGTTACGAAAGTTATGCAAATTTCATTCATATGATGCAACTTTTGGCTGGTTTATATACTCTGCACATTTTCGGTTACAAACTTTGTCGACCTATGCTCTATTCCATAATTTTTGTGTAACTTCACGCCACACATCGTTCGTGATGCCAAAAAAGTGTAAAGATATTCGAATACACAAAACCCGATGCGTTCGAACTTTGTACAAATCCAAAAACATATGATAATTAACCCTTGTTTCTTAAATGTTGAGAGAAGAAGCGAGCGGCCTGGGTTGACTTCCACTTAGGCTAAAATTACTCATCGTACATTTTCAACGGCATTTATGCAATCAAGCAATTTAAATTGGTTCTTAAATTTTTGTCAGCGGAATTCCATTTGTATGCTGTTAATTGCTTAGATTAATGTTTTAATTCAGTTTTTTTTCAGTAAAACGGATAATTTTGAATAAATCTAGACTTTTCTCAAAGTTACCTCCAGAAAAATCAATATTTTCTCCCCCTAAATGGACTTAAAAGTTTCCAATTTGTTCCTTCAAAAAGCGCTGGATCTCAAAATTTAGAAATTGTGGACTACCGTTACCGAAAAAACAAAACAACAAAAACTAAATTTTTTATTATTGTTTTAAGAAAAATTCCAGGCAATCTTGATATTAGTTTGAGCGAAATTACTAATTGTCCAGCTATTCATAACCATCATGCCATTGACGATTACGTAAAACCTGCAAAAATTTTCCAAAAAGTTACGTAAGTTGTCGAAAACAAGCCCTCGAAAAATATATCCGAAATTTATGAAGATCTGCCTAAAAAAAATCCCGAAAATGACTAAACTCGTATATCAAATTTTCGGAATATTCGAAATTCGCTATACTCCCATTGCCGAAAACAGCTACCTCGGATACCGCAAACAGTCTCAGACATAATTTTTTCCGATTCAAAATAGGCCAGCTTCACTTACCACCACAAACAGTTGTTTAAAATTGGCACAAAATCTGGAACAAAAAAATTGGGCTATTTCATCCAAATTTTTGAATTTTTATCCGAAAACTGAAACGAGTATCAAAAATGTAGAACTTGGCATTGAAATCTCTTCCGAATTGTAGCATTTCACCTAAAGCTACGAGAAAAGACAGAAAAGCAAGGGAGCAAATAGCGGCCCCGAATTGACCTCTGTAGACCAAAAATGCTAGTCATACAATTCCATAAACTGAGTCAATGAAAAAAGACTAATCATATAAATTTCATACGTTTTTCTAAAATGGTGTCATCGATGTCATGGTGTCAAGAATTTTTTCTTGGTTTGGCAAATAAGTCGGTGTATCGTGTCAAAAAAATGCTAATCATATAACTTTGGTGTATGTACATTGCATGACTAGCACTTTTTTGATGGTGACCCAAAAAAATTCTAATCATATAACTTTGGTGTATGTACATTGCATGACTAGCACTTTTTTGAAATTGCCCCAAATTTGTTTTTGTTTTTTTTTCTACCGCAATCGAATTTTGTTCTCCAACAAATATTTTCTATAAAAATTTTTTTGCATGCAATGTTTAATTTTTTTGTTTGCGTGAAGTCCTGGATACTCAAAAATGTTTTTTTTTCTCGTTTCTCGGTTTCACTTTTTTTAGAAATGATTACAATTCCTATTCTATTTTTCTTGTATGGTATGTTAATGTATGCCTTGATCAATATCTGATAATTTGAAAATTCAAATTTTGAAAATAATTATCTTTGAAAGTTTTTGCCAAAATTTAAAAGTCTGATTCTTTCAGTATATTATTTGTAAAAGAAAGTTCTTATACATTTTAGATAGCTTCCAATGCAATGTAAATGCGAGTCAATCCAAATTTTGGAGACATTAGTTCTGAGTAAATTATGCTTTCTGTCACTTGTGTTCGGTCACGAACACATGCCGAAAATTTCGAGATTATTTTTTTTTAAAACCATTTTTTTTTATTTATGAGAAAATGCTACAATTTCCGTTTATGAAAAAAAAAACTAATCATAAATTTTTCACGCAATTTTCTGTATACATGGAATTGCATGAAAAATGTACGATTAGCATTTTTCCATATATGAAAAAATTATATGCGTAGCATTTTCGGTCAATCCGAGGCATTGAAGCAATTTTATGCATTGAGAAACGAAAACATTGAAAACTATTGAAAAACTTCATGTTTTAATTGTTATAAACGATAATTCAAGCTTTCTAAATTAATTTTTAACTTTTCGACACTGTTGAACAAAAAAAATTCGGCACTGTTGAACAGTTTTTTCATCTTCGGCACTGTTGAACAAATTTTTTTGAACTAAAGTTCCGTGCTCAAACAATTATTGTCTGTAAAATTGCAGCAAATTAGTAAATTTTTGTTTTTTAAGTCTAGGCTGGTTGTATTCGGGTCTTTTCTGTTATACTGCCCAAAATTATTAAAACTTAGAATGAGTTAATTATGTTTGAAATTAAGCTTCGGATTTCCTTCGCATTTGTTTTTTTTTGTCCAATCAGAATGAATCAGTATGTTCCTATCTTCAATATAACAAAATGATGAATTTTGCTCTCTGGAACAGAAAATATCATAATTTCAATTGAAAGAAGCTAAGTTGATGCTGAAAATTTTTCTTGAAGCCAGACTTTTTGTTTTTTGGTACGATAGAGTTAACTCTATGAGAAGAAGCAAGGCTGCCTTCAAAGGGGAAGTATTCAAAGAGGAAGCTTACGGTCAATAAAAAACGTTCGTGTGTTGTATGTAATATTTCAAAGGAAAAGTCTTGATATTAGTGTAACCGCACCGAGTTTTATGGACAAAAGTTCGTTACAAGTCCGAAACGATTCAACAGTTTTTTCAAATCCAGCTAAAAAGAATCTGAATTCGGAGAAAGCAGCGTGAAAGTTATGATAAAATATTAGGAGTTGGAAAATTCAGGCTTGCTTGAAAAAGGTCTTATTCCATAATTACAATCCATTAAAATCGTTTTTTTATGGATTTTAATGATTTTAAGTTTATTAAATATAGTCCACTTTTGTGCTCTGTAATCGATTGTCTTACATTTTTATTGATAATGACATTTGAAACTCTAGTCAGGGTAGATAATTCATATGCAGTTAGTTAATCGGTGATGTTTTCACTTTTTATATTCATATGAAATATTTGTGCCAAATATTAGTATGTTGCATAATAAACATTTTCTCCCTAATTATTAAAAGTTTTCTAGCTTTTTTTTGAATGCGTGCAAGGGGTAAGCTGTGTTTTATTACATATACTTATAATCAGTAGCGGATGTAGGGAGGGGGCGGGGGGCGGACGCCTTTCTCCCCTTCCTCAGGGGTTCGACCCCTGCCGACCCAAAAGGTCTCCCTTTGTATTATTTTGAGATATCATTTTTGGCTAACTGACCTTAAATTTGTTCTAAAGGCGCCTTAGGCGCTAATCTTCGCTAATTTTGAGGGGGGAGCGCGCGCCGAAAAAACGCGATTTTTTGGTCGAAATTTTCAAAAAAAGTGCCTAAAAACGCCTTTTTTGGCTTTTTTTCAAATAGGGTCTTCATAGTGGTTTGGGAGAGCTCAGAAAATCAATTTGCTCAACTTAAAAAAAAGGTCGAGAATATTTTCAAAAGTTTTTCGAGAAATTCCTAGATCCACGCCTGCTTGTAATGAAGCTCAATTTTGACTCTACCAATCATAATTATACCTTCTTGCCTAACAAAAAAAATTTACAATGATGATTTAAAAACCAGAAACAGCAACTTTAAGGTGAATGAAAACTGTTTCTTTGCATGTAAATGGTATCAATTCTAATAGCTTTCCAGACCAGTATATTAACCGTAATTTTTGCGACCAATTTTTATTGCGCGTGTTTTCATGATTCTTGCAATTGATTCAAAAACCTTTTTTTTTCGGTTCCCGTTAACTTCCGTGGAATACGATTTCCTGCATGCAATTTTTATGACTTTTGAGTGATAAGTTATAATAAACTTGTCAGTGTGAACAGTTTTCAACCCCTTAATTGCGATTAGAACAGTTTTTAGACAGTTTTATATGGCAAAATTACGATGTGATAGAGAACTAGAAAAAAGCCCAGAAACTAAAAATTGTTTGTTCAAAATTACAAGACTGACTTTCGGCACAATACTTGTTTGAATCACAGAACTGAGCTTTTACAGAGTTTTTTCTTTCTAAATGAGAACTTAAACAGTCATTTTGCATGTTTTTTTTGTCTACGAGGTTTTTCGGCTAAAAAGGTTGCAGCTTAGGTTTTATCGGTTCATTAGCCTAATATTGCGCCATTTGTTCGGCAAAAGTTTTTCACGCTGAGGAGAGATCGATTTTTGATTTTTTAATTTTCAAATTCTTATGACATCATTTTTTGACGCAATGGTCGTCTACCCAAGTATTGTCGGCTTAGTTCCCACTTTGAAAATTTGAAAGATATACTTTTGTCATTATTTTTTCCGGCTAACAATTTGCTTTCACGTCACCTCCGGCTATTTTTTTTAGCTATGTAGTCATACTTTTTGATGATGTATAGCAGGTTGCGCGAAGATGCATTTCGACGAAAAAAAAAATGATTCTGATGAAAATTTTAATGTCGAACAAACGTACAAATCAAACTGAATATTTTGAAAATGGATGGCTTTTATATACTGTTATAATAAACTAAATTAACGCTTTCGATAACTTTCCCACAAAAAAAATGTCGAAAGTAATATCTGGAAAATCAAAATTTTCTGCCCCCTAAGTCACTCTGGCTGATCGTTTCGGGTAAAAATTTTACGGCTGATCAGTCATTTTTGCTTTAAATTTTCCTGTATATAAAACACCATGATTTATCTTGTTCAAAAGTATTCTAATTCTAATTATTTTTTTAAATTTCCACAACCCTGGCGTAAGATTTTAATTCTTTTTTTGGCTTTAGAGGAGAACTCGAACAGTCAGTTTGTGGGTCGAGTGCGTGCATTTGACGTGAACGATACTCGAGGTAGCACTGTGTCCTTCAGTCTGGAAGAAACCGTCTACTGTGACAAATTTGGAATCGACGACGACGGTTAGTTGGAATCGATCCGGTGTCCTTTTGGACCAAACCCCTCCCCCCTTCCCAATGCAGTGTGTGCGTGTTTGTGTTTGGGTGAGGGTTTTGACATGATTCTAAGCTGGAATTGTCAACCAATCAGAAGCGGGTAATTTTCATGCAGCGCTTAGCAAATTTAATCCGAATTAATGCTGGGTGGAAGATATTAACTTGGTCCAACTGGAAGGTGGATGTTAACTTGATCTGTCTTTTCTGGGGCTCAACGAAAAATGTTTTTGGCTCTTTGACAACTGCTCTAGAAAGCTTCAAAGTGATTTGCTGAAATTTGTACCACTTAATCAAAAACTACCCTGATTTTCAAACAGAAGCTATTAAACATTCTGGTAATTCTGGGCCGTATTGCAGAAAAAACCCTCAGATCTGTTTCTAGCCTTTTTGGCGGCTTTTTTATTTCAATGAAGAGCCCGAATGCGCTAAATTTCTCAACCAATCAACAATCGCTGAGAGCGATTATCCAAAACTGACTTATTGTTCCGACTTTTGAAGAAATCGACGAAATATTTGTGCTCGGGGTGGTTTTTTTTCTTCAGATAAATTTCGACTTTGTCACAAACAACTTTTGAAAAGATTTTTTAATAGCATTCAAAAGGTATTGTTGTCCTCATTGAATGGAAGCGTTTGGTGTAATTTGGTGCCTCTATTATTTTGCTAAATGCATGGTATTTTTAATAGCATGAGGGGATGATTTTCAAAAAATATATATATATATATATATATATTTCAATTTTTTTTGAATTTTTGATCCTTTTTTCTAAAGTAAAAACTATACTCCCTGTAAAAGGTAGTCGGAACATCTAGGGCTTCGCCCTGATGTGAACAGTCTTGTTTTCTTGCTTTATTTGTTCATTTTTAAGAAAACTGAATTATGATTGGCTTATACATGCTAGGTTTTTGGGCAGCCGCTGCATTAGTTTTGAGAGACTCTCCCATCATGCTTGTGTCAGGATGGAGCTCTTAATGTTTTACTTCAAAGAAAATTTTGAGAACATTTGAAAGTTTTCTTAAATTTTTTTAAACGTTTTTGGCTCTACAAGCAGTATCATGTAAATAATTGTTACGAAAAGAGGTGTTTTTGTAAAAAAAAAATGGCTTCTAGAACTGAAGTAGAAGTCTTTGCTCCCGCCCTGAGCACGTTTCTTTTTCCAGTTTTTTCCCATGCGTTGACGTAATATTAGGAGCAAATCAGCTGGAAAAAACGAAGACCACTACCATTTAACTTGTCTCAAACTAGTTTTTGAAAAATGAAACTTGTTTTTCTGTGATCTCAGCTTCTTCGATTAGTGAATTGGCTTTAATATGATTAAAATTGAAATTCATACATTATTTGGCTCCGGATTTTGCCGAACAAAACAGCAATCAACCCGAAAAAGGCAGTTTCAGAAAAGTCATTTTGTGATATAGTTATTAACATAATTTGGTGCTAAAATGCATGTTTTTTTCTCATTCAAAAAGATCATTTCACAATTCTCTTTGCTAATTTAGGCTTCTAAAGTACTGAGGTTATTCGATAATTTTTTAAATCGTTTTTTCTGTGCAATGATCAAAACGATTTAAAAACAGCAAGTTGGATAATGGAACCTGATCTAAACTACATTTTATGATTGGATAATTTAGATATTTTACCAATGTAAAGTATTTAATATTAACCAATCATGATCCATCTAACTAACAACCCACTTATTTGTAAGTGCTGAAGTTACTTGTAATTTCAGCACCAGAGAGATTTGAATTTAACTTAGAAATTAGTTGGACTCTCCCGAGCACTTCAGCAGCCGCAATAAACCAGTATACCCTAGATCTATTGAGCCTAGCAGAGACTAGTTAAACAACCTGAGACTAGATAGTATAAGAGTAAGATTAGGATCGGTATTAGACTAAGAAGTTGCACGAATCTATCCGGCCGAAAATAAGATAGCGTGACGAGCAGACGGTGTACCCTATCCGAAATTACTCTATGAGTTAACCAACTCGGTCCTAACTCATCTGGTGCGACCATAAGTCTCGAACAAGACCTTAATAGCTTAGAATTAACCAAAATAGATTAGAAATTAGACAAAAACATTTACAAAATGTTATACGACAATAATTTAATCGAAATGTCTCTACGACTCAATAGATCAGAGCCAATATTCCGAACCATAACAGAACTACCCGGAATTGGAAGAAGACCTCGAACCAGAGACGACATACGACAAAGTAGAAACTTGCCATATAGCTATATGATAGTTAGGCAAAAACCAGAACAAACTTTTATATTTAGAATACTACTGGCAATGAATTTAGATTTTCATTTGCAAACATAAAACCTTGAAGTTAATCTTCAAAATCATTTCAGGCGCTAAACAAAATTATTAATATACAATAACGATTGATAAAAAGATCTAAGATCGTTTTCCTAAAACTCTGCAGTAATATACAAAATATGTTTGAAAAATATTTATTGAAAAATAAAAAATAAAAATTAGTAGCATGACAATAAATGGTTAGTAATCATAAATATTCCTGTTGTTCCAGCTCCATCACCTAAAACATAACAGCAATCATAAACCCACTAATATCATCAAAACACTAAATCTTTCCTTTACACACATTTAAAAATTTATTAAAACTTAAATTCACTTAATTTTAAAACCAGATCATCAAGGCTTCTCCTTGGATCTTAAATCATTTTCTACTTAATTAAATTTCAAATTTGATCATCAAGGCTTATCCTTGGATCAAACAGAACAACTTTGTTCTCCCCCACCCACTTAATTAGTGTCTAACGACCTCAAACGTCGATTCACTACCCAACCCTTTCTAAAGACCTAAGACTAATAGAAATTTTTAAACAAAACTAATCATTCAAATTAGGATAAATAGTGAAGAACTTCGGTTATTCATCCTTCACTTGACCCCCCCTCTTACCAGACCCAGGATAAATCTTAGACTTAGTAAGTTTAAAATAGTATCTAACGAACTACTCGCGTTCTAATTATACCTGAACCTTGTGGATCGATTTACTATTCTCCAACCCTTGAACACAATCACTACCCCTAAGTAAGATTAAGTAAGTTAACACCTTAACTTATACTAGCCACGAGAAAGTAAAAAATCATTCTTCGGAATCGATATACTTTTCTCTCCAACCCTGAACAAATAGACCCAGGTTAAGCTAACCAAAAAATCGTAAGAACTAACAGTTTAGGAAAATAGAAATCATTTAACAACCTTTTGCATCCGTCATCCTAAACCTTATGTCATTTAAAAACCTAGGAAATAAACAAACAATCGTTTTACACAATTGTGAAATAGATAACAAAAAATACGACCTTGTAATCACACCTCATACACAAACAGTTGGATACATTCGAACAAAACGACAAACACTAAAAAGAAAAATAATAACGAAACAAAGACAAATAACACGAAAAAGATTTTCAAAAAATCGAAACGCATTTTCAGAATCAGAAACCAACAGTTTAGACGAACTTTACAAACTAAAAGAATCAATAGATAAAAATTACCCACTTCACGATCAATTATATTTTTCTGACTCAGAAACAACTTCAAATTCATCAAAAAGAGGAAAAAGAAGAATAAAAAAGCAGTATAAACACAAACCAGTACATTTATACAATTGGAATCAACCAATTCGACACATTAATAATTACATATTAACAGTCATCGAACGAAAAAATGAGCTCAACGCACACTCCAGGTGAAGAAAGTCCAGATGATGATGAAATCTTTCTTTTTATAGTAGATGCAACCACTGATAGAGGACAGCATATATTTTGCAAAAATTTACTATTAAATTTATTTGAACCCGGAATTAGTCCATGTAAAACAGAGTTCCCAGATGTAAAAATCAAAAGACAAATCATAGACCACTACTTAAAAGATATATGCAACATAACACAACAGTATGGAATCTACTCCATAGAATTCACCTCACCAAACCATAATAATAGAAAATATACAATTCAAACAGACGACCTTGATTTAGAATTTTCAAAAGTTTTTTCAGAATATATAAAAAGCATCCAATATCATAACTCACAAAGAGCAAACTCCATATTCACCAATGAAGTTTTCGCAATAATATATAGTTATATTTCGATATTAGAAAACGAAATCCCAATAACAAATGTCTCACCGACAGAAACATCTAAACATTTAAGAGTACGACATGAAATCACACTACTCTCTAGTTATTTAAACATCATTAAAGAAAATTTCACGAAAGACGACGTTTCACAACATACAAAACACGATCTACAAAAAATTTTGGCATGGTTCATAATAGATTATTTCACACACAATATTGATTTAATTGCACAAGCAAGAAAAAATTTTAGACCCCAAAACTCGTACGATGATACCGCTATCACAGAACAATCAGATTATGTTTGGGACCCCGAATGGTCTCATCCCGCATTTATAAGCTTCCCACAAACAATCTCAAGTCAAGCAATAAGTACGATATCTTACATAAGAGATTATGTAAAAGTAATACCATTAACCATTGATGCAACACCATTAAACTATAATACATTTTTGCCCGATACACAAAATAATAGTTTAAACTCTACAGTTATACACAATGAAAACCTCAATGGAACTAGGAATCTTACTCAACAAGATATCCAGACACCATCACACTTCATAAATGAAGAAATTGTACACACAACAACTACACAACAAAGTATTTCACCAATACGCCCAAATTTAACAACACCAAGAAAAACAAATCCTTCACAAACACAGGTAACCTTACAATCAACCGTTAAACCTTCGGTTGCCCCTAAATATTCACATATGGATTACCAAACATACAGACCCATGACAATACCATCAAAAACACGCAAAACATTCACTAGAAACAACTTTACAGACCATAATTATAATTATACACATCCATCAAAAACATATAACCAACCACAAAGAAATTTTAACCAATATACAAGATCTCG